GAAATATAATGACCCCAATAATCCTTAAAAATTAAAATTCAATCAAAAAACATAAAATCATGAAAATCACTACTGAAAAAAAGATTAAAACACAAAGTATTGGCCAATGGATCACCTCCGCTAGTGGAAAAATGTGAAAAAAAATTTAACTCAAATATTTATTGACTCAAATAATCTATGAAATTAAACAGATCTGAACGATATTAATGAAGCTAAATTTCATAATAAAAATTAAAATCTCAAAAATAATGACTTAAAATTCAAATAAATCCACAAACCCATCCTTTCTATCATCAAAGAACAAAGCATCCTTGTAGTGAGAAAAGGAAATAAAAAACGATTTAAAAGAGATAAAAATATGAATTAAAATGCTTTATCTCATCATCTTCCTATCACCCAGATGAAGGATTAAGAAAAAAATAAAATAAAACAAAATGAAAACGGAAATTAAATTCACAAACACACGTCACTATGCCTATCTAACACCTAGAAATAGAGTACTGGAAAATAATTGTGAAAACGATTTTAAAATATTTAAAAAATGAATTTAAATCCCAGCATATAAAAACGATTTAAATCTCGTCATCTACTTGTCACCCATATGATAGAATCTCGTAAATAAAAATAATAAAATATAATAAAAAGAGGAAACAATATCATAAGTGCCCAGCATTACTCCTCTCTTCTTCTCCTAACACTTGCAGAGAACTAGGCACAAAAAGCTTCCTCATTTTCTTTGATCCAGCCTCTTTTATCATCTAAAGACCTTCCTCCCTTTCTTTCAAAGATTCTTTCTGATTTCATGGAAGGATATTTTAGTAATATTCAGGAAATCCAAAATTATATCCATCCGTATCACCAGCCAAAATAATGTGCAGAAATGACGAATACATCATCATGTTGTTGACGTGGACTAAAATTTTGACCTCTTCATTAGTTGGCTCATGCTAATATGGCCCATAAAGCCTTTTGATATCATCCTGATAATGTGTCCATGAATTGCTGCATTTTTTTCCAATTATTTTGATAATTTCAAATTTTCTAGAAAATTACTGAATTTTTCCTCATTAAGTCTCTAAAAAATACAATAAAAAAATTTATCCAATTTTAACTTCATCATTAACTTCAATTCCATTTTAAAATTATTCTCAATATTTTAAACATTAGATAATCATGTTAGTACATGGATTAAAAATCAGAAATATATTCATGTCACATAAATCATGAAAATTTTCAAATTAAACATAAATTCATCACATGATTCTCAAACTAGTACTAACATATTTTAACTTAATTAAGTCATATTTTTCATTGTTTCATGAAAAAATATTTTGATTTTACCTTAATTATTATATAAAATAAAGCATTATCACTGATGATATTAATTTCAAATGAAATTAATTCTTCTATATCACCAAAGTTATAATTTTACAGATTGAGATCATTTAATAAGTCTACTTGACAGTTATGGCTTAATGATAACATGTATTGGTTTGTCAAGAAGATATCTGGAGCCATAGAAGACATGTCATGTTTTCAAGCAGTTCGAATCTTCTACCTCCGGCCCCTATACAATCTTGAGTGTGTTGTTGATATTTTCTTTAATAAAATTTGTGAGAATTCAAGAGGTCTTCTTTGATGGTGAAGTGATATGAAGACAACATGTTGAGAAACAAAATTCAAGATTGAACATGTTTTCATCATCCTCTTCATTGAATTTTTAGATGCACACCAGTTCAATGTCTTCATCTGAAAATAACTCACAATAAAATCACACATACTTTTTCTCTGAAGACTTGAAGCCTTTAATCAATTACTGGCTATCTAGATCTTTGAATCTAGTAAAGAGTTTCAAGACTAAATTGTGTGGGAGTTGAGCCCATTAACTAGTGGACGTGATTCATGGATAGTTGATTTAATGAATAATAAGCTTATTTTAATACTTGAAAAATCGGATCAATGATGAAAATAAAAAGACAAATTATAAGAACTCCTACCTCACAACTTGAGTAGAGATTTGGTTCTCATTATGCTATGGCACACAAAGATGTGAGATATGGCAAAGTATATTTCTAGAGAAGAGAAAAACTGCAAAACCTAAGTACATGAATCATGTGCATATACTAGCAAAAGCCATGAATAATCACATTCATCTATTTGACCCATAATGAGTGAGTAACAATCAAGTCATACAAATAAAAAACTATATATTACCCTTAGAAAGAAACTAAAGAATGTACAAAAATAACTTTCTATCTCCATGCACATTTTTTATACTATGACTGTCTTTCATCATCTTATAGAATTCCTTTTTATGATCCTAAATATCAATGCACCATCAACTACAAGTGGATGTGTAATATGATCTACAGCTAGGTGTACAAGTGACCAAATAGTATACTCAAACATATAGAGTAGATTATCTAATGCCCATTGTTTGATAGAAAAGGCCAACACTATTAGGATTCTAATGTCTCAAGCAACCAATATAGATTGGATTTACAATAATTTGATTTTAAAAATATCATTTTAGAAATTTAGAGGAAGATTTTCGTATGAATATTCTACATGAATATAAAAAGAAGTCAAATCATGATTTATTATGTAAACTAAAAATATTATTTTACAGACTCAAATGATCATCTAAATCCTGATTGACTTCTTTATAAAATTCATAATTTTCTTGAGATAAAAACATACTAATAGAGATCACATATTATTTTTCAAACACACCCTCAAGGGGACTTATTGCATTAACTATACATGTTGATGATATAGTAGTGACGAAAAATGATAAAGGGGAGGTAGAGTATCTAAATCAGCACTTGTCAAGGAGTTTGATATCAAAGCACTGAAAAAACTAAGTTATTTCCTTAGAATCTTAGTATGTTTGAAAACATGTATCTTTTTAATTCGCAACACAAATGTATCATAAATATCCTTAGGAATATTTGTAAAATGGCATGTAAACTGGAAAACAGTCTTATTTATCCAAGTAATAAACTCAATAACAAAAATGAAGACAATGCTTTTAACTAAAAAATGTCTCAAGTATTTTTTAGGATATTAATTTATTCATCACGTGCAAGGCCAAACATACTCACTAGGAGCCTTAAGTGAATTCATGCAGAATTTGCTGGAAAAATCGTTTACAAGGGGGTTGTAGAATATTACTCTATCTTATGGGAACAACAAGAAGAGGTATTTTATTAGAAGAAATGGAAGTGTGAACATTGAAATCCATATAAAATTAATCATCTAGGATCAAATATTGATAAAAGGTCTACCTTTAGTTATTTTATCTTTCTACTTGGTAATCTAATTACTTGACAAAGTAAGTAGCATTTGATAGTAAGATCAAACAAAAAATCTAAATGATAACAAATGGTCCAAAGTATATGTGAAATATTTTCAGTAAAAGATATCTTAGAAGATTTGAAAATTAAATAGAGTGATTCCGTTAAGTTATATCATGATAATAAATATGCCATCAATATAGGTCGTAAGCTAGTACAAAAGGATTACACAAAACATATTGAGATAGATCTACATCAAGGAGAAACTTCAAAGTTGTCTTATATGTACACCTTTTGTATCATCATATATCAATAAGTAAACTTAGTTTTCAAGGATCTAAGCAATCCTATATTTTAGAGACTTTTCTGCAAGTGGGGAATAGATGATATCCACTCACCAATTTGACGGAGAGTGTTAAATGATAATATATTTTTCTCATTTACTTACTTTATCACTATTCTTTTTAATAATGTTATCATGTCCTTCATTAGACATATCAAATTCAAACCATATAGAGCCATCTTACTAAATATGCATTTAGATTTACGACTATCATAAATCGAGACTATTTATTTTAACTGAATGCAATTCTTGTAGTTATTTTTCTCTCTCATCTTCCTCCTCTGATGTTCTTCTTCATGATCAACGACCTTGGATTCCTCCAAAATTGACAAAGAGTACTCAACGAGCTGTTTGGTCACACCTTGTGAGGTCTCAATTAGTAAGTTGATTATGCAAATATTATTTGAAATTAATTCTACCCTAAAAAGGCAGTGTCTATTTTCTTTTCCAACTATCTGCTGACTATTTATGTTAGAGGTCAGACGTGTTGCCAAGAAGAGTACACCAAGAAGACGAAGATTGGCACAGCAAAATATCTACTGAGAAAATTCTGACATACCTGTCTAAGCACCAGTCTGATTCTCTCTCATCACCAATGTATCCTTCTCTCATAATCAATATAACTAGTACATTAATTCATAGACCGCTAAACAGGGATATGAACAATCCCTAGGGAGCTTAGATCCTCCCATCATCACCACTTGTCAATACTAAAAAATCAGAACTTATAACCTTACCTCTTCAACTAAATCTTCAACTCAGTTTTGGTTAGCCATGTGAGCATTGAGAGCAGATGCACAGTTCAACGCTCTGCAACTTCCAGCAACATGCAGCTAGATGACAGTTGTATTATAAGGGACTACGAGGTCAAACCTCAAATTTTCCAGAACCTTTTGTGGCATAAAATCGAAATAAATATTTCTTTCTTTTGGTGCTCATTGTTTTAATAGTAACTGTTGATCAGATGGCTCCACCCCCCTCCCCTACGCTGTCAGGTTGGAGCAGGTTATGTGGTCACCGCCGGAGGTGAGCACAGGGTTGAGTCACTGGCGAAGAAGAAAGGAGGCCTTCGCCCCTGAGTTAATCTCCCTGAGTGCCCGCATCATGTCCTTCTCACTAGTCTCCCGTGAAGATCCCCAAAAATTGGTATTCCTTCTCATTTCTTGGTCTTATTTATGATCTTTCCTTTACATGCACTGCTTCCCGCCTTGCATCTATCTGGCCATTTTCGGATGATATTTGAATTAAAGCTGCTATATTTAATGCACATTGCCGCATTAGGCTGCCATTAAAGTGACTTGTTACTTTCCTGTGATACATTTCTACGTCGAGAAGTATAGATATATATATAGATATTATGCATGGGTATGGGTATGGGTATGGGTATGGGTATGGGTATGGGTATGGGTATGGGTATGGGTATGGGTATGGGTATGGGTATGGGTATGGGTAGGTAGGTTTCAACGGGTCGCCAGAGCTTGGAGGGAGGCAACGGGGGACCGAGCTAGGGTTTTTCAGGAGCGAGGAGATCAACGGGGGGTGGTCCTCTCCCTGACGCGCACCAGCAGGCCGCCTTTCACCCGCAGGCTGGTAGACAGCAGCATCTCCGGCCGACCACCGCCGCCGACGACGTCCAGCGTGAACCTCTCGATCAGGCACGCCGCCATGGACTTCATCTGAAGATAAGCCATCTCCTTCCCCAGGCAGCTCCTGGCCCCGCCGTGGAAGGCCGGGAACCGGAAGGGGCTCTCCGCCCGGAATTCCCCGCCGGGCCCCAGCCACCGCTCCGGCCGGAACTCGCCGAAGTCCTCCCCCCACACTTCCGCCATCCTCCCCATGGCGTACGCGTTGTGCCACACGAACCAGCCCTTGCCCACCTTCGTCCCGTCAGGCAGGACGTCGTCGGCGAGGCAGTAGCTGCTGTTCCAGGGCACCGGCGGGTAGAGCCTCATGGCTTCGGTAATGGCGGCGTGGAGGTAAGTCATCTCCTTCAGCTCATCGAAGCCGAAGCTCTGCTCTCCTTCTTCTCCCTCCTTGCTTCTTGTCCTCACCGAGCGGATCTCCTCGAGGATCTTCCTCTCCACGTCTGACCTCTCCGACAGGACCCAGAAGAACCACGTCAATGCCGAGGATGTCGTCTCCTGCCCCGCCAGTATGAGGTTCACGACGATGTCCCGGAGGAACTCGTCGGAGTTGTCCTCGCCGGCGATGAACCGCGACAGGAGGTCCTGGTGGCGGAGCCCCTCCGCCTCAGCCGCCGGCGATCTCAGCTTCTCCTTCCTCGAACGGATTACACTCCGAGCGAAGTCATTCAGAGTGGATATCGACTCCCTCAGACGCTTCTCCGATCCGACGTTGAGTAGCTTCTTGACCTTCCACATCCAGGGTACGGCGTACCGGAAGCGGCAGGCGGTGATGGCGGTGGCGTCCCGGAAGGCGGCGGCGAACCCCGGCGGGAGCCGCCCCCCGCCGGCGGAATCCTCCCCCTCGGTGGCAAGGCACGCGGGGTCCTCGTTGAACGCGACCTGGCACACGTTATCGAAACCGTACCGCTCCAGCACGTCCTGGATGTCTACGGCAGCGCCGCTCGCCGCGGCTCTGCGCAGCAGGGGTAGCAGCCGCCTGGTAACCTCCCGCTGTACGATCCCCTCGACGAATATACGGAGGGTCCTGGTGCTGAACTCGTAGCTCAATGCCTTCCGCTGTCTCTTCCAGAGCTCGCCTTCGACGTTGGTGATCCCCCGGCCGAGGAAGTCCTCCATCAGGGACCTCTGGTAGGGCCCCTTGGGGTAGTTCTGGACGTTGGACTTGAGGACATGCTCCAGATTGGCCGGGTTGGCGGTGATGATACCCTGTTGCTTGCCGAACAGCCGGATGTGCAGCGTGCTGGTGGGGGTGGCGGCGAGGAGCTCGGTCTGCCATTCCAGGAGGCGATGGCGGTGCTTGATAAACTGCAGCATGCTGCCTATTAGTGGGTAGGCCTTGAGGGGCCCCTCTGATTTAGGGTTCGAGAGATAGAACAAGAGCAGAGCGGGTAGGAGGACGACGATGATGATGACGAGCAGGAGGAGCTCCATGCTGCCGGCGACTGTACGTAGGTGGGGGGGTGGGAAGAGGAAGGAGAGGTGGATAGGCTCACGCGAAGCCCGCCGTTTTTTATAGAAAAACGAGTGTTGAACATACGAGTGTCTTCCAGTTGAACACGAAAGTTCAATTTTAGCAAAATTATTTAATTTTTTTGTCAAGAATTTTTGCTCATGAGAAACTGTAACAGTCCACACCAGATTTATTATATTATTATTATTATTATTATTATTATGTAACATAACCCCATTTTTTTTACTAATTTACCGATGAATAAATCTTCACAACACCCAATTAGTACATCACTATTTTTTTAATCTATGCCTCGTCCACTAAAAATATACCGAAAAAATAAAATTAGTTTGACTGTATTAATTCTGACTATTATCCCACCCCGCTTGCTCGTTTCGTCCACTCATGAGACGACTTTAGTGAGTATCTGAGCCCATTAGTCAATGGTCCTCAGCAAAAGAGTCAAAAAGGTTGACCAAACGTGAGACTTGTTCAATGTCCTGTAAGGACGATTCCAATTTTCTCCTCAGATTAGTCGTGGGGTAGAATTTTGTGGTAGTTACAGAGGATAAGACCAGATTAATAAGCCGGTCAACATCGGGCCTGGACCCGGCCCAGAGTTTGTCATCTTTTTTCAGTCTTTTTCCGAGTCAATGATGCGGCCCGAACGAGGCCCATTGGATTTTTGGTCCAGCGGCACGATAATTTACTTAAATAAATTAAAGCGTGCGTCACCTCTGGGAAAATATATATTAAATTGGGGGGTCGAAATTATCCGGTTTTCGTTCGACGGACACGGTCTCTCCACCGTCCAATCGACCCGATGCTGACGGCGAAATCTACGCGAACGTATGGAATCCACGTGAAAGGCACCAGGGAAACCGATGTTATTACATGGAAGGGAGAGGGTATTTTCCGCTGACGAAAAATGATGAAGGAGAGGCATAGTATCTAACTCAGCACTTGTCAAGGAGTTTGATATCAAAGCATTGGAAAAACTAAGTTACTTCCCTAGATTTGAAGTAGTATATTTAATAACATGTATGTTTTTATTTCACAACGCAAATGTATCATAATCTTCTTAGGAATATTGATAAAATAACATGTAAACCAGCTAATACTCTTATTTATTCAAGTCATAAAATAAGTAACAAAGATGAAGACAATGTTGTTAACTAAGAAATGTCTCAATAGTTTGTCAGGAGATTAATTTATTCATCTTGTACAACACCAAGCATTACATACTCATCCTAGTAGTCTAAAGTCAATTCATGTGCAATTTGTGAGAAAATCATTTACAAGGGGGTCATAGAATATTACATTATCTTAAAGGAACAACAAAGAAAGGTATTTTATTCAATAAAAATGAAAGCATGAGCCTCTGAATCCATATAAACGATAATTATGTAGGATCAATTATTAATAAAAGGTCCACCTTCAACTATTGTATCTTTCTAGGTGGCAAGCTTATTACTTAGACAAAGTAAGACTTGGCATACGATAGTAAGATCCAACATACAATCTAAATTATGAGAAATGACCCAAAGTATATGTAAAATACTTTCAGTAAAAGATATCTTAGAAGATTTGAAAATTAAATAGACTGATTCCATTAAGTTATATCATGAAAATATATCAGCCATCAATACAGGTCATGATCTAGTATGACAAGATTACACAAAACACATTGAAATAAATCTACCTTACATCAAGGAGAAACTAGAAAGGGTTCTTACGTGTACACATTTAGTATCATCATATAATCAGTAAGTAGACTTAGATATCAAGGGTCTAAGCGATCTTATATTTTAGAGACTTGTTTTCAAGTTGGGAATAGATGATATCACATCACCAATTTGACGGAGAGTGTTGAAGGATATCACATTTTATTCTTTCATTCATTGTATCTCTATTCTTTTTAATAATGTTATCATGTCCTTCATCAGACATATCTAATTCAAACCATAATAGACCCATCTGACTAAATATGCATTAAGATGTAAGGCTATCATACATCTAGACTATTTATTTTAATTGAAAACAATTCTTGTGGTTATTTTTCTCTCCCGTCTTCCTCCTATGATGCTGTTCTTAATGACCAATGACCTTGGATTCCTCCGAAATTGACAAAAGAGTACTCAAATTGTGAGGTCTCAATTATCAAGCTGATTATGATAATATTATTTAAAATTAATTAGAGCCTAAGAAGGCAGTGTCTATTTTTCATTTCTAACTATATGCTGACTATTGATGTCAGATGTCAGAAGTGTTGCCAAGAAGAGTACAACAAGAAGAAGATGATTTGCACAGCAAAATATCTACTGAGAATTATCTCAGCACTTATCAAATTATCTTTCATCACCAATGTTTCCTTCCCTCACAGTCAATATGATTAGTGTATTAATTCATAGACTGCTAAACAGGGATATGAACAATCCCTAGAGAGCTTAGATCCTCCCATCATCACCACTTGTAACCTTACCTCTTCCACTAAATCTTTAACTCGGTTTTGATTAACCATGTGAGCATTGAGGACAGATGCACAGTCCAAGGCTCCGAAATTTCCAGCATTATGCAGCTAAAGGACAGATGTACTCTGAGGGACTGCCAGGTCAAACCTCAAAATTTCCCGAACCTTTGGTCACATAAAATCGAAATAGATATTTATTTCTCTTGGAGTTTATTGCTTTTTTTAATACTAATTATAGATCAGATGAAGAAGTAGGAAGGCCTTCGCCCCTGAGTTAATCTCCATGAGTGCCCACATCATTTCCTTCTCCTCACAAGTCTCCCGTACAGATCTCCAAAAATGGGTACTACTTCTCATTTCCTGGTATTATTTATGATCTTTCCTTTACATGCACTGCTTCCCACCTTGCATATATCTGGCCATTTTCTTATGATATTTGAATTACGGCCCAGCAGCAGTCGAGAAGAGGGAGTGAACCCCTTGAATCTATAATCACAACGAGATGAGCAGAATAAAATAAGAATTTGCTTAGAAAAACCACTGTCATCTATGTGTATATGGCTCCTGGCCCCAAAAAAATTCCAAAATTTTATCCAGACCGCCTTTGGAACAAATGAGCATCTTATGATCAACCAGGTAATTTGGAAGTATGATCGAAATTGCCACATTAGGCTGCCATTAATGTGACTTATGCCACATTAGTTTCCTGGGATACATTACTCGTCGAGAACTGTACATATACATATTATGCATGGATATCGATCACTAGCTTCCAAGGGGTCGACAAGAGCTTGGTGCGAGGTAGCTAGGGACCAAGCTAAGGATTTTCAGGAACGGGAAGGTCAACGGGGGGTGGTCCTCTCCCTGACGCGCACCAGCAGGCCGCCTTTCACCCGCAGGCTGGTAGACAGCAGCATCTCCGGCCGACCACCGCCGCCGACGACGTCCAGCGTGAACCTCTCGATCAGGCACGCCGCCATGGACTTCATCTGAAGATAAGCCATCTCCTTCCCCAGGCAGCTCCTGGCCCCGCCGTGGAAGGCCGGGAACCGGAAGGGGCTCTCCGCCCGGAATTCCCCGCCGGGCCCCAGCCACCGCTCCGGCCGGAACTCGCCGAAGTCCTCCCCCCACACCGCCGCCATCTTTCCCATGGCGTACGCGTTGTGCCACACGAACCAGACCTTCGTCCCGTCAGGCAGGACGTCGTCGGCGAGGCAGTAGCTGCTGTTCCAGGGCACCGGCGGGTAGAGCCTCATGGCTTCGGTAACGGCGGCGTGGAGGTAAGTCATCTCCCTCAGCTTGTCAAAGCCGAAACACTCCTTCTCTACTTCTTCTCCCTCCTTGCTTCTGGTCCTCACCGAACGGATCTCCTGAGGATCTTCCTCTCCACGTCTGACCTCTCCGACAGGACCCAGAAGAACCACGTCAATGCCGAGGATGTCGTCTCCTGCCCAACCAGTATGAAGTTCACGACGATGTCCCGGAGGAACTCGTCGGAGTTGTCCTCGCCGGCGATGAACCGCGACAGGAGGTCCTGGTGGCGGAGCTCCTCTGCTGCCGCCGCCGCCGGCGATCTCAGCTTCTCCTTCCTCGAACGGATTACACTCCGAGCGAAGTCGTTCAGAGTGGATATCGACTCCCTCAGACGCTTCTCCGATCCGACGTTGAGTAGCTTCTTGACCTTCCACATCCAGGGTACGGCGTACCGGAAGCGGCAGGCGGTGATGGCGGTGGCGTCCCGGAAGGCGGCGGCGAACCCCGGCGGGAGCCGCCCCCCGCCGGCGGAATCCTCCCCCTCGGTGGCAAGGCACGCGGGGTCCTCGTTGAACGCGACCTGGCACACGTTATCAAAAGCGAACCACTCCAGCACGTCCTGGAGATCGACGGCAGCGCCGCTCGCCGCGGCTCTGCGCAGCAGGGGTAGCAGCCGCCTGGTAACCTTCCGCTGGACGCTCTCCACGATGAAGATCCGGAGGGACCTGGTGCTGAACTCGGAGCTCGCCGTCCTCCGCTGTCTCTTCCAGAGTTCGCCGTCGGCGTTGAAGATCCCCTGGCCGAGGAAGTCCTCCATCACGGAGGTGACATAGGGCCCCTTGGGGTAGTTCTGGAGTGTCTTCCAGTTGAACACGAAAGTTCAATTTTAGCAAAATTATTTAATTTTTTTCTCAATAATTTTTGCTCATGAGAAACCGTAACAGTCCACACCAGATTTATTATTATTATTACTATTATTATTACTATTATTATTATGTTACATAACCCCATTTTGGAAGTTGGACTCGAGGACATGCTCCAGGTCGGCCGGGTTGGCGGTGACTATACCCTGTTGCATGCCCAACAGCCGGATGTGCAGCGTGTTGGTGGGGGCGGCGGCGAGGAGCTCGGTCTGCCATTCCTGGAGGCGATGGCGGTGGTTGATAAACTGCGGCAAGCTACCTATTAGTGGGTAGGCCATGAGGGGCCCCTCTGATTTAGGGTTCGAGAGATAGAACAAGAGCAGAGTGGGTAGGAGGACGATGACGATGACGATGACGAGCAGGAGGAGCTCCATGCTGCCAGCGACTGTACGTAGGTGGGGGGGTGGGAAGAGGAAGGAGAGGTGAACAGGCTCAGGCGAAGCCCGTCGTTTTTTATAGAAAAATGAGTGTTGAACATACGAGTGTCTTCCAGTTGAACACGAAAGTTCAATTTTAGCAAAATTATTTAATTTTTTTGTCAAGAATTTTTGCTCATGAGAAACCGTAACAGTCCACACCAGAATTTTATTATTATTATTATTATGTTACATAACCCCCATTTTTTTACTAATTTACCAGTGAATAAATCTTCCCAACACCTAATTAGTACATCAATATTTTTTTACTATATACCCAGAAAGTAATTTTTCAGCATTTCACATTTGGGCCGCAAAAGTAATTTGAATGTACTAATTGTCAACCCCTGCTTGCTCGTTTCGTCTACCACGTGACGAGACTTTAGTGAGTGTCTGAGTCCATAAGTCAATAGTCCTCAGCAAAAGAGACAAACAGGTTGAACAAACGTCAGGCGTGCTCAGTGTCGTGTGACGATCCCAGTTTTCTCCTCAGATTAGTCGTAGGGTAGAATTTTGTGGCAGTTACAGAGGATATGCCAGATTAAGGAGCCGGTCAACATCGGGCCTGGACCGGGCCCAGAGTTTGTCATCTTTTTTGGGCCTTTTTCTGAGTCCGTGAAGCGGCCCGAGCGAGGCCCATTGGATTTTTGTCCATCGGCGCGATAATTTACTTAAATAAATTAAAGCGCGCGTCACCGCTGGGAAATATATATATTAAATTGGGGGGTCGTAGTTATCCGATTTTCGTTCGACGGACAGGATCCCTCCACCGTCCAATCGACCCGACACGGACGGCGAGATCTTGCGAACATATGGAATCCACGTGAGGGCCTCGCATCGCCGTACACCTGGCACCAGCGAAAACGACGTTACTACATGGAAGACAGAGGGTATTTTCGGTTGACAGGTGTAATGGACGCGCCGGCGGGCCGGGCAAATAAAACTGTAGTTTCAGTACTTGCGGGCCCGACTCTTTCAATTAAGAGACTGGGCAGGAAAAGCCCGAATTTACTCTATGAAGTCATCAGGCCCGGCTCGAAAAAATTGGCCGATGTCGCGATGTGAAATGACATTAAAGCCCTTTATCAGGTGAGGCCCATTCTTACGACGTTGACCATATCCAGATTCCGCCCCCCCGTCACTAGAGAATCACTTTCTTCCTTGCCATCGGCGACGTTCTGACTGGTGGGTGCAGGCGGCGGTAACCGGAGGATAATAGAGCGAGAGAGAGAAAGAGAGAGGAGCTTGGGTGATGGCGTTGGCGGACAGGAGGGTGGGCGTGGCGGTGGACTTCTCGCCGTGCAGCAAGGAGGCGCTGAAATGGGCGGTGGACAACGTCGTGAGGGACGGCGACCATCTCATCCTCGTCAACGTGCAGAAGGAGGGCCAGTACGAGGGGGGTGAGACCCAGCTATGGGAGGCCACAGGCTCGCGTGAGTGTCCCTGGACCATCCTTTCCCCAAAATCCTCCCGATCTGTCTCTCTCCCTCTCCCAATCGCCACGATCCTGGAAATCATCGCCGCTGTTCCGCTGCTTTTCTCTCCCCCGATCCCTGATCAGTTCATGCGGCACCCTTTCCCATTTCGAATTCCCTATTTCCCCTCATTATTAATTTTCTTAAGATCTGTATTTCCATCGCCGATTCTTCGATCGTGATTCATGATTCGTGAGTTCTACTTTCTTTCTTCGGACGGATGCTTGGTCCGCTAACTCCTCCACCTTCTCCTTGCTGGAGACATCGCGGAGGAACCATATGGCTGACCTAAATCATATGGAATTCATCTTGTTCTTCAGACGAAGAACGATACGAGAAAGGGTGGGATAGATTCAAACAGCCAATTCCACGAATTATTAACCCTGCCTGGCTTGTTCTTTCGCAGCGTTTATCCCTCTCTCGGAGTTCTCCGACGCGGCGATTTCGAAGAAGTATGGAATCAAGCACGATCCCGAAACCTTGGACCTTCTCAACACCTTGGCGAAGCAGAAAGAGGTAATCAATGGCTCTTCTTCTCGCCCCCAGAGGAAGAACCATGATCGGGCTTCATAAATTCCACCCTCTGATTCCGTTTATCAGGTTGTGATCGTGGTGAAGACATACTGGGGAGATCCGCGGGAGAAGATCCTGGAAGCCATCGACAACATCCCTCTTAGCTGCCTCATCATAGGGAACAGAGGGCTCAGCAAGCTCAAGCGGTAAAGTCTGGACCCTTCATTTTCTCACATGGATCGTTCTTCCACTGCATCGACCCCGAAGGAGGGTAGCTCTTGCAGATCTCACCATTTTTGCTTTCCTTTGCTTCCCCCATGCAGCGTAATAATGGGAAGTGTCAGTAACCATGTTGTGAGCAACGCCACCTGCCCTGTCACCGTCGTGAAGCACGCTCATGAAGGGTAGAGTCTGCAGTTCTCGATGAGCTCGATTCAGAATCATGAATTTTCTATAATAAGATTCCTGAGCTTGAGAAATATGTGCAATGTGTGCCTGGTAAATACTGAGTTCTGCTGCTTGCTTCTTTTTGTGGAAGAATGACGCGGGCAGCCCTCGAAGCTTTTCGGGCGTGCTCTATCTGGTGTATCTTCTGTTGTTCTGCTCCATGATCTGTTCAAACTCCTCCGAGATTTGAAGAACTGAGCTTGTTTTTTCTTCCTTCTCTGCTGAATTCATCGTTTGTGGTTTTCTGAACTCTCTCTCTCTCTCCCCCCTCTATCTCTCTATCTATCTATCTCTTTCTCGCTCCATCTTCGACTATACGTCTTCCTGCGGAATTTATAATGGAAAAAGCGGTTCTTTGGAGATGAGAGAGAAAGTCGGGTCACATCTCCTGGTGCCCACTTTATCCTCTCTTTTTACAAGTTCCCGTCAGGGGGCATGCAAGCCCTCCACCACGGAGATCCGCCGAGTTACTGGCGGCGCGGCGGGCTTTAGGACCCCCCTTCCTCGTCGCCAGCCCTGTCCCTAGGTCAACCCCTTTTCTCCTTCATTCTTCTTCTTGTTCATCTACCTTCAGTCTCTTCATTTAGAGAGAGAGAGAGACAGAGAGAGAGAGAGAGAGAGAAGACTAGCAGGGTGGGTTCCTGCTTTTAAACACTTCAATTTAGAGCTCAATGTCGTCGGAAACATACAGTAAATGGATGCATCTCCTGTCACCTAAAACAGACACCCCTTTACTATTATATATAGCAGACTATCACAGTAGCCAGAAGGAACCTCCCCCGCGCAGGACCTTACAAACTCTCCGGGTACCCGGCGAGGCCATTCACCTTGAGGAATTTCTTCATGAGCAGAGCCACGATGGCGATCGTCAGGCCGACGGCGGCGTAGGTGAACCACCGCTCGTCGACGACGGGCTTCGGCGCTGTGGCGGCAGGGTCGGCGTTGGCCGCCACCCTCCTCTTGAACCTCACCCCTGCAGAGAAGCTTACCCTCACACGGCCGGCACCGGCGTTCACCCGGACTTCCCGCACTTCCTCGACGATCCTCTGTTCGGGCTGGGCGTTGTTTGCGGTGGTCTCACCGGCAGCCGCCACGACTTCGGCGGCGGGAGGATCAGCCGGGGCTTCTTCCTCATGCCTCTGGATGGGCTGCTGATCGAGTGCAGGCGCAGAGACCGGTGTGGGGACGGGGGGAGACTTGTTTAGCATGTATTCATGAATCTGCACATGAAGAAGGAAGTAATGAATTAAAGCCACAGCGCCTCGCCACTATTTAAGAATATGCCAGGAAAAAGGGGGGTGTCTGAAGACGCACCTCGTCAATCAACCTTTGCCGTTCGGGTGTTCCATATCTCGGAGCTCCTCCACGTGACTTTATGGCAAGGGCTCGCCGTTCCTCCTTCTTGTAATCCAGGGAGCCAAGCGCCCCATCTGGGTTCGTGGGCATGAATGCAATCAAGGCTACCAGGGCAGTACGGACTGAAGGAAAGAGTAGAGAGGGGAGAAGAAGGATGTCAATGCTTTAAAGAAAGGATGACACAGCCAAATGAGCATATAGTACTAACCTCTGTAAAAGCACACAAAAGAGTCTTTATGAATCTTAAGAACATGATGACTATTCACAATCAAGATTGGACACAGGACACGTGTATGTATAACTTTCAATTTATGTTAAGACTCCTCAGCAATGTAAAAACATCAAAAATATTCCATAAAAAAATGCAGTTAGATGGCAGTTAGTGAAGAAAATGCACTAAATTCATCAAATCACACAATAAATAGATCACTTCAAAAAATGAACATTTGCATATGATCTGTGTACATAAATACATGCTCTCACATATCAGCTCGAAAACGTGCTACAAGACTTAAAATGGAACAGCATGTCTTGCTGGAGGAATTATTGAAAGATCACATTACAAGTCGATAGATATAAAATAGACTATGATATTAAGGTGTGTCCACGAAACAAATATGATACAAGGAACTGTTGGATTAAGGGAAAGAGGGACAAGGACAACAACTTAGGAGAATGGATAGATAAGGCCATCACATGAAATGTGCATTGCTTACCCAAAGTGAAAACATATTTTCTTCTAATCACCAGTAAAAGTACAGTATGAAAGAATAATCTATCACCAGAATCTTGTACTACAGATGTCGAAGAGGCTAGTGGCCATCCAAGTAATTAGATCAAGTGACACAAAGGTTCCACCATGACATAAACACAAACAATTCTTATTTTAGTATTTCTGAAACCTCCAGCTATGTGGAAGGATTCACAGAAAAGGTTAAAAGCCACATCATATTAGAATTAGATATAAATAATTATTCGAAAAAAAAGTAAAAACGGAATGCTGGCGAAGTTTCTCAATGCATTGAGCAATGGTGAGAAATAATTAAGAGCGTACCACTCCATGATGGCTGCCAGTGTTCAGGGTGATGATTGGAAATGCTAAGGCAAATCTTGGTCTGTGTCTCAAAACGACCATTTGGCTGAAGAAAAAGTGAAAAAAATCAGCACAACCGTTGAGGTAAAGATACAGATGATGGTAAATGACTGAAAAATTATCAGATAGACGGAGTAAATGGAAGAAGTATCCTTACGGTTAGCAACATGAAAGAAGGCGGCTTAAATGGGTACTCTGCAGGTAACTGAATTCTTCCGTGATAGATTCCCCCCTCAAACTCCGAATCGCGAGGTCCCCGAATTGCAAATTGCCATTCGAATATATTTTCCTGATAAAAAGAGGGCGTCAATAATCGAATTAATAGATGAGAAGTAGATTCTCGCTAGAGCAATCAAACAAGTTGCACTATCAGAGCTTCGAAACTTTCGTGCATGCGGCAAATATATGAGACTAATTGTAAAAATATCACGATAAAAATTCAGCTTCGAGCGCATTTTCTAAGCATCTATCTTCATACCAAATATAAATATTAAAAAATAAAACGAAGAATAAAACGATCTGCACATAAATTTGCTTGATAGTAGACTCCCGAAAAGGGCAGCACGTCCTAATCCTCCATTCGCTCAAAAAATGAGGAATCCATGCAATTCAACAGATCTAGGTCACAAAAATCTCAACAATCCATACGTTTAGCCAAATTCCACCAACGGAGCCCTCAAGCATGGTAATCACCGACCTAGCCATCCCCCACCATCACCGTCTTTACCGCCCCCCGCAAATCAATGAAAATCCTAAAGAAACAGACCTACAGACGCATATCACCTCGAGGGGGAGGCTCATGAAATCATCGGAAGGGTTGGCCTGCATCTCCTTGACCTCCTGCAGGATCCGCTTTACTGCCGGGTTCTTCAGGTTGTACTTCTCTTCCGCCATCGCAGCTGCCGCCGCGGACCCCTCCCCTTCCCGATTCACTCCGCCTACGATCCCTCCACCGTTCGCACAATTGCGAGAGATGGGCAGACCGAGATGGTGGGCGGAGACAAATAAGAGGGGACAGCCGCAGTCCTCATTTAAGCCAGTATTGAAACAGTATTTATAGGGGAGGAAAAGAATGACCAAGAAATTTCGCCGAAGGAGAGAATCGGTTTTATTCAGAATACGAATTGCTACGCACCGTTTCATCCGTGCGACTATTCATGAGGCTCAGCTGGCCACAAGTTTCCGACGAAAACGCACTCGTAAGCAGACACGGGGCGTTTCAATGCGTCGGAACCAGGTCAGCACCGTCCTGGATGACCTGGCTTTCCCGCAGTGTTGTCTGCGTCACTCGCGCTTCCCACGTGGAAGACCCCCATTGGCTTGATGAGTTGGCAAACTCGCGTCCTCATCTCAGCCATTGTTCGGGAATTTCAATCGCTTGCCTACATGGCTGCGTCTCCACAGTCCACGTGGCAGAAAAATCAGAAACTAATTGATTATATCCAGCAAATTAATTCGTATAATCCCCAAATTTGACCCCTAAGATTCCGCAGAAGATGTTCCTATATATGCAGAGGCGGTGGTCCCCTGTCCGGCCACCAGGTGGTAGAACAGCAGCTCGTTCCAGGTGTCTGGGACCCCCGGCAGGCACCAGTGGCTGCAGTCTTGGACGCCGCCGCCTTGGCGGCGCCGCCCGTAGATCGATGGGTGGCCGTCGACCCTCAACCCAGACAATCCGGTGATATCCAGCAAGGTCACCGGGGTCCTCATCTTCTTCACAATCTCCCCCACAATTCTGTTCATCGGGGAGCCGCCATCGCCGCCACTGCTGCCCGCCGGTGGGCCGCCTAGGGGCCAGGTGCTCTCCCGGCAGTGGCCGCCGAAGTTCCACTCACCGCCACTGCCATGGAAGCACAGAAAGGAGCAAGCTTTCTCAATTGGGTTCTTCTGACCCGACTGAGCCATGGTAGGGGAAGGAAGATGAGAGAAAGTAGTACCTGAAGTGGGAGGGGGAGGAGGTTCTGAAGAAGACTCGGGTCTTGCCTGGGTCAACGTTCCTGTCGATCCATGCTGCCCAGGTCATCAGAGCCTTCCGGAAGGCGGCGGCAGCGTCGAGGTGAGGATGAACTTGGTCCCCCTCCTGGAAGTAGTTGACCCTAGTGGGAGAAAGCAAACAAATTCATACAACGTAGATGATGATATTCTTTTTCTGATCTAAGCTTGATTTTCAGATTTCCCAAGCTCAGTTCGTTCTAGGGTTCTATCCAACTGCAATCAACGTTCTTCATGTGCATTATAAAAATAAAATTAAAATTAAAAAAATAAAACCAAATCTGGGTCATATCCGGCATTAATTCTTAAAAAAATCGAAGGTTATTCAATCCAGAGATATTATATAATCCCAGACATAGCATTCTTATGGAATTAACTCCACCGAGTTACCATAATTTCATGATGATGATGATGATGATGATGATGTTGGTTTTAAGGGGGATGGGCAATGAAATCGACCAATAGAATGCTAAACTTCACTTGATTTAGTGATAATTGACAAATGGGGGGAAAGAAGGGGGCGGAATCTGATCCACCAAGAAAATAATTAAATTTCATGCATTTATTCGGCATCGTTCTGGCAGAGAACAAGTAATTGAGACCAAATTTAAATAATTAGATGATGATCAGGGGGAAAAAAAGGATCCACTTTCTCTTGGGGGGAGATTAGCAAGAACACAATCTACCCAAATCTGAATTGGGTCGATTAATTATTAAAGCTGGGATCTTAAATGAAAATGGGAAGCAAGAGAGAAACCACCGACTCACCCTGCCTTCGTCTTGTGATGAGACCACCAATGAGCCGTGTTGAAGACGAGAACATCAGCCCCTCTCCATCTGGCTGAGCTCCTGTCCATGGCGTCCAGCCTCAGAGTCACCTTCCTCTTCGTCCCCACTCTCGCCCTCCCCTCGCGAACCAGGAAATGGGTCACGTAGTACTCGACACTGCACTTGTAATCCTGCAGGATCCACAAAAACCATTCCCTAATTCTCAAACTCCCATCAAAGAGACTATACATAGATATCTAGAGAGAGAGAGAGAGAGACGCGGGGGTAGAGAGAGAGAGATTCAGGATTATACCACAAACTTGAAGTTGTAGATTCCCTTCTCCTTGGTTATCTTGCGGCCACGGGCTTCGTAGACGCTGTTCGGATTCAACCCGCTGCTCAGCAGGCAGAGCATCGACTCCCACTGGTTCCTGTTAATGGAATCACCAACAAACACCAACCTCTTCCCTTTGATCGCCGCCAGCATCTTTGAAGCATCAAACCTGCAATCATTCCCACCCCGTCCCACCAAGCTCGTCAGAGATTTCTCCCCAAATGACTTGCAGAGGAAAAACCAGAACACAGAGAAACACGCACACAAATCAGAGGAGAGAGAGAGAGAGAGAGGAGGGTGGGGGAGACCTTGGGATGTCACAGCCATGGGGACGCCATCTCCAGTTCATGTAATGCTTGTCTAATCTTCCATTAGCCTGGCAGTTGAAGCCTTCATCTATGAAGCGACAGGAGCGGTTGGTGTAGAGGGGATAGGAATCGTCGAGAACCCACTCTCCGCTGGAGAGATCGCAGGAGCCTCCATGGATCTTCCTCACCAGAGAAGCTGAATCGTTGCCAAGGCCTCTGATCGAGTTTCCATCTCCGGATACGTCGTCATCTTCTCCACGATAGGAAGCGGCTGCTGCTGCATTTGCATTGAGGTGGGGGTCGGCCAGGTCGAGGTCTTTCCTCTTCCAGGGAGGAGCAAAGGAAGCTTTAATGGAAGAACCCAGGGTTTCGCTCGAGCGGACATCTCCGAAAATGGCGGAATCATTCCCCTGGGCCGCGGCTTCAACCAGATGGGTCTGCTTAGAAATGCCGGAGGGGCTCTGATCAGAGGGGGAGAAGCTTCGTACTCCCAGAGCTAAGAGCCCGGAGCTGAAGAGGAGGTGGGCCTCCTGAGGGCTGGGGTAGGAGAAGGCCCACACGGAGAAGAGGAGGAGGATCACCAGAGAAGAGCTCACAGCGAAAAAGAAGAGCAACCCTGTGGGCCTGATGGAGAAGCTCCTCTGTCTCTGCATCTCCCCTGCTCTCCTCCCCCGGAGGGGACCTCTCCAAATCGAAAGCAAAGAACCCCCCTCCCCCGCCCCGTCTGCCCAGCAGGAGGGTTATGAAGCCATGTGCTTCTAGACGCACAGCCCGAAAGGCGGCATTTTTCGACATCCCCGCCTTATGGGAGATAGAGTGAGAGAGAGAAAGAAGGGATAGAGAGAGAAAGCGAAAAAGAAGACAGCGGACGACGTGGGTGGTGGGTGTGGGGGATTCTGTTCCTCCGAGACTGCGGTTGACTTTTCATATTTCCCCCACTCTCCTCCTCTTCTCCACTTTCCTCGGGCCGCCATGGAAACCCACCTACCCAGAAGGAGAAGGGACCCCTCTATGTGGGTCAACGTCGGAAAGAAGAGCGAGCATCCTGCAAGACCTGCGGCAAGCGGCGGCGGAGGGAAGCGGGGTGGCGCAGCGCATCATGGCGCAGGTGGTTTACAGATCAGCAAAAGATTATTCTTTTATTTAAGTCAACTCCGGATTTATTATCGCGGTTCAGATATCTTCGTCAATCAATTTGACGCCCAACTGAACCCAGCGACTGAGCCCAAACGACGTGACGAGTTAGGCGGCGTCCGGCTAACGGTTATGAATTGATATGAATTTTAAAAGATATTTCATAGATGTAAATATATTTTTATTGAAGGGCATCTATTGATATTAAATTTAATATTTGGGATGACGATATTTGGTTCAGCCAAAATCTTTGCACTTCCCATCTCATCTCTTCAAGGTGGACTAATTCATTCTAGTTAATACCCTCACTTTTAAAAAATAAAATAAAATAAAATTGGGTAGATCCACCGAAGTGGGTAGCCTTAATGTGTTCACAGGGAAAGCTCGAAGCTGTTCCCATCCCTGTCAAGGGAGATGTCAACCATCTCTCCTTCTAACAAACGATAATTGTATAGTTCTACTAACTATTTGTTCAATTTAAAGTTAATCTTTTTTAATGGAAAAATAACAATGGAAAGGGGTATTGCTAATATAATTAACAAGATTTACCATCATAAATAACCCAAGTATATTTCATATGGATGCCAGCCCACTAGTAAATCTGGTCAAACCCCTCGTCCTCACAATGATGAAATTGAAAGTCAACACCAAAATCTTGTCCAGGATAGTATTTATTAGTATGCAAGCACTCAGGTTAGGAGGATTGGATTACCATTATTTTATTCATCATGGATGTGACTAAGGTTTGACCCCCTTGGAGGTTCAATCATCAAGTTCAATGAAGCCCAACTCTAATACAAGCTTCAACCCAACCAATTGGTGGTCTTAAACCTAAAATATTGGGCTTACTATATAAAGGAAAAGGATGTTAAATTGAAGTCTATGGTGAATGGGTAGGCAGAAGTTATGCACTTACAATGAAACCCTTGAGATTTTATTATGCACTTGACAATTGAAGTCTATTATATAGTTATGCACTTACAAGATCTTCCTTCCAAGATGTAGAAGATGATGGCCTGAAAATAATAACAAAATCAAGGGGAGAAGCACCAAGGATTAGTACTCTCTATCTTGATCCTCTTTTTGGTGAGAAACTAGGATTCCTACCTGCTTAGCTTTCTCCTAACACGTAAAAATCATGAGACTTGTATTGCAGAAATAGTTTGAACTGATTCACCCAAAACATGTAGGAATTGCTTTCTAATCAAACAAATATGGGAAGCATTGTTAACTACAGATATTAGGCTGGTTGAATATATGTGATTAATGGAGTTTAGGTTGGTCAATTTGACTTGGGCATGGTCTAGGTTACAAATCCAAAATTGATCCTCCAATTGGGCCATTAAGCATTCCTTGGCATTTATTTTTGAAAATTTAACTTTTCAGTTTGGTTGCCCAATAACTTCTTTAACATATTCTTACAGCTTGGACATTGTTCTTGGTCTATACACATTTTGTTTATCCTAACCATGCAACAAAGTCCACTAAAATAGTTTGCTAGTGAGCATATTTCTTTACAATACTCATGCGCTCATTTCTACAAAGTTATTCATGTGATTATGAATGTGTGACCATTTGTAATAAAGGAATAATCCTAAAAAATATGGGATAGTAAATTCAAAATGATTTTCACTTTCTTTCATAAATGACTCTTCCTCACTAAATTCAAAAAACTATATGTAATGTGATCAGACTTGTATTGCCAACTCTTGATGATAAATAACCCATAAATTATAATATGATAAAATTGATATAAAAATTATAAAGACTTTTTAAAGCACATGCTCAAGTTATGATCAATTAGATACATGAAATGACTTGAGGAAAGTAAATAATACTTATGACAGATGAGAGGTGGTGAGTTTTCAAACTCTAGTTCAGTTTTAACATTTGAAAGCTCATCATATTTAAAAAGATATTTAACATTTTAGAATAATGAAGAACATCAAGGTATATATAAAAAATAAAAAGTTGCATTGCGTAATGGTACATTACATTTAGGTCAATATTTTCCAGGTATGAGAACTCATAGTGTAAAATAAAATGCTAATTCAAGGTTAATATTTCAATATTTGCAAAACTTCATTCCAAAACAACAATATTTCTACTACTAGACATTTAACTTGCATAAATGATGTATTATGTCAAAGTTAATATTTCATTATCAAATAAGTTGTAATGCAAAGTAAAAATATATCAAGGTAGATATTTTATTATATAAAATTTACATTGCAAAAAATATAGACTATATCATACTTAATATGTTAACATATCGTAAGGTATGTTGCAAAATAATAGAGTATATTGAATTTAACATTTCAGTACATGAAAATTATTTTTTAGAATACAAGCGTCAAACCCATGAGTAAAGCATACCAAGATCATTATGCCCAGATATAAGTTACATTGTAGAAAATAACTTGAGTATTCAATATTAATATGTCAATATTTGAGTAGTTACATTATAGAATAGTGAAATATACCAAACCTAGTTATAAGTATATAAAGTAATGTTATATCAAGCATAATATGTTCATACATGTGGGGTTACACTAGGTAGATTTTCCGTATACAAATGAAATTTATGAAAATATTATTATATTATATTTTTGTTAATTTCTTTGGATCATTTTTTAAATCTAAATACTCCATTTACTAAAAAGATTAATCATATTTATTTTCTTTCATAAATTATCATGATTTCAACTTGAATAATTGCATCCAAGATTTCCTTGAGATTATGTTATTTTTTTATCTTAGGAATACATAAGGAGAAATAATTTCAAATGAAAGAAAGATCTACAAACTGAAGGTTAAATATATGGCCACGTGGTATATTAACACATGTTACCACATTAACGAAAGTGACACATTTTGTCCAAATATACATATGATGATATAACTCTAGTATTGAAGTATTTATATATTCATATTCTTTCTACATGATATAACTCTACATTAACTCTATATGATGATATAGCTATTATTCAGAAATGACAAGAAAATAAATAATAGATCAAAGTTTTTTTTAGAATTTTTATATCATTGATGACATGTCAAATGAGTACATGAATAAAAAGTAAAAAAACTTGACAATTTGAAGTTGATGTAGATATCAAATTATTCTCCATCAAGTTAGTATGCTCATTATTTAAATGTCAAAATATAGGAACTACATACTCTAGAAAATGGTAAGAATTTAAATGAGTATCTCAAACATTGGAGATCAAAAAAGGTGAAAACTTAGTACATAATAAAGGCCTATATAGCAAAGAACAATTCGGAACCAAGAAATTAAAAATATATATAAAGATTTAGTACTCTTCATCAAGATCTTCAAGATGCACATGTCAATCAAGAGAAAATTATTTCACACTGTCATCAACTTGATTCAGCAATTAAACAACTCAATAATTACAATTGGTGCTCTCTATTATGTTCTAAGATAATTGAGTGGTGAGGAGAGAATGGGTCTCACAAAGACATGTGGTCTTTATAGTTGTATTTGGCTCATTTGTGGTTGAGTATTTATAGAGACAAATTCGTGAGATTTGAGTCACTGATCTCATTATTATCAATGTGTATCACAAAGAATTATCCTTATACATTGATAATAATGAGATCAATGACTCAAATCTTAAAGGATAATAGTTAATATTAAAGGATAATTCTTTTTAAAACTCGAAGTAAAGTAGTAAGTAAATCAACTAGTGAGAAAGTGTTGAGATGTCTTGTCATCACTATCAACCTTTACATGTGTCAACACATTCACCTCCCTACACTAACGCATATACAACCTTATGCAATAACTTATCTAAGAACTAAAAAATCATTTTTTTATAGAAATTTTAATTCACCCTTTCTCTTAGTGTTTTAACTAACCCAACCAATGGGACAAATAAAAAAGTATATCAAGTTTAATATGTGGAGCTACATAGCATAACAATAGAGTAAGTTTATTTACATCAAGCATAATATGTTAATATATGTGGAGTTACACAAAAGTAATAGTAGAGTAGATTAAGTTTATTCTTAGTATATGAGAAGTTACATTGTATTATAGGAGAGATTTTGAATACCTTGATAAATGAAAATCATATTCTAAAAATTAATAATTCATGTTGAGATAAATATGTTATAATTCAATATATCAAAGACTATATTTTAGTACATGAGAGTTATGTCATGAAATAGCATAATATATTAGAAAATATGTAAACATAAAAACTTTACACTATGAAATATGAGTGTATAAATAATTACTTATACACCATTAAATGACTAACAATAAATCCAAGGAGTTACATCCTTGAGATATATTTTTATGTCTACTTAATGTAATATAATATTCTTATAATATGTGTAGAATAACATATGTCAACACATGTGACGAAGTATCATGTATTTTCCTAAAAAGTAAAGTTATTTGTAAGATTTGAATGCAACAATTAAACATTATAAAGATAGCACTATTAGAATAAAGAATGTTTGAAAAATCAAAGAAAAATACTATCATATGTGGGATTCAAACTCAAAAAGCAAACTACGCAAAGATGAAAATAATGATAGCCAAAATATTTGAGTACCATAAAGACTAAAGCTTGAGCATGATTTGAAATTTACATCACAATAAGGACATTGTAAAAAGTTGAACAACTATACAGAGTAAATAAAATCACATAATTAGTAGCTGAAGTAGGATTTGATCTCCAATCTTACATTGTGACTAAGTTGAATCATTTGCATGAATTTATCAAAGAAATGAAAATGTCTTTGCCATGTAACCTATACAATAACACATCATAATCTTACATGGAAAAAATGACATCGTAAAATGATCTACTTCAATTTAGTTTCAAAAGTAAAATCACATATTGAATTGTAAATCTCTAAAACAAAAAATTAGAAGATCATCTATGAAAGATCTGCATATTTTTAAGTAAGAAAGTACCCAAGGCTAGTCTCGTGTATCATGGACAGTAACACATCACCAAAGTTCATAGATAAAAAGATAAGTTCAATGATGATATCCGAACTCGATCTTGAAGGGAACAATGTGTATTGATTAATTAAGAATATCCAAACACATTATCAAGGACAACCTATATGAGAGTAGAAGGATTTGAGTTGAAGAAAAATTAAAGGTCAATAGTGTAGATTTTGGATGATAATTTACCAACATAATATACAAACTAAAGACAAGTCAAACAACCACTGCTAAATACACTCTAGCAAAATATAATGTACATCAATCAATTATTAATCCCTAGAAAAAATATAATAGGGATAAAGGTTTAGAGTTTAAAAATATAATAGTAGAGATTATAGAATTTTAAAAATAGAGGAAGGTCACCAATATCTCAATAAAGTAACAAAAATATTTTCAAACTCATATGACTATTCTTAAATGTGGAAATGATAAGGATACATTGGATTATAAAGAGAACAAGCTGAAGATGAACTAAGGTTAACGTTGAACAAAGATATTTTCATCTTCATCATTCACTTAAGTTTGGAAAGAAGATCTTTTTTAATCCTTTATAGCAAAACAACTGCATGTCTCAAAAAAAATATTTAACATATAATCCTACGAGTCAACTAATAAAGTTAAAAGTTATATCTCTTCATTAGGCCTTAAGATAATTGGGGTGGTGAATGAATAGAGAGTTAAGGCACAAGGTGCCAAGAGCTAATAATTACACTTTGAGGGTGTTGTTCTCTAAAGAGAATCATGTGTATTAACTTAGGCACGTGGTGTTGAAAGTCAAGATTTATTTGTGAGGGGTTTGATCTTTACAAAGACTTAAAAATAATATTTGGGTTGTTAATCTCATGAAATCAATTATATTTTTAAGAAGAAATAGTAAATCCTGTTAAAGGATCATCTACGACTAGATGTAGCCTGATGAAAGATAAATCAATATAAAATCTTTTATGTTCCTCATAGTCATAAGTGAGAGTGAGAGACCAAAGCAGCCTCATGACGAAAAGATAAGTTACTTAGATGAATCTACACATAGATTTGAGAGATTGTGTTAGAACATATGTCAAAATATAATAGAAGTTATTTGTTGGTATTCCATAGTTATTGTTAAAATGACATGCAAGTAGCCTTATTGAATGTTGAAGAATATATGAAATACAAAAAGGTTTCTAAAAATAAGACAAATTTGAAATTTAAAGAAAGGAGTAAGCAAAATATCATGAAAAGTATATTTAAAAATATTGATGAAGATTTTTTGTGAAAGCAATAATGTACAATAATCTTTGAGAGAATTCTAGACCTCAACAACAATAATCTAATCATTGAGAAAACAAATCATCATTAATCTTTGAAGATATTAAAGCTCCAAGATGAACTTTTAACTGTAAATTAATTCATCACATTACAGTAAAGTTATGAAATTAAGAGTTGTAAGGTTGAATATAAATTTCCTTGATAGTATTTTATTGACATTACTAAAAGTGTATCTTCAAGAATAAGTACATGTGAATACTTGAACATTTCTAGATTAATGAATCCAAAATGATGAACTACCATTTAATCAATAGTGCTTGACTACATAAAACAATAGTGAAAGTACTAATATTATTTTAACCACTGTAATTGTGAATCTAGTAAAAGTAAGTTGAAATGTTAAATGCTATGCTATCATTATGATACTATCAACTAGAGAGTATATTTTTAGAAAATAGAGTAAGTCATACTAACTAAATCATTATAAACTATGTAGCTCACTTTCTTGATCTCATTGATCATCTATAGAGAGCCAAGTCACTAGCTCACTTGAATTGTTGTATCTCTCACGAGCTGTATATTTTTTCATTTTCATTTAATTATTGATTTTAATCATCTAAATAATTTGGTAATAACAATGATTATGAAAGTAAAATTAATATGTTAACAACGATAAAAGTATTCAACATGTTTTATAAAAATGAGAATTAACTCCATCATTGGAAAAACATCAATGGAGGAGACAAATACAAGAAATAAAGTAGATGGAAATTACATAATTTATTTAATATGAGCTGAGTTCTACATCAATAAATTGAATAAGGGTAAATTGTTCATTACTATTAGGAGTAAGATATTAAAATCCTATTTCTACATCAAATGACAAAGGTTTTTTCATTGTAGGATACTACAAAAAGGGACTTCAAATGTTCATTGTTAAAAAGATGAATCCAATGCAAAAATTGGACACAAAAATCACATGAATTTGATTTAATATATTTTTTTATAAATTTTGAAACATAATTTCTATATTTATTTTAGGCCTAGCCCAACAAAGTCAAGTTATTATGGCCCAAGAAACAGCCCAATAAATATAAGCAATTGTGGTCCAAGGTGCAACCCTATAAAATTGAAGGGTTGACTTGGTAAAATCATGTTGTTAAGGTTCAATTCAAGGCTTAATAAATCAAGCCATTGTGGTTCTATGCATGACCCAATAGAATCGAGTCATTGAGGAGGCCCAGCCCACTACACAAAGTATAAGAAAGGATGTCTCATGCAAAATTAGGGTCAACAAAAAACATCAGAAGTCTAGAGATGTTGTGCAATCCTTTCTTCTCCTCGTTCATCTAAGTATTTTCTTCGTGAAGAAATCTACTTGGAGCTCATGTGGTTGAGCTTGTTCATCATCAACCAATCCACAATATCTCCACCTTGCAATAGTCAATACCTTGTGCACCTTCACTCAAGTTGAAATCAACTATGAATGTTGAAGACTCTAGTAAAAAGAAAAAGTGATTGATTTACTTCCGTGCATATTAGTTAATTTATATATGATGTTAGGGAACATGCAGTGTGTCTATAATAAGGTTTATAAAATTTTTAGAACCTTATATTCTAGTGAGTTTAAAGAGACTCATGGAGTCTATGTTATAAAAAGGTTATTGATCTAGTAAAATCATTTGTATCTTCAAGAGATGAATAGTAGAACACAACATTAGTGATTTTTAGAAAGTGAACATAGCCCTTGGTTAAGAATACCCATTACAAAATCCTTGAGTACTTAACAAAACTAATAGTTACTAATCATTCTCAATTAACAAAAAAACTTAACTAATCAACTAGCCTTCTAAGGAGCAAAATTAATTAATTAGAAAAAAGTATCAAATTGCCCCCCACCCACTCATCCCCTTTCTTGGTGCCATATTGACATCATTGGACATAATAAATGGACAATTAACAATTAATATTTTTAATGGTCATAAATGTGGTAGATAAATATCAGCTAGTGAAATCAATGGGCATTGATAAATAAAAATTAGTACCTTTATTCTATGCTCCTTCCATCATTCTTATTCCAAAGTCATTATGACTATATGTTAGTAATGCCCATGAGAAGTTTGTACTACATTGTGATGGAAATGTCAATTTCAATGGGAGTTGAGGTTTTGGCATTGATCTTGAGAGAGGATCCTCATCCCCATCCCCTCTAAAATTAGATTGGTCAATATCCAATTGCACCAAGAGGAATCTGTATAGCCTCATCCCCATCCCCAATTCCATGCATATGAATCTTTGTGTAACTTGTCCTCAAAGAGATTTATGGAGATCTATCATTATTTATTGTGACATCAGCTTTCACATATATATTATGTCATTTGTGGTTGATGTGTTGTAAGTTTTTGTCCATAGAATTCACATATATTTGAAATAATTAATTTAAACCCAAAAGTTTTGGTTTTATCCGCTAATTCCGTCCACAACTGGACCAAGAAAGTTTCAGCATTATTTTCCACAAGAAAACTCACATCAGAACAATTTTCCCTCTCGAGGCTAAGACATGAGTGAGAGAGAGAAATAGAGAGAGAGAGAGAGAGAGAGAGAGAGAGAGAGAGAGCTGTGACGGTTCAAGGTTGCTTGCCTTTCACCGGAGAGAAGACTGCCTCGGTGATCAAGTGAGTCCTCGCCGACAACCCCCCTCCGATGAGGTGGCTCAGGAACACCTTCCCGTCCTTGACCGTCACCGAGGACGCGATCCTGTGCATGGGCCCCCTGTAGATCTCAGCGATGGCCGCCGTCCTCCAGTCGTCGCCGCTCTCCACAAACCTCCCGGAAGGGGTGCCGGCGACGACCAACCTGGTGGGCGAAAGCAGCTCCAATCCGTCCCCCAGAAGCAGCGATCCACCGGTGACTTGCACCACCTCCACCCCCGCCGTCGATGGGTCGACTCTGAAGAGCTGGGCCCCAAAGGTGTGTACTACCAGGAGGTACCCATTTGGGTGGTAGACGATCCCGTTTAAGCCCACCTGGTTTCGGTACCAATCCCCGCTCTAGGTGAACACCGAGCTTCTGATCTCTCCCAGGAGCTCGCCGCCGGCGCCGATCTTCCAGAGCTTGTTCGTCTTGGCGTCGGTCACGTAGGCGTTGCCTTCTCCGTCCAAGGTGGCGTCGTCGGCGTCGGAGGGCTCGTCGTCTGCAAAATTTGCGGGGAAGAAGAGGGAAAGTGAGTATAGAGCGAGCGAGCGAGAGAGAGAGAGAGAGGGAAGGAAGGCGTACTGGGTCCGCTGAGCTGGGCGAGGAACAGGCGGCGCCAGGAGGAGAGATCGTAGGCGGCGAGAGCGGAGTATCGGTGGCGGAGCAAGTCGGAGTAAACGACCAGCAGTCGCCGCCGCGGGGCGTCGACGAGAATACCGACTGAGGCGTTGCCGGCGACGGCGGGGTCATGAAGGGCGGATTGCTCTTCAAGGGTGGTGTCTGGCGGCGCCGCCGCTCCTCCGGGGAGGGGGATCTGGGCGACGCCGCCGTCGAAGAAGGTGGAGACGAGGAAGCGGTGGCGATCGGCGTCCCACTTGGCGCACTCCCGGATCCAGCCACGGCTGCGGTACTCAAAGGTCTCTGAGGTGTTCTTGGTGCGCTCGAGTGAGAAGATCACGCCCAGCGGGACGGCCGAAGCCAGAAAGAGAACCAGGAGGGGACCCCTGGAGCAGCAAAACCGCCTACACAATCCCATCGCTAAGCGAGCGAGCGAGAGAGAGAGAGAGAGAGAGAGGAGAGAGGCTTCGACTACCTTCTTCATCTGTAGAACCCATGCTGCATACCTTCCCACGAGTTTTCAGTCTTCAGTGAATACAATTAACAAGAACTCACAAAAAAAAAACATTCGTCAGGTCCTCTGACCTCACAAGAAACCCCAGCCATCGGAAGATTCGGCGGTCTCCTCTGGCGTGCTATACTCTTGGTCGCCACCGCCACCGTCTGCCGCTTCTGCGGCGGCTCCGCCTTCCTCCGCCGGGTAGAGTTGAAAGGCGAAAGAGACGCCGTTAACGACGTCGTAGACCATCAGGCCGATCCTTCCGCCGACCCAGCTGCCGAGATGGCTACCAACGAGGAAGCCCACCCTGCCGAGCCGCTCCTCGCCGAGGAAGCCCCCCACGTAGGTCCCAACTAGAGTTCCCGTCCCTCGCAGGAAGCCCTCAGTGAGAGTGCCGCCCAGGTAGATGGCCTCAAAGAAGTCCCAGCCGGAAGAGATGATCGGGCCGACGATGCGCTTGGCCTTGCGGGTGGCGAGCTTGGCGGCCTTCGCGCCGGCCTGCTCGGCTTGCTTGGCGGCGGCGGGGGCGCTGAGCCCGCCGGACACAGCCTCGGCGAGGGCGATCTCGATGGCACGCCGGCGCACGCTCTCCACGTGGGAGCTCCGGATGGTGTAAACGTAGAGCTTCACGCTCTCCTTGACGGAGCATGCCACGGTCCCCGAGCTCATGTCGAAGCAGTTCAGGATAGTGAACTTGCCGCTCTTCGATGCGGCCTCCTCTCCGACGAGCTCCCTGCATTTCTCCGCTGGAAGCATCACAGAAAAGAAACCCCAATCAGGAGAGATAGAGAGAGAGAGAGGATTTCAGAGCTGAATTTCCAGTATTACAGCGGAGGCAGAGCTCTCTTTCAACACGAGGTGTTCTAGAGCCCATTAAAGTTAGAGCAGAAGAAAACAAGCCATCAGATGCTGTCTAGAGTCAGTGACTTCCAGCTGCCCCGTCTGTCGTATTTTGAGAGAAGTAGGAATCACAGGGTGAGACCTCTGATTCAAGGTGATGAGCAGCTGCATATCACCCAAAACTAAAGGCCGAGAGGAAGAAGAAACTAATCAACGAGGGATACGTAAAACATAAAATGAATATATTCACCAGTGATCTTGGAGAAACATGGGTCCAACACAAGCGAAACTCAGCTCCTTGAATCCTTCTTACTCTAGGAGTTGCAAAGACTATGGTATCTTGTTTCAGCTTTTCAGCTCCTCTGTGATCAAACATGACAGTTCGGGTGCTCTCATAAATGTTGCAGGATTCATTAATGCTGGGTCAAATTTTAACATCACTCGCACATGTGCCCATGAATATTCAGGATCTCTGAGTGAATGACAGAAAATTCTTCCATCGGCCCGCTCATTATAGTTGTAAAACAAGAAAAAAATATATATTATCTCCAGAAGAATAGTCAATTAGAGCCTGATCTCCAGTACACTGTGAATTCAATAAAAAATTCCTGAAGTACAGTTATAGGCTATCATTGACATGATAAGAAAGTACAGCATCAGCTTGCGACTCACTCATGTGATGCTGAACGCACTTCACTATTCCCTTCCCTGTTTATCTAACTTCTATTTTCGTTACATCTCCTGCTTCTCGTCTCCTTTTACTGACTTATAGCCCTTGCCCTTTCTTTCACCTTCCTACAGTACCCTTTTTCGTCTAGGGGCCGAGTTGTTTTCTCCCTTTCCATTCATAGCAGGGAGATCTTGTCCTCTGTTTTGGACATTTTGGCCTGTAGCACTAAAAGAAATGATCAACTTGGAAACTGCTGAATGGATCAGACCTCTTCTTAATGTCTGATCTGACTGGAAGAAAATCTGATTGAAAGAAAAACTTAGAATCTTCTAGAAGAATAAACAGTCAACTTTCAAACAACCAGCACTACGACCACCTAATCAACATTTTGCAAAAGTGTGTAATATTCTGCGCATTATTATTAAGTAATAAAGTGTGCTTGATGTCGTAACTGATTGATCTTACTAAATGTAGACCTAGACTGACTTCCAGGGTGATATGCAGATTCCAGAGTTCCTTTGACCACTCTAAGCTCTTTGGCCTCCGACATCCTCCTTAGCACACTCTGACGCTGGGAGTAAGTGTGGTGGTGATATATATTGACAGAAATTGGAGGAGGCTGCCATCCTTTGAAAAATACTTATGGCTCCCATTACAAACTGTAGGACCACACTACCAAAATAATCCACCGTTAAATGTGGGATTCGTGCTACTTGCCCAAGATCAGAGCTGAAGATCTTCATATTAGTGCCACCTGAAGCAAGAAATTCCATGGATGGGGAATAGAGGTTGGATGCCGCTCTTCATCTTACCGAAGACATAATAAAAGTTACACGTTTGATGAAAATTTTGGGGTAGACGCACAATAAAGTAGAGCCAAAGTTAAATAGTTTTGATTAAATATTTTAAAAATTACTAAAACTGTTGTTTGAGACGACAAACTATGCAAAACACACCTGTGATTCCATCATGATGAGTTCTGATGTCATGTGATTGTGTTATTGATGCATAGGGATCTAATAAGATTACATCGCTGCATTCGGTTTTCATTCCCTCCGGTCCATGTCTTTATGCCTTAGGTCCGAGTCAAATCAATTAAATCCAAAATTCACGGACAATGGAAGAAACAGAACCTTCTTAAATAATATATTATTTCCCCCCACTTTTCAAAGTCCGGAATCCTTTTCTTCATGAGCACATGGTATCTCCACCAGCCATGGAATCTTGTTTAAGAGGTTCAAATGAAGCACTCCCTAACCTCGTAATTATATTTAACACACTCTGAAGATTTCTGAAAGCCCTGGAAATATAAGCAAAGATTCTGTCCAAATGCTCTCAGGAAAAATGATACACCAGGTTATTAAATGCAACTCAGAAGACTGGTCGAATAAAAGCTCCTCTTCATAGTTTATTTTGATCTGAATCTTCTTCGCCGAAGCAATGTTGTTTTCTTCCATTTCCCTAACTTTGTAAATTTCCTTCGAAATCAACTCGAGCACAATAAAACAAACCCGAGGACACGAAAAAATAAGATTAAACAAGATCACATGTGAAAACACGGCACAGAAAGCGTGTAAAGAAGCAATTCGAGAGTTCAAAATGTGCAGGAAAGTTCAAATCCACGGAGAAAATATCACTTGCGTCCCAGCGAGTTCCGTCCCCTACTAAATTCTTAAACCCTAGTAAAATGATCGGCGCATCATCACATCAGAGCGGGAGAAAATATGGAGAGAGAACCAGTCAAGCTGAGAACGAGAAGCCCCACGACGAAGAGCCCGAGCTGGATCCTCCGCTTCTGAAAATCCAACATATTCCACGAACGGCAGCTCCCCTACTCTCCTCCCCAACCCAGGCGTCCAGAGATCGTCGAGATTTAGGGGCCCCAAAAGCGGTGGAGACGACTAGAGCTTCCTGGAGAAACTTCTCCAGATTCTACAGCCCACCGGAGTGGAAGAACGCAGAGACCCCTTAAAAATATTCTCTCTCTAAATACTCTCTCTCTCTCGCTCGCTCACTCTCTCTAAAGTCGATGGTCGGCCCCACGACGACCAGCCCTCGCTGGGCCCATTTGATCGGAATCACTCGTCGGCCCACTAGCAAGAAAGCCTAAAACGTGGCCGAAGACAAGCCATCCGATAATAGATCGTACGGTAGCGCGTTTCCATTTCAAAATCAAACTAAACGATCTGGCCAAATTAAAATCTGCCTTAGCTTTGGCCTCGTATAATGTTAAAAAGTATTATATGGGCTTGGCCCGGGATGTTAATAGGCCCAATAAATTTAGCCGATTAACAGGCACTAATGGCTATTGGATTTGAGCCCGGCCCGACGGTAGCCCAATAGGATTTACTTTTGACTAAAAGCCAGGTGGTAAGTCAATCTTGCGGCCCGGGCCCACTAGGACCCACATGAACTTTGGAAACGGCAATTGTTTGTGGGAAGCCACGACGGTCCCATAACATTTTCTACCTTTTTAATTTAAATATATATATGTGGCTGCATTATTTTAGAATAATATTATTTTTTTATTTTTTTATTATACCCTGAGAACAATTACGAGTTAATTTTCCATATTTATATGGATTTTATAAAATTATCATATAAAATAATAAGCAATCATGATCAGATATCGTGTGGAGTGCAATTTAGCTTCCCAAGATATGGAGAAAAAGATCAGGCTTTTACGGTTTACGTGGATCTGACGGCAAGAAAATAAAATATCTTGATGGGGCATACGTGGGCGCGTCCCATTGGTGGAGGGGCGATAAGGAACCTGTGTACCAGAGCTGACCTAAGCCAATTCCCCGGGGCTTCATATGAGAGGAGGGGGAGCTGTCCCTCCATCCGCTTCCTGCAATAAAGCTCTCCGGCGACCACCACCACAGGAAGAAGAAGAGGAGCAGCAGCAGCAAGATGGCAACGGCTATTGCGAGGGCGGCTCCTCTGGTGGCGCCGCCAAGGCGAACGGGCGCAGTGGGCGGAGGGGCGGCGGCGGTGACGGTGGTGAGGGTGGCGAGGTGGGGCGGCGCGGGGCGGCAGCGCGGCGGCGCGAGGCGATTGGCGGCGACGGGGCCGGCGACGCCTCCGGAGATATCGGAGAAGGTGCAGGAGAGCATCGAGAAAGCGATGGAGACGTGCGCGGGGGACCCGGTGAGCGGGGAGTGCATAGCGGCGTGGGACGAGGTGGAGGAGCTGAGCGCCGCCGCGAGCCACGCCCGCGAGAAGGCCAAGGCCACCGACCCCCTCGAGGAGTACTGCAAGGACAACCCGGAGACCGACGAGTGCCGCACCTACGAAGACTGAGGGAGAGAGAAAAGGGGAGCGGGATGGGAGGGGGAGGAAGGGAGTGGAGGCCTGCTTATGCCCCGTAGACCTTGTAGAGCAGCATCTCGTCATCAGGAGAAGGGCTCTTGAAAGATTCAATCCCATGCACATGCTTGATATAATTTCTTCTTCTAATGGAACTCAGGATTTGTTTCCAGTCTTTTGTTTCGCCTCAACTCCCTTACCCCCGGCTCTCTCTCTCTCTCTCTCTCTCTCTCCCGCCCTCCCTCTCTCTATCCATATCTCTCTCTCCTCATATTCATTCATATGTGTGGCATATGGGCCAAAAATACTCTGGGCTTTTTCTCTGGGCCTTGACAACCTTATAAGTTGGACAGCTTTTAGCCAAAAAAAAAGAGTTATTTGACGACTAAATGCATCATGGATCTAGATATTACGAATATATCTGACCATGAATCAAGTAATATTTGGAGGAAAGAAAAAAAACCCTAACTTGGTAGGAAATTTCTCTCTCAAGAATCCATTCTCTCCCTTTTTTGTTCTCTTTTAAAAACTATTAAGATGTAGCATGAGGGCATTCAACGAAATATCATGTAGGATACATACCTTATATAATGAGTGTTACTTAGTAATGAAAAATCAAAGTACTCTTTCTACTGCTCTTCCCCTTTGTCCTTTGAGATAGAAGATATCTTTAGGGTTCAACCATTATGTTCTTGTTATGTCATCTAGAGGTGTATTATATTTCCATTAATTATCATGAGAGGGGTTCCCACTATGCCATTCAAAAGCATGTTCTTTATTCGTCAATCCTTTAGTTTAGGGACGATGAGTTTATTATTACAAGAGATAATCCGGCTCCAACAATAATCTTCATCAAATCGGTTCATCAATGGTATCTTCAAGCCCATTGATGACATTTCCATTTGCATCATGCCATTAATGTTTCCATCTATGTTAATGGTTTTAAGAGAGAGAAAGCCACCCCTCTCTTATTCATCATTGTCCATGACATGTTCATCTTCATCAGCAGCATCTTCATCTTCTTCACAAATATTTCGTTTTGATCATACTTCTCTTGATACCCAAGATGAAATGTTATAATGTTATTCTTGAGGGGGAGCATTACGATATGTAGGGTTCAAACCCCATGGAATGGGTGTTTCTCGACAAAAAAATAATCAAAGAGTAGTCTTTTTGTCACTCTCCTATGTCCTTCTAGACAAAGGATGAAAAAAACTCATAATTTAGATATATTTTTCATTAAATATTTCATTTAATTGTGCTATAAGAATTATGACATTAACTTTTGCTAAATGTAAACTTTCACTAAGTTTTAAGTATGAATTATGATCGTTGTAGAACTGAAGAGAGGATCATTATATGATGATGCAACACTAGAGGATTCATACGTGTGATTGGAATATAGCCTATAATTGGACATAATTTTGAGGTCCAATTGGCAAAATAGAAGAATGCCCTGGGTAAAAGCTGATTTTATCAATAGAATTTGTTATATCGAGATGGAAAGTATAATGAGAAGGGATTGGAAGACATAAGATTATGATGTAGCACAACGACAACAATGATGATGCTGATGGTTGAAACATCAAGACTGATGAATTTAAGGGACGATCTACGTATCCCATCTGCCTGCCCCTGTTCTGCAGATTGATTACGATTTTGCTTGTTGGTGGCTTCTGTCCCGATTTCTAGTTCAATCCTTCGGTGTAAGCTCTTCAAAATGTAATCAATTTTGTTCAAGAACTTCCACGATTTTTGAACCGATGATGCAGAAGGAATTACCAGAGAATGCACAGCAGTGTAGAGATCATCGCACTACAAGAAGGAACTCATGGGAAGGAATGGCACATCTTACAATAACAGACAAGAAGATCAGAGGAGATTTGATGGCAACAACGAGAAAGAGCACACAGTTCCCAGAAATTGGGGATTCATCGAAGGAGAGAGATGGAGGAGATGATTGATGGATAGACCTTCACATCCTACAGACAGATCAGAGAAAGAAGAAACGGGCCAATTAGGTCTAAAGCTAGACGGTTTCTAGCACTGGAAGATGTTGGCGGACGCCGTGATAAGCTGAGAAGGGCAGGGAAGCTGCCACGGCCTCAGGAGCGGGTCGGGGAGATCGGGGATGTCCAGAGCCATCCCGCTGAACTCCTCGACAAAGCGGAGCACGGAGTTGAGGGACTGCAACCTATCGGTGAGCTCCACTACCTGAGCCGTGAGGACAGAGTTCTCGGAATCGATCTTGGAGAACTGCTGCTCCAGTGCGTTGATCTGCATTGCGATCCGGGTGTTCTCGTCCTTGGTCTGAGCCATCTGGCCCATCAGCTCGCCTAGGTGCTGTTGCTTCCTCATCCGGGACCTCCTGGCCGACTCCCGGTTGGATTCCATCCTCTTGCGCTTCCTCTGGTCCACCGCAGTGTAGGGATCCGAATCAGACCCCGAGGAGGCTGGCTTCGCAGTTCCCGACGACATGGCCTCTGTTGGAACTTGATCGAGGGCCTTTTCTTGTATTCCGGACTCGATGAATCAGGAAAGGGAGATCGGGGAGGAAGGGCGCAGAAGCAAGTGGATGCTCCGGGGAGGATGAGATCACGAAACAGAGTAGAACCAGTATAGGAACACGACTGAAAAGGAGTGGTGGAGACGGACGCGCAGGATGATCCCGAATCTCATAAATTCTCCCCGACTCTACAGACGGATGTTTCTCTTCGTTGCAGACGAAAACATAGCCGAGGCCCTCTCCTCCGGCTAATGACGATCCGACAAGCAAAGATGAAGATGAACAGGCGACTGAAGAGCAGATCCAAAGCCCTGGTAGAAGAGCGAAAAGACCAGATTCCGGCGATCGAGCTGCTCTCCGAAGATCAAACAGAACCAGGAAAAAAAAAACTAGGAATTCCACCAAACCCCACCCCAAAAAAAAAAAAAAAAAAATGGAAAGAAAATACTAAAAAGGAGGAAAAGGAGGAAAAGGAGGAAAAGGAGGAGAAAAAGAAGGACACTTATCTCGGAGGAGCGCCGCTACGGAGTGTACACCCGTGCAAAAGAGAGTGGGAAGAAGGTTTTCGTGTGGCACGGGGAGGGGTATTTATAGGCGGGAGTGGGGGCATTTTGGGACGAGCAAACCACTCTATGTGGGGTCGTGGGTTAAATCAGCTTTGTCGTTTTGCGAAAGCCGGGAGCGCGAAGGAAGCGCGTGAATCGTGGCCGACTTGGCAACCGTCCCCGCCGGCGGTGGTTGCCCACCGATCGGAATTTTTTATTTTTTTTATTTTCCCGCCACCTAAATATCTTGAACAATTATTTACGGCCCCGGTCCCGCGAGTGGGCCACCGTTTCATTAAATAGTACTTATCTTTAATTTAATTCGTCATAATGAGCATACGAACACAATTTGTTTCCGTATTTGGGTGCACCACAAAAAAAGAGAAAAGCCCACAAGATGGGCCCCCGACAGGTCTCCCCAGCCAACTCATTCCCACAGCGAGGAGAGAGAGAGAGAGAGAGAGAGGGGTAACTAGAATCGGCCACGTGTCAAACATTATGGAAGCTCACGCCCATCTTTATTATTAATATTGTTATTAATCAATTTTAAGGGAAAACCCAAAAAAATCGCGGCAGTAAATCTGAAGTTTACAAATATTAAATATCATCTGATAGCTCAAAATTATCTTATAAACATGCGGATAAGATTCCAGAATATTCTTCGATCTGCCGACACCAGGTGAGACTTTTTGGCGGAAACGACTGCCTAACTTGCAAAATAGCCCTCAAGTTACTGAAAACTTAAGAAAATGCGTTTATATTTTTATAAATTAGCTTCATAAGCCGGAATCATAGGCCTCAAAGTCTCTGGCCATCGTGTTGAGGACCTTCCTCAAGTTTCAGATAAAACATGGAGATACAACCGCTGCTTTTTCTTTATTTCCTCAATTTTCTACGTCAGGTAGAATTCTGCTATCTGGTTAGCTCCATATCTCGAAATAAAATATATAATTTTTTTGGGCCAATAGTGATGAAAATTATGAAGAAATGAGACATGTTTAGCACGTGTTAAACATGTATGATGAATAATCTACCACCAACTTCAAGTCCTCGGTCAAGCAAAATCGCCCAGCGGTTCAACGATATTTGCCGGATAAGGCATTAAAAGACTGGAGCGCCGTAAGAGCACGAACTGGGATGACTTTATATGGCTTTCTTGCCGGTCAACGGTCGATGGAGCACGTGGGTTATCTCCAAAAGAAACATTAATACCAAAAATGTAATACGAACTGCCTAATATATATCTGTCAAAGGCCCCAATGTGACTGAAATTTAAAGAAAAGCTAGAAAGATGGCTCTTGGGGTGGGTTGGTGTGGAGTCCCAAGTTTGTGGGTCTAGAGAGAGAGAGAGAGAGAGGATCTTCGCATGGTAATGAAAAGGGCGCTTAAAGTGGGGTCAAGCTTTCAAAAAACATATCCAAGGTAGGTAGGCTTTCAATATACATGGGGGACAAAGATCTTTAGTAGTATTCATATATGAGAAGTATAAAAAGAGCTAACCAAAACATGCTTTCAATTGGTTATTGTATATTACACCATAAATAGAATGACTTTTTTTTTTTTTTTTGGCAAATGGTATGGCATAATGTCTCACTAAAAAAAAAATCCCATTGAACAATGGGAGCAGAAGTGATGGATGATGTAGAATCATCAAAATTAGCATTTTGAGTCATCATAAATGACATTTTATTGTGACAGAACTGTAATATTTCATATAATGAAGAATGTGTTTACACCAATCGTGTGATGTGATTTTTTTTTTATTGCTTATCGTTTTGGCATGCATGATCATCACTAAGTATGTTTATATTTCAATTTAAAATCACAAAATAACATTAATAAATTATTTAATGATGACAGCAAGAAATAGTGTATTTCATTATATAGGTTTGATTATACATTTATCTATTGAAAGATATTTTAAGAGAAATCTTTAAAATGTTTCAAAATTATTCTAAATATCAATAAATATTTGTAAATATATTGATGAAATTCTTATAGAAAGATATTAATATATCATTTAATAAGTCTACCAAAAATATTTGGTACACTCCTTGTAAAAAAAAATTATTTACAATAAATGATTTTAAGTTTCTGCATAATAATAATTAGCAATGACCATGAGGTGGGTGGTATATGACTTATTCTAGAAAGAATATGTATATGACACACATGGATAATAACATGATTAGATCAAGGTGACATTAATGAATGAGGCTAAAAAACACTTATATGTGACTACAATACACATGAGTCTCATTGGCGTGATATGATGTGGTAGCTAGCATGTACATGTGGGTATGTAATGGGCCACAAGAGGTCATGCTAGCTTGGGCCTACTGTGGAGTACTATCACCATAAAACATATGTTGTCAGGATTTTAGTCAATTCAGGTTGGCCTAGTGACCACTTGGCCAAGTGTTGTCAATAAATGAGAAATTTGATGCATGATTTGCTGCCCTATTGACATAAATGAAAATGGTAATGTAAAGGCTGAGCATCAAATGATTTGTGATACATGCATGTGGCATGTAGTTATGTGCATTATTCCTCAATATGTTCACAAGACAAGATAGATGATGATGTATTACATGATGTATGATTTACCAATAATGATGGTGAAACTTATTATCTTGTGGCATATGAAAGATTACCTAGTTTTATGCTAGAGTTGTTGATGTAATTATCAAGTTTAATCTCATAACCTTAAATACATAGCTTAGTGACTACATAAGAGCAACCACAAAGGCTCTTCCAAGATATAAGTTCATGGGGGTCATTGAAGTGATATAATTGTGCCTTAGGAGATGGAATGGATTATGGAGAAAAAATGAGCCATTTTGTCCTTCTCCATGGTTAATATTATGATTTCAACTTAACATAAATTTAGTTTTTTTTTTTAAATTCTTCATATGTTATTTTAGTTTAGTAATTACACTAATGAGTTGCATGTAGCAGAAATACATCAGATGCAAGAGAGCTCTATATCAAATTGTACTACTTACAAAGACATACATTCACTATGGTACATGTCAAGCTGACATCCTAAGTATGATGTAGCACCTTTGCATGAAAGTTATTTAGCAAATATGTGCATTTTATGTGGTACATATGATTTTTGACTTGCTAAGAACATTGGGAAGTGGCTACAATGTTGCAACTTGTCAAATCCATAGAAAGTGAAATGGTATCTAATGGAAAAAAACCTCACCATAAATTATATGTCACTAGGAAGTGGTGTAATTTTTTTGGGTACCATCTAAGGGAGATCCCCATGATCTTCCCTAGAGATGGATGCTGAGCTCTCTCTTCTCTTGGTAATTCATGGAGAAATTATTCCCTAGAGGGATCCTTGATGTGATTTTATGTATGATTGTTACTGTTTCCTTGTATGACAAAATCAATACTCAATGCAAGTAAATATACAAATTAATTCCGATTAAATTATTTAATACTATTTATTGAACAATTTGTTAGGGTACAAGCTAGCAACAATTAGCCCATTGGGCGTAGGATTAATTCAATCTTGCAGAATTGTCGATCGTGCGGCCATCAGGCGAAGGGAAGTGGATCGATCCGTTACATGACGTCACTCTGGCCTTCGTATGAACAAAAAAAAGCGAAGATTTCCGGGGCAGTCGGAGGGCGAGGGGTTTAAGAGGGTTTTGAAGGGCGGCGCCGCCGTGGCTTGCTTCAATGGCGGCTCCCGACGGAACTGAACGGTTTGGCATTGCTCTCTACTGACACCGAGCATCGGGAGAGCAGGCGGGGAAGTTGGGAGCTTCGGTGGGCCAAAATTGTGGAGAATCAGTGTATAAATTGGAGCTCTTTTAGGATTTTCTGGGAGTATGCTGAGGATCCTGTCAGCTAGCTGCTTCGAAGGTCGGCTGCAGGGCCTACGCGGCAGGCTGTCAGATGGTCTCTGTAATGTGGTTGGGAAGAGATCCCCCTGGCTCGGTGTGCTTGGATCACTCGCGAAGACGAACGATGGATCCCCCGTTCATTGGGGAAGGACATTCTTCTGCTCGGAATCCGGCGGCGATGGTTCCGGACCAGAAAATCCGGTGGAGGTCTGCGTGGCGGAGGAGGTAGACTCCGCTGCCTCTGACGGAACACCAGGGGAAGCTGAAGCCAAGGCTTTGTCCGCGATCGTGCCCACAAATCCCCGGCCGGAGGACCATCTTTCGGTGTGTACGATTCTTTACAGTGAACGCCATAATCTTTTCGTCATCTTTGATATTTTGATCCTGAGCTGATTCATTTTTGTGTTTTCCTCATCTAGCCAGAGGATCATGGCATTTTTTTTATAATCTTTGTTGTTTCATATGCTATAAAGAAACAAGAGCTCGGTTAATCGAGGTGCATTTGGACTATGGTTTTCTTTATCACGTTAAAAAATCTCACGAGTTGCGTGGAAGACATGTTGCTGACATTAATATCGTCAATACAGTAGCGGTAGGTCAACGTATCTGAAAGTCCTTTGGGCGCTGCATCAGGATATTGATTTTCTGGGGCATTCGTTTCCCGACAATCGTCATCGTCATAATTTAGGTCGTCCTCCTGTGTGTGGAAGATTACTTGGCGGACAGTGTTTATTTTGTCCTTTGTGCTTCAATGCAGCTTGTACCAATTACAGAACTCCTCGATGGATGAAGATGATCAGGTAGGGATGGCATCTAGGGAACGTTTTGAACCAAATTGGATAGAAATATGCTTATTAAAGAAGAACAGATTGGAGTTTGTTACATATTATTCATTATTGTTGAAAAGCAGACAATGTAGAGGAGATTTTTTTCCCGAGTTACCTAAACTAAACTAAGGAATGCAAATTTATAATTTTTTTTATGAGTTAGAAGAACATTTTTATTTGGTTAGTTTTTTTGGATATCAATATTTAATTATGATTATGTTATTAATGCACTAAAAAATACGGGTTATGGTATCTTGCTCTATTTTCATAATTTTCTAACTACTCGAAATTACCTATTTTATGTAGCTTTCTTCACCTAGACTGGGGCCATTACGTGGTGATCATGAAAACTGTGTTTATACTCTGGAAATATCAATTTGATGTGTAACTGGAAATACTGGATCGATAAAGTTCTTGTGTTTCTTTCTGTGATTAGGCCAGGGTGCTCTTTTTTTAGGTTAGAGTCTCAAGGCTAAATTCACAGGTCTAAGACAACGTCCACATTTGGGGATGTTTTAACGCTTCTTTGAGACTACCAATTATTTTTGGGGTTATTAATGCTTGATCATATCTTTTGAGTTTTTAACATATGGACCTTGGATGTTTCAGACAAAATAAAAAACGTTGGATTTTATTTCCTTAAAAATATGCTTTAAGTGAAGATAATAGAATAAAGAGTGGAGAATAAAGTGATGAGAAAACTATATATAAAATTATACATAATAGAAGATGAGACGTATGCTATTTTGTGTCACGTGAAAATACAAACGTATCAGTCATATGGAATAACAGAACTCCATGTATGAGAATTTTTGTGGAAAACTTATCTGTCTCATTTATTTAAATGTAGTGGAATTTTTTTGATTTGCAAAGCACTTTACCGTGCACATAATCAGTTCTTAGGACAGCAGGGTTTTGTATATCGAACTTATCACTAAGATTGATATTATATCGTGTTGTGATGCAATTAATGCATATTGAGAAGTCTAGAATCTTCTTTTTCTAAAAGCACTGTAATGAAGGATACATTTGAGTTTGTGTTATTATATGTATTTCCAGTGACACATGATCAATGGTGTTATTTGATAGATATGTCCTTTCATGAATGAATACACCTCATGGTGATTTTTAATTACATTATGGACATGGGCTTGCGATGGTGAACGTTTGAAATGCTTTTTCAATGATGGTAGTTTTTTTCTCTTTCCTTCAGATAAACATAGTTATTCTCTCAGGTTCTGTGTAGATAGAACTTAACTATCAATCACCGCAGTTGTCTGCTTATGATCATATGAATGAGGTTGGATTCTCGCATTCTGAAAATGAAAACATCATGATTTTCTATGGAAACAAATGATGATTCCTACAAGATTTTAAATGGGTGATTGATGGTATCATATATTAGGTGATAATTAATGTACGTGTTCCTTGAAGAAGATGCAGTTAATAGTTTCTCAATGCATTGAAGGGAATTTCTTCAAAGTTTGATCCTGTAAACCACACCATTCCTTGCAGAGTAAAATATCTTCTATCTATTTTTTATTCCAAGACAATATCTTAGAAATCTGAAAGGACAATCTACCCTCTGTGAAAGTACAAGGGAGATGCCTAATAGTGATTGATGTTCTGGATGGATCAATTCATACCATCTGGCAGTGTTTGAACCGGTGTGAACTTTTAATTTATACAACAGTTTAGGGGTATCATTTATTTTTTTCATATGAACTGTATGCTAGTTTTTCTTCTTTTCTTTCTATAGCTCTACATGGTACCCAGTAATGCCATTTCCTTGATGCATTTTCCCTTATTTAAGTTCCTTTCCCATCATTTGATTTCACATCTGTACTTTTTTCGTGCAGGTTATTGCATTACCTTTACTGCACCGGCCTTTATTTCCTGGTTTCTACATGCCAGTCTATGTGAAGGTGTGAGATTACCATTCTTTTCATTGCAGGGCTATTGTTTCTTTGTTCACAAAAGTTATGTTTCGATATCCTTGTCCACTTCCATGCTATGACATTTTCTTTTAAAATTTTGTATCGTCCATCATGGACTTTTCCCTTGTTTGCTAATGCTCGATTTAGTATGATGTCGCAAGTTGTAAGATTTTATTGTGAACTAGTATTTAATAGACCAGGATTGAGATCAGCTACTGAAATAATTGTCAGAAGTATTGCCTTTTGTACATTAAAACTTTCCTTATGCATAAGATCATCACAATTGTGGTTTCCTGATGTTGAATATTGTTGAAATTTGGTATAGTGCATTACTTATTGGGTCGTTTGGAATATAATGCACCTTAGGGGCCTACCATCGAGCATTGGGACTTCTTATTCCTTTTTTCTGTTTATCATACACACAAACATCTACACTTCCACAATTGAATTTGTAAATGGCCTTGATAGGTGAAGTGGTGATTGCTATAATTGGGATTGGCTCTATTGTCCCCTTAGAAAGCCTGGCCCACCAAGGGCCACAGGCTTAGTACAGATGTTAAGGCTAGATCTTTTTTCATTCGCTTTCTCTTTTGTAGTTAATCATACAATACTTTTTGATTCAAACTGAAACAATAAATATAGAATCTTAACTTCGATTAATGAATAACAAAACTGATTTAGCTAATCTATATAGTTTTATATAAACTCACAGTAATCAATTTTTTAATTCAAATGTGGATAATGTACCATGTATCGTATCTATTCAAATATCTTATTTTGTCAATTTATATTCTCTGATGCATATTTTGTATTTTTTTTTCAAGTAAGATTAATGTGCTATTCTTTAAGAAAAACTACAGCACCTTCTGTAGTATGGTGTGTGCTCTTTCATTAAGTTCTAGACAAACGTTTTGGATTTTACCAATTTTTTGGATATTGGACTTTTTCTGTCATGGATGTACCTTCGACTGGCACATCTTGCTGACAAGATCTTCATGCTTTGGAGACTTGTTTTTCAGGATACAAAGTTGTTACAAGCTCTCGAGGAAAACCGTAAAAGATCAATCCCATATGCAGGTGCCTTTCTTCTTAAGGTTGAACCTGGATCGGATGTTTCAGAATCGGAAAGGAACATCAATGATCTCAAAGGAAAAGAACTATTGGAGCGTCTTCATGATGTTGGTACCTTGGCACAGGCATGAATCTTAACTTCTCCCTTTACATTGTTTAACGTGAAAAATATAGCTTTTCCTTGAAGAAATATAGAAAGGAGTCAAATATTGCTTTTTATTTACTATTTTTAACTTTTTTGCTCAGATAACCAGTATCCAAGGGGAACAAGTTGTGCTGATTGGGCACAGGAGGTTACGAATAACTGACATTGTGAGTTACTCTATTTAATTTAATATCTATGTAATTTTACTATGTAATCCATTGTTTCTCACTTTGTTTCACTTACAATGTGCAGGTTGAGGAGGACCCACTTACTGTGAAAATTGATCATCTGAAGGCATGCATTTTTCGTTTCTACCTTCCATTCTTTTGCTTCTTGTACCCTTAGTATATTTGATCTGAGAACATCCTAATATTTATCAATTTAACTACTCTCTCTTTCTTCCATTAGTACAGTCAAATGTGTCTGTGTTGTTATTATCTGTTGCAAAAGAAAAGTAATGTCGCATATGGTCTGGATTTATGCTTCCTTCCAAAAGTTTGTTTGCCTCATGATTTTGTGTACACAATGTGTTTGTACTGAGTGCTGACTCTGCTGGGATTATCAACTTTGGCTTGTGGCCTTCCTAGGATGCTGCTGCTTCATTTTTCTGGGTACTGGATTAACTTCTGAATCCAACAAGTTATATTTAACCCACAAAATCTTCTTAAAAACATCCATTGGTCCTCTTGGATATCTGCCATTGGGCATCCATCCTTTCAACAGCCCATGGTTCATCTGTTTTCCCTACCTAATAATGTATAGACAAATCATGGTAACTTGTCTGCCCTCTCTGAGCTGCCCCGAATTTTCTATCCAATCATCCATCAATCTGGTTACTCTTGGTTGACTAAGTGTTGAAGGTTCACTCAGAATATCTGTATTTTTCTCTGTCAATGAGCTTTTTTAATGGGGTTAATGATTTTCTTGTCGTACTCATCAATCTAAAGACTGGAAAGTGGGTATCCCCATGTTGCTTCAGGTTTCCTGCAACCAGTTCCGCCATTCTGCTTATGGTCTCGTTTCACCTTGTCCGGATTTCCTACTCTGGAAAAATATTTTTCAATCCCCTGTTATGAGCTTGTGATTGCTGGTATAGAATTGGTCTACTAGCTTCGCTTCTTTATTAAGTACAAGGTACTACCCTAAACAAGTGTTTTTCCGGTTATGGGAGCCAATTTTATTATTTGTTGTGGCGGATGCAATTGCATGGGCATTCTGATTTGATGGGATGCTTGGTTTTAAGCACATGAGAAGTGGTTGGCGTTAGAATTAGCTTTGGATGCGATGGATTGAAGTAATACCGAAAGAAGAGATCCTTATTATCTTGCATTGAGGGTTTTGTTTTGACTAGAAATGAAAATTTTGACTCCATGCAGACATAACTGTGAATCCTAGAGTGCAGAACCACTGGACTACTCATATCTGTTCTACACCTCCAAATGGATTTTTGAGTTATGGCCTGACCCTATCTAATTGACATTGCCTCTCTCTACAATGAATAAGGGTCTTCTGTTGGGATTTTGATGAAAGTTGTCAATGAAGGCAGAAAACAGATGTCGTGGATGCAAATCATGCAGCCCTTCAAAGAATTCTATCGAAGAGAGAATCAGGTACTTGTTGCAGAGGATTCAATTGATATAGTGCTAGTAAATTGGAATTCGTGCTGGGTGAGTTCTTTGGAGGGCTTTGCCAGCCTAGAGTGACCAGAAATCCTCTTGATGGATAATGGAAGCATGTCAATGGGCTTTGGGAGATGCTTTGCCCTTCTTTGTGAAGGGGTCGCCAGAAGTGTGCTCACGAAAATGCTTGCGAGATATTGTTCTTGCTCATTAATACCAAGTCCCAAAAACTTGAATGTGGTGGAGCATTATGTGTCGTGTCACATCCTTTTGCCAAATTTTGTACTGGAATAGCTGGTTTTAAGAAAAAAAACATGCTAGTGGGGCAGCTGGTCGGTGCTTTATGAGTTTCTTCAAAAAATCTCATTGAACAATAGATGCCCTCATTTTCGTAATCCAGAGAGTAGGTTTTTTCTGAGGATTGAGGATTCATCCTACTATTTTTGATCGATTGTTCTTGTATATCAGTATTCCTTTTTATCATTTTCTTTTGTCTATGGTTATTCTTCTTTTTCGGTATTTGAAATAGTTTGAAGTCTGTGCTATGTATACCTTAGGCGAGTGTTCTTTCTTTTGTTTGCCCACCCAGAAAGAAGGGATCCTGCTCCTAAACCTAAAAGCGTTTTTTTCCTGGAGTGGATGAGTAACCTTATCTTGGTGAGCAGAACGATAATATATAGGCATAATTGCAACCAAGACAATTTTTCCTTGAATAGTCCCTGTAGTTAATATTTTGAAGTCTGTGCTATGTATATATACTAGAAGGAAAATGACTGTGTACGATATAAAGATGCCTATCAACTTCCTTTCTGATCAAAATAGAAAATAAGCTGCTGCTTAATGTATCTTGCGACATTTCTTTCTTCTTTGCAGGAATTACCATACGACAAGGATGATGATGTGTTAAAAGCTACTTCATTTGAAGTAATTTCCACTTTGAGGGATATCCTGAAATCAAGCTCCCTTTGGAGGGATCATGTTCAGACATATACTCAGGTTTCCTTGTTACAGAATTTACTAGATTTTTCTTTGAGCATTACAAAGTAGAAAAGGCATGAAAAACTTTATCTCTTGGATCTGTTGAAGTTCTTCGCCTTATTTGTTTTTTTTTGTTTAGCTGAGTCAATTTAAATTGGTCATTACCAGCCATACTCTGAGTTGTGTGGTGGATTACATGGGGCATTAGGTTATTGGGAGATGGTGTGTGGTATTACCTCATAGAAATGAAGTTTTAATTTTGGGATTTGCTAGGCAATTAGGACTTTAGAGAATGGAATTATCTGTGCAACATGTTGCTAACTGCAATTTCAGGGGACAAATATTATCGAGGAACCCCAATGTTAGAAGGAATTGAGTTATATTATCTTTGATATCTGACTGTATCTTCTTTGCGTGTTGATTCGTTGCTGATGTTCTGGTAAATCACACGTATGCTATGTCTCATCTCCATATTTTCCTATCTTTATCGTTGCTTTAAAAGCTTCACATCCTGGTTGTCTGTTTGTCAGCATAAATTGAAAAAGAGTTTTGAGTTGTGAACTACGTTGGCCTTTGTTTATGTGAAGCCACTGTTTGATTAAATTATTTAGTAGTTATATACAATTGATATCACATTAGTGTATACATACAATAATTTATATCATTCATAAATATATCAATATTTTTTGAATTTTAATATTTGGTGTTTATGATAATGTATTTTATCTTGTTTGCAAAATATCTATATTTGTTAGGCTATTTAAAATTATTCCCCATTATTTTAAGCAACAATTGCCTAGTGCCTCGGCTAGCACCTTGCTTTGTCACCAAGATAATAAGGTTGATCAGTGTCTTGGTTGCTTCAAAAATCTTAGGCGCATGAGCCTAAGATTTTAGTCTGTGACTTGAACTCCGGGCTACTTCTTGGACTCACTGTACAACTTTGAGATACTGAAAGCAAGGTGATACCAGTTTGATGCTCGTGTTTTTTCGGAGGCTTGAAAGTCTCCAAAATATCCTTGTTTCTCTTCTTCGATAAAAACACTTTTTAGCCCAAATGTCAAAAAGTTATGAACATATATTGGTCCATTTTACTTTTTTCCACTAACGTACGGTTTGCTAACACAGCTAATAAGGTGTTGCGCTCTGTCTCTGAGTAAGATTGATTCGGCACTATCCAATCTCAGTCTAGTTCATTGGAAAGAGATATCTCCCAAAATAGGATGACATCAGAACCAGACTTAGAGCCAGTCTTTGATCGTTTTGGTTCAGAATTCCCTCTAAAACCTCGATAATATTATACTCCGTGCATTTTTTATGAGTTTTGACATCTTTATTCTTGCATAAGAGGATGCTTGTGTGTTGTTTTTAACTATAGAAAAAATCAATAATGTCTCTTTTCCTGTTTTATTTTTTTGGTATCTGCAGCATATTGGTGATTTTAATTATCCAAGGTTAGCTGATTTCGGAGCTGCTATATCAGGGGCGAACAAGTTTCTTTGCCAGGAAGTGCTTGAGGAACTTGATGTGAGAAAAAAATCCAATTATATAGAAACTTTTGCTCTGCACATCGAGACTTGACTATTGAATCTGATGGCCAGAATTTATCTAGTCTTTTTATCCTATTTATTCTTATCATACATAGGTTTGAAGTGGAACTATTCAAGTATTGGTACATCCCTTCTAGGTCTGAGCTGTCTTTCTTTGCTCACAGTTCGTGGTTTTTACTGTTAATTTTTTATCCATGGAAATAATTATTGGAACATTGCGGCTGATATTCATGTTTGGACCAGGGATTGATATTTAAACTTTTTAAATAAATGTACGACAGTTTTTTTGGCCTTTAGTTAAACAGTCTTGAGCAGGATTTACATGGGTCAACATTAAAGGACCAAGAATATTGATACGACCTCGGATTGCAGTGAAGGAACTGAGCAGAAAATAGATTGAATCGTAACAAGGAACAAAAATTCAGAGAAGGATAAATCAGGGTTCCACAGGCACCCTAGGCTGTCCGAAAGCTTTCAAGAAGCTCCGTCTCTGCCCTTAGCACCCAAAAGACTTCATCCCCCTTTTCCGCCATCGAGAACCCTATTTCTCCCAGTGCCCCCCCTCCCCCCTTGACATTTGGTAAAAAACCCTTACACTGATGACTTCGACTCTTTTCCCCTCCTACCCTATATAAATTTTGTTGGAGTCATATCGTATTTTGTTTTGTCGGCTTGGTTCATAATGGCCCAGATCAGCTATTCCTGCTACATTTCTCTTAATGGACCTGGGCTTCAGTTGGGTTACTACACGACTGGCCAATTAACTGCCCAAGTGCCAAATTAGAATCTACACTTTGTTTATTGGGAATGAATGTCAAGTGGGCATGTCAAACTTTGGTCCACAGATCAAGCGGTAGACATTTTTTTTTGGGTTAGGGGAAGGGTTGAAGTTAAATAAGGTTGGCAGCTGACCATTATTACACGTAAACCTGTTAGGGACTTGGTATCCAAGGATATGACTGTTCATGATTCTTTTGTCAGGTTTATAAGCGTTTGAAACTAACTTTGGAGCTGGTGAAGAAGGAGATGGAAATAAGTAAGCTACAGGTACACCTTAACTCAGATTTTTTTTAGTGAATCAACTCAATACTTTGTGTACACTCTTTTTATTTTTCATTAATTATGATCTAGGAATCAATTGCAAAAGCGATTGAGGAGAAAATAAGCAAGGAACAACGCCGTTTTTTGTTGAATGAGCAGCTTAAAGCAATAAAGAAGGTTCCCTTCCCATCACCTATACTTAGACCTTGCATTCATTATATGATAAATAAAAAATTATAACTAAGCTGCACTCAGATTTGATTACGAACTTTTTTTGGTTATATGTTTTCTTCTTTGACTTACATGTGAAATCAAGTAAATTTAATACCTTTCTTGATTTAGGAGTTAGGTGTGGAGACAGATGACAAGACTGCTCTCTCTGGTTAGTAAGACATTCTGTTGTAACCATTCTTTCTTGATTTTGAAGAATATAGAAAGACATTTTAATAATGTGTACTTTGTTATTGTAGAAAAGTTTCGGCAAAGACTTGAGCTGAATAAGGAGCGATGCCCTCCTCATGTGTTACAAGTTATTGAAGAAGAGCTTGCCAAATTGCAGCTATTGGAAGCTAGTTCGAGTGAGTTCAATGTGACGCGCAATTATCTTGACTGGCTTACTGCGTTACCTTGGGGAAACTACAGGTTGATGCTGATTCTTTCATTGATCTTCAAGCCGTCATTTTAATTTCTCTATTCTCTCAAATTCAAGTTGTGGGATGTTTAACTGCATTTTACAAAGGATTAGGTAATTCTGTTTACTCTGTAGTAGATGGCTTTCATACTTATTCCTACTTTTCTTGTTTGACTGCCTTGTGTTACTTCTTTTTATTGGGGGATGATACGTAACATGACATAACGAAAGTAAAGTAATGAAAGCCCATCTCAAAGACTCCAACATCTCTAAGGTGGGACGTGAAATAGCCATCAAACCGTTATGAGGGCTGTAACAAAGAAAAACCTGTTTCTGTCAAAAATGTTGTTTAGTGCATGTAGGGCACCTTGTTTTACTGATAACATTACTTGTAGAAATGTTTCCCACATGCTTTTCTTCCCTTTATTCTTGTTCTGTAGTGACTTCTCAGAATTTTTGTTCTGCAGACAGATGAGTCCGAAGATTTCTCGATGTAAACTATAACAGAACAAATGTGGAAATTTCCTGGGCTAGTCATCTTATCTATGCGAAATATGGGGGTCAGTGCTCATTCCTCTGTGGGAAGTCTGAAGATGCTCCTGAGCATTGCAAGGAATTCATAACAGCCATTTAAACCTAGAATTATGATTCCTGTTGACTCATTTCAGATTTGTATGGCTAGTATATTAGCCTTTAATGGACTTTTAGGTGTTTTCTACAGAACTAAATGATTTGGAGTTTTTAGGTTATGAAATACAACTATAACTAAATTAATGGACATATAGCTGGTAAGCTCGTTTATTTTGGAATTCTAATTGGGGATTTGGGGAATAATGAGACGATGAAAATTAAAATGTCAGATTTGCAGCTGGGCCTGGGGTTATTGATTCTGGATCAACAAACCATCTTAAACATTAGAACATTGGTGAATCAAAGCTCTATAGTACAAGCACCCATGCCACTCGGAATTGGAGTAGACACCAACTGATTTTATTCCCACGTCACCTTTACCCCTATAAATCAGCCAGTTAAATCAGACCTTGCTCCCCCGCCACCTAAACTCTTTTGGTGGCCGTGCTGTCCATTGTGCTTCTCTTTGTTACTCTACTTTATCAAATATGGTATTTATAAGAAATATTTCTCATTTAGTACTGGTCGTCACTTCCTCCGTTTAAGTTATTTAAACCATTTTTTCTTCTCCGTTTGGTACTTTAATTGATGTTCATTTGGATGTTCTTTTAAATTGCCTGCTCGTACTCCGGTTGGTTTCTGGTATGACCCCACGCAGAACAGAGGCAGGAGGCCAGAGAAGATCTAGGTTGAGAGTTAGAGAACAAGAGGGTTCTGCAGGAAACCTAGGTCGCCCCGGAGGCTTTCAAGAGGCTTCTCGCTCTCCCAGTGACTATCTTACGATTCTGTTCAAAAGTATCCCCCTTCCCTGTGGCCTGGGCCCTAATATTCGACTTTAAGTGCATCAAATTACAACCTTGCCCCTCCCCATTTACACATGATGCCTTCCTTGAGGAAGTCTTCTTCCTGCTTCTAAAATAGGTGACTACCGGGGTCGTATCAGTTTCTTATGTTACCTTTGAATCTTTGTTCTGGTGAGAAACCATTTGTTGCACTGATATTCCAACGAGTTGGTGTGCTTTGTCTCTGTTGTCTTTGGCTCCTTGTTTTCTATTTGTAAATCGTAATTGCCTATTCATTTTATGTATATATTTCTTCTGAGAAAGAGATTCCTCTGCTCATGAGGTTGAATATAATGCTTGATCCATCTTCTGTTACTTTTCCGTGTTTCTTCAGATTTTGTTGTTTAGTAGTCTTCTTTTCATTTTTCTTCAATTATAAATGAATGCAGTGATGAAAATTTTGATGTCCATCGTGCTCAAAAGATCCTAGATGAAGATCACTATGGCTTGTCCGATGTGAAGGAGCGTATACTGGAGTTTATAGCGGTTGGAAAATTAAGAGGAACTTCTCAAGGTCAAAATCTTTCCATTTGTTTCAGTTTCGTTTCACAGTTTACCTATGGATGTCAATAATTATGTGTGTAACGTGATTAAGTGCCATTTTTTTACTAATGTGTTATGTCACGCATCAGGATCATGAATTAATGCGCTAGTACTGCAGTGCCATATGATGCTTCTGTTTGACCGTTTTGTTTGCTTTTATGGACTTCTGGTGCATTTAATTGTAGGGGAGTTTTGATGTCGTATCAAACATCTAGTATGATGAGTATATTGTGCTGATGAGACAATGAGCCAAGTGTTTTTGTAGTATAGAATGTTAATGGTGAAAAAGTTGATTTTCAATAGCACTGAAGTTTGAGAAGTTGGGTTTGGAGAAGCAACAGGAAGTATACAAAGGAAATCCCTTTCAATGGCAGGTTAGGCAATTGGTCCTACTTTGTGACAGAAAGCGGATAATGAAGAGTCTCAGCGATATAGAGGGAAGGTAATCTAGTTCACACTAGTCCACGAAAAGGTTATTTTATATTCATTGAAACATACTGGTGCCCAATGAATATTGCCATGTCGAACTGTGCAACTAAGAGTAGTTTCTTTTAGCGCTGTGAAATATTATGATGGTTTAAAAGCAAATACCTAGCTAAACTTGGGTTTGATACCTTTTGGGACACTGCTTTGTTAATAGAAAAATGTGTTTGATTTTTTGACATTAATTTTGTCAGTCCCCACCATTTTCATCTTTCTTTCGATTACTTGTCAGGATATCCTTCTTCCCTGTTATAGATTCAAGCAAAGAAAATAAAATAATGGATGAAATACTCCAGTGTAGATGTAATTGTTTTTAAATGTTAGCTTCATTCTTTCAGAAAGACGCAATTACAACATTTGTATTCTGGCCGTGACTGCTTAATTTTGAGCTGACGTGTTTTCATTGTACTGTGATGCTATTTTCTATTCATTGAAGTTTCTCGGCTATATGATAATTACAGGGAAAATTATTTGTCTTTCTGGTCCCCCTGGAGTTGGTAAGACTAGTATTGGTCGTTCAATTGCACGTGCTTTGACCCGGAAATTCTACAGGTTTTCTGTTGGAGGCTTGGCAGATGTAGCTGAAATCAAGGTAGTGTTCAATTTTTAAGAAACTTCCTAAATATCAGTGTAGAATGCAAAATCTCACTGAAATGAAAAATTGTGAAATGATTTCTGTAATGAAAACTTGGTTCAAATTTTGACAATCTCTAGGGTCATCGAAGGACATATATTGGTGCCATGCCTGGAAAGATTGTGCAGTGTCTGAAGAGCGTTGGAACTGCAAATCCTTTAGTTCTAATTGATGAGATTGATAAGGTACTTAATTATATTATCCTTGCAAGTTTCATTGTACCTAATTTATCTGTTTACTTTTCTGTAGGATATGAATAGTGATTCTCGCACATAACATTTTGGTTGTACATAATGGTTCCTCATTTTTTATACAGTTGGGAAAGGGACATGCTGGTGATCCAGCAAGTGCTTTGCTGGAGCTGCTAGATCCGGAGCAAAATGCAAATTTTCTCGATCACTATCTTGATGTTCCAATTGACCTATCTAAGGTGAATGGTGATGCTCAAGTTTTCGTAAAATATTGCTGGTTTTCTTATGTTAAATTCTGCAAATCTTTACTCCAGTCAACACTGCAGACATCTGTCAACATTTCTAGATTGCTTTGTATTTTGAAGTAAATTTCACGTTTTTTGCTACAAAACTTATCTACCCTATGTGAAGATGGTTTCACTTTTTTGTTCTAGATGGTTTTACTTTGCCGAAAGAACAGGTAAAATTTTTGCTTGAAGGTTTTTCGATAGTCTGCATCAGCTAGGCATGGATCCCCATTAGACATACAGTTCCACTGAAGTAGAAGTATTGTATTTTTTTTTCATTTGCTTGATAACCTGTGGTATTTTATAATCGATCTGATTGTGAAGAGATCCAGAACAAATCGGTCAAGTTGGCATGCCCTAGTTGTGAAAAGACAATTTAAGTACAAAGTAATGAAAATTATATTTTTATTGATATCGTATCTATATAAAAGCTTTCAAGAAAAAGGACAAAAAAACTAAAAAGCTTCAAGCTGAATTATGATGAAGTATCATGTTAAGAGAATCACCTTTCCGTCCACACTATTGCTTATGGATGGGAGGGAGCAGGTGGGCTCTGTCCACAGATTGTGGAGCAGTAAAGGCACAGCTGGTCACCGGATGGCGACCTTGAGTGACATAAGATAGACATAGTAAATGGTGTCATTGTGAAATTGATTCAGCAAATATTTTTTTAATAAGTCATGATATTCAGATTGTATTGGTTGTACATTGCTGTTGTTAACGCTCATATTTGCATGATAGATGTACATCATAAGGCTGCCAATTAAAAATAAAGTCGGGAACCTCATTTTAGTTTCCTTGCATATTTAAATTAGACCTGAGGATTTGAATGTGTCCCAGTTCTTGTCATATCTCATACAGCTTATGCTATGAACTTGCTAACAGCTCTCCTCAAAATCTCCCATTTGCGTCACACATCCATATAAGGAGTGTTACTTTTAAATTTAATGTTGTTACTGACTCAGATTTTCCAATGATGTAGGTATTGTTTGTTTGCACAGCAAATGTCATTGAAATGATACCAAATCCGTTGCTGGACAGAATGGAGGTTATTACACTTGCTGGCTACATAATTGATGAAAAAGTGCATATTGCGAGGGATTACCTGGAGAAGGCAACCCGGGAAGCTTGTGGCATTCTACCTGAGCAAGTATGAATTCATATATTTCATAAGTGCTTGATTATTAAGTATGCTTGATTGGTTGTTTCCCGTTGGCTTCTGCTATTATTGTTATATTTCTTCTTATTTAGTTATGATCGGTAATGGATATTAATTAAAAAATTATGGAATGTAAATATTGAAACTTGTAAGACGTTCTCATTACTCTTTCTTCAGCCGAAAGACACTTGTTTTTCCTGTTTGAATTTTGTGTTGAAAGAAAGAACGTGCTTCATAAAACTATTCGTGCCAAGAAACTTGGCAGACACGCATATGAATATGTCATGGATGCAATTATGAGAGAGAGAGAGAGAGAGAGAGAGAGGGTGAGTGAAGAAGTCAACTGGAGAGTGCCATATTTAGCTCTTTTCCTCATTGTTGAATGGATATAAATCTTGTTAAACTTGTCATGTAAAATTGAAATTCGACTAGTAAAGGATTTGTTAAATAAGTTTGTAATGTAAACTTCTGATCTTGTAAAGTAGTGCAAATCCTCTTGCACGCCATGGTTTTACTGATACATGTCAACCTGGTTATATAAAATCGTAGATTAACTTTCAGTAAAAGTGCTCTCTGGATTATGACAGCGTGTGTTTCTCATCCTGTCATAGACTAACAAAATTCAGCAAATTTTTTTTTAACCACATCAATTCACATGCTATGTGAACCATGGTTCTGATATCAGTTTCAGTTCTTGAACTTACTGTAAGAGGATAAGATCTTTTGTTAACACCCTCTTCGAGTGTTTCCGTCTCCCTACTTACTGCCTATGTGTGTAGAAAATAGCAATGTCTACACCCAAAGGTTGCTGATAAAGAAACAACGTAGTGTGAATGCCAGCACGTAGCAGTGTTGTCAGTAAGAAGGGAGCTGGCACCTTTCGAAGAAGAAGGGATTTTTCTTCATTCCGATACGGGCTCTACCACATGCTCCATATCCAGTAGTGACTCCATTGGCTGACGGGCCAAGCCACCCTAAAAACCGATGCAAAGACTTTCTCCTTAGGTGCGTGTCTCAGCAACACAAAAACGAGGGTTTTGCTCAATTAAAATAACAAAGGAAGAGAATGGGGGAATAGGACTTCTGAGCTGAGCGAAACGAGCCATTCAGACGTTTAGGGGTGTCCCCAGCGACTTGTTGCTGTTAAAAGAGATTGTATTGCTTTAATGAATGATACACATGTACAGAGTAATCGACATATCTGTTGGGACCGTCATTAGTTTTTCAAGGTGATTGTGAGCCTGCCTTAGGCTCCTCCATCACTGATGAACAAACCTATTATCTTTCGACAACTATTCTCGTGCTAGAGACAAGTTCCTGGCATCCTGTTGACGCTGTAAAACCCATCAGGTTGCCGAAAGCAATATCCAACCGGAAGATGGATAACCAAGGAAGAAAGGAAGGAGCCAATACGAAAGGGGAACAAGGGAAACCTAGTCAATCATGTTCTGATACCATGGATGAACGAGTGAAAATTAGAAGCTATTTTTTTTTCAACATATAGGGAGAGAGTGCCACTCAACACGTGAATAAATGGGAAAATTAAGTCCATATTTTTAGCATATTGTTAAGCCCCTTGGTTTTTTAGCTTTTCAGCCGTTGACTTTCAGCTTGCGCATAACAATTTCATTTTTTTGAAAAAATTAAATGTGATTTTGCCGCTCCAGTGTACCATCTACTGAATTCCATTCAATGGTCATTCGCAACAGAAATGCTGAAAAAGTCATAATAAAGATGATTTCATGAACTGAGACTTTTGAAAGAAGTTTTTTGTCAAGGGAAACAGGCTGGGCCAGCACCTGATTATCTGTCACATGAAGTAAAAAAAATGGGGCCGGTCCAGTTAGAAATTAGGCTGCCATTCCTGTTTACTTGTTGAATTGGTGGTACTCATGGCATATCGTACAACTCTGCATCTAGACCTTTTGCAAAATGGAGCCACTGTGATGTATTTCTGGCCATGTTTACATTGGGTTACTGAGAAATCGGGTGGAATTAAGACTAGAATTAGTCAACTAGGGAGGGATAGGTTGTCAGTCTTGTGGGTCAAGGATAATTTTCTTGAGACTGACCAGCTTCTTGATGTTAATGCTGTTAGCAGAGGAAGAATCTGGAAGAGCCACATCCACGACCATTTGGTAGTGTGTGGAGCCCAAAGAAAGATTAAATCAAAGGCGTACATGGTCTACTAATCACTGCTTACTGGACTAATTTGGATCGCCACGGTCAGACATGGTGTACGTCAATTCATAATTTATTGAATCGCCACGGTCGCCACGATCAGAACTCTTGTTTTGATCAAATAGGCTTCTAAATTGACCAATGAGAAGTCAATATCATAGAATATTATTGTGATACTCTGTTGCTCTACAAATCAATCATTGAGAATCCAAGACTGGTCAACTCCATAACTTGGACAGGAGAAATTAACAAATCAACTTGTCATTTTACTGTCATCATATCAAATATTTTACTCCTTTTGACAACTTGTAACTCTTACAACTCTTGAACAAATTTTCTGGCAATTAAGTTATTGGATGCCGGTTGAAATGTCTGACGGCCTTGAATGTTTTAATGCTTTTTTTGTTTTGTTTTTGCATGTTATTTACATTACTTATGCATTGTCTCTTTGAAATATTACATAATGCCTCGTTTTCAGGATTCTTCTTCTCAAAAACTTTGTTAAACTGTCATGTTGTGATTTTTCACTGCATGTTATGTGGCCACTGTGAATCCTCACATAATTTCTTATCTGGGGCTTTTTTTTCATACCATGTGACTGTGTCATGACCTAATTAGCATACTTGCCTCCTTCGGTGTTCTTCCCTTGCTTTTGTTGTTGGAAATGATATGATTATTTATCTCTGTGGGTTATATGATTGAACATCTCTTTTGATAAATTTCAGGTCAAAGTTACCGATGCAGCCCTTCTCTCATTGATAGAAAACTATTGCCGAGAAGCTGGTGTCCGAAATCTTCAAAAACATATTGAGAAAATATACCGCAAGGTTTCACGTTAATGTTGGGTGTATAAGTTTTTTCTTTGTGGTCTTCTAGCAATCCGTATCCATTTTAATTTTCCAGATTTATTCTAATCATTATGTCAATACTTTCACTCGAAGCACTTCTCTGATAGATCCTAAAGAAAACTCCTGTTCAAATGTTCTGCGCATACATCCTAAGGAAACACTGACGATATTTTAGTTCGTTGTGTATAACTATTATGTGTAGCCATAAATTATTTAACTTTTTGATGATAATGAAAGTGTATTTCTGTGAAGGGGTTCATTTTCTTGGAAATATTGTAAAATCAGCCTTTCTGTTCTGTATTTCTGGTTATATAACTTTCAGTATTGGAATTAATTATTGCTAATAGCTCTAATAACTGTGTTTGTTTGATTTTTTATCATGCTTTTTATTGATTAATCCAAAAAAATTTCATATTTACATTAGCTGTGATTTCCCTATTTTTATTGATCTCAATTGAAGCAATGACTTGGGGTTTCTCTCACCGCAAGGTATTGCTTATTGGTCCTCGTGCTATGAACTTTTCACCGTTTTGTAGTCTTTGCCATGATAGATTCCTTTCTTCCGACTAAAGGGTTGCTATTATTTTTCTCTCCTTTAATGATCATTTCTTCTAGTTGGCATTACATTCTTTCGAGCTTGTATATTTTATTTTAGTGCATGTAAACGTACACTTGAAGAGTTTGCAATATCTGTGTGCTGATGGAGTTGATGAACTTTGACTTTTACTAATCGCTTAAGGAGTAAACTCTTACCGCTGATCAATGTCTTGTAGATTGCTCTCAAACTTGTCCGTCAGAGTGTGTCAAGTGGATTATCCTCAGATTCCACTGTTCAGGATGGCAACGATAAGGATTCCCTACAGTTCATCCAAGGATTTAATGAGGTTACTGGACACGAACAAACTGAAATGGAAGTTCTGCCTTCTACCTCCGATACACAGGCTAGTGAAGCAGAGTTATTGGAAATTAAGGTAAAAAATTCTCTGAAAAATGCTTAAGAACTTTCCATCGTCTGATTTCATCTAGTATTAGCACATTTGCTTGTTCCACAATATTGAATCTTCTATATGTTATGTATGCCATATGATCATTATTTTCGAGAGGACATGAGCCAGGAAATTCGTGGTTTGTTATTCCTCGAGTGATTGTATACCATCCTGACGCATTTTATTCAAGTTGACCTGAATTAACATCCTATGGATGAAGCGTCCTATTTTTGGCATATTATCTATTGCTTTCATTTCTTCTCACAGAGGATACCAAGATTCCCAGGTGTGCAATCGAGTAAGACTTGCTCATGACATGTTTTGCTTGCCTGGATAGATTATAGCATAGATTATCTTTAAAGTCATCTGTCTCTTTGTGATCATTGTGTTAACAGGTTGGTGTAGCGAACCCTGATGCCCCTAGATTCAATGATCATTTCGTTAATAGAATCTGGGGATCAAGCACCCTATTTTGGGCATATGACCTAATTTTCTTACGTCCATTGTTGCAGATACCTAGATTCTCCAATCACGTTGCCTAAACAAGTTAAAAGCTATATATTTTTTTTCTTAAAATCGTCTTTATCCTTGATCATTGTATTTGTCAGGTCAATGCAGGGAATTCCAATGCCCCAGGTGTTGAAGAGGTGTCTCAAATAGTCATCGTTGATGAAGGAGACCTGCCTGATTTCGTCGGGAAGCCTGTCTTCCATGCTGAGCGTATATATGATCAGACCCCAGTCGGGGTTGTCATGGGCTTGGCCTGGACTGCAATGGGCGGCTCAACATTGTACATTGAAACGACGCTGGTGGAACAAGGAGAAGGTAAGGGCTCACTTCACCTCACCGGGCATCTCGGTGATGTGATGAAGGAGAGCGCCCAGATTGCCCACACGGTCGCCAGAGCAATTCTGCTCGATAGAGAACCGGACAACCAATTCTTCGCAAACACCAGGCTACATTTGCACGTCCCAGCAGGTGCAACGCCAAAAGATGGGCCAAGCGCTGGGTGCACGATGATCACATCGATGTTGTCTCTTGCCCTGAAGAGGCCTGTCAAGAAAGACCTGGCAATGACAGGCGAAGTGACTCTGACCGGGCGGATTCTTCCCATTGGTGGAGTAAGCTGCTTCTGCCATCAAATAAACTCCATCTTTGCTGTCTGATTTCATCCTGGTTTCATTTTTATGTTTCATATTTGCTATTGACTGCAAAAATATAGAAAGGCCTACACCAATCATCGCCAATTTTTCTTTTTTAAGATGGATGACCCAATAATTCAGACATGGTATCAAAAGCCATTGGTTGCTTGACAATGCCCAAAAATTAGCTTGCACGAGAGGGTGAGGCAGCTAAGAGTAGTCCTACATTGCTCCTGTATTATAAACGTAGGCCATATCTTATTTTTGAGTTATGATCACAAAATACCTCAGACAAAACCTTTGCCCGTTTTGTTAGATCTTCTTTGCTCTCCCCATGTTCTTCAATTTTTTATTATTTATTTATTTTTATTTTTTTCTGTGTGGAATCAGGTCAAGGAGAAAACCATAGCTGCGAGGAGGAGCGGGGTGAAAACCATCATCCTCCCATCGGCCAATCGGAGGGATTTTGACGAGCTCGTAGCCAATGTGAAGGAAAACCTGGTGGTCCTCTTTATGGACAACTACAGCCAGATATTGGAAGTAGCACTCGACGACGATGGCGATGAGGCTCAGGAATAAAAACCCACCTTCCAAGTCTCGCCTAACAGCTGAGAAAACATGGCCAGCTATTCTTTGGCCCTCCACGAAGCTACAGATTCTTTGATCCTCTGTGGTTTGGTGATAATCACTTGGGTTGTGGAGGATCATCCGGCTGTGGTGAGAACCATTTTTGGGTATTGTTTTCTTCTCATAAAAAAGCTTTCTTTTTTATTCTTGCGATCAGAGACACCATAATCAGCTCTTTGTAATGTGACTAGAGTGAGATTTTGCTGCTACCACAGATTCTTTGGCCCTCTGTGGTTTGCTGATAATCACTTGGATTGTGGAGGATCATCCGGCTGTGGTCATAACCATTTTTGGGTTTTTTTTTTCTCATAAAAAAAGCATTTTTTATGCTTAGCATTAGAGAGACCATGATCAGCTGTTTGTAATGTGACCATAATTGCTGCTATCATAGAAGATGTTACAGGAATCTCCTACCTGTTATGGTAACTTATTTATTTTTACTTTGGATCTCTTCCTAGATCCTGAGTTTTTTTACGATATTTAATTATCTGGTTATTATCCTCATTAATTAGTCTACCTACTGCTTAGTTCGCCCGAGTTAACCATGATCTACATTAATTATTTAGCTATTATTTATCTAGATAGAATACCATGTTTACCCTCCCTCCTCCCCCCTCCCTTCTCAAAACCTGATTAATCACACAAAACCTCCTCTTAGTAACTAGGTTTAAATATTACTTCCAAATTAATTTGGAAAAATTAGTTACCTCGTATGGCAACAAATTTGGAATATATCACAAATGCTTTATATATATATTATAGCAAAGTCTTATAAATATTTAGATAATTATATAATTTATGATAGCTCTCCATTCCTGAGTAATCACACACATGACCTCCTCTTGGTGGTTTAAATTTTACTTCCAATTTTATTTTTTTAAAAAAATATAAATATATCAAAAATATACAACATATTAAAATTAATGTAATTTATTGATAATTCATAATTGTCTTGAAACGTTCCAAGTTAAACGTGCCCAATCAACTATTACTTAATGCCTTAATTGTATGATTACTGATAATTCTGTGAGATTGAATTTAATTAGTTATTCAAAGTATTTATAATTCCAATTAGTTTCCAAAGGTTGCCAACCTCGTAGAGGATATTTTTAAAAAACTTAATTTATGTGGCATGCCGGCTTTTGAAGTCATAGACATTTTTCGGTCATAGAGGCAAGGATAATACATTGAGGGTATATTAATCATTGAGAGTATCTTTGGAGGGGGTATACGTAACATTATTAGGCCCATTTTCTGAGGGGGATGCAACGACTATTCGAGTCGGTGGTCTGAGAAACTCGCAGGGGGAGATTCAGGGGACTGAGAGAGCCCCCCCCCCCACCTCTCTCTCTCTCTCTCGGTCTGTGAAGGAGGGAAGAAGAAGAGGCGGATGGGGGGGACGGAGATGGCGACCGATAATGCTCCCCCAATGGACGAGAAGGCGAAGCGGACAAGGGAGCTTCTGGCGAGCTTCTACTCGACGGAGGCTTCAACGGCTGGCAGGGCCGTTCCAGTCTCACCTTCTAGAGTCGCCACCTTGGATTCTATCAACTCCCCTTCCTTCGATCCCGATGTCTACATGAATCTTTTGGTAATGCTAGATCTGCACTCTCTCCTTTCTCTTTCTTCATCAATCCATGCTCTCTCTTTCTCTCTCCTTCTCATTCGCTGTCTTACTGCCTCTTCCAGTTAATCTCTGTCTGTCCGTCTATCTCTCCACGTTTTCCGAGTAGTATATCTTCATGCTGGTCTGCTTTACGTTTCTCCCTTTCGAATTGGCTATTTCTGATCCCCCTTTCTCTTGTCATTGCTGTCCTAAGGTTCTCTTAAATTATGAGGAAAACGCTAGACTTTAACTCATTTACTTTCTGGTAGAGCATCGGTGAAGTTATTTTATTTATCCGGCGTGCACATTTCCATAATTTCCTTAATTTGGTGATAAATACTGTTGCACTATTGTAATTTCCGTAATCTCCCTTTCAATTGCCATGATGTTCATTTTTTCTTTTGCAGATTCGAAAGACAAATTTGGAGGGGCTTCTCCATAAGCATGTTGAGATGGCCGCTGAGATAAAGAATCTAGATACAGATCTACAAATGCTAGTGTATGAAAATTACAACAAATTCATCAGTGCAACGGATACAATTAAGAGGTAACTTTATTTTCAGACTTAGTTTTCTTCTATTATACTCACACTGCTATCTTTTATTAGACTTCCACGTTATGGCTGCAGTCAAAATTTTGAGACCACCATCATTTTTTGCTGCAACATCTAGCTTCCTCTCATACCCTGCTGTTCCTGAGTGTAGGAAAAATGTTATCCTTAAAGAGAAAGCAGATGAGGATGTTGCATTTTTGATTAATTTATGCCCTTCTTTTCCTGTCTTTAGTTGATTTCTTTCGTTTTTTACGAGTTCTCAGACTTTGTGCCCGTTTTTGGATCAAGCGAAATGATTTCATTACTTTTCATTTTAATCTCATACATATGAAATTTATTCATCAAATATAAGTTTTTCTTAACGAAAGTAGAACGTTATTATTATGTCCAGTCTGGCGGAATTAGGTGATCTTTTATTTTATTTATTTCATTTTTACTGCAAAGGAGGTCCATATTCCTCCCTTGGAACTAGACCGATCTGAATTGGCTAATAATGAGCTGAATTAGTAGTCCTTTTTGCAAGCAGCTGATTTCTCCTGTTTTGATTTGAACTCGAGTCTCTTGATCGCACTTTAGTTCAAAGTACGTGAATACGAAGGTGCTCTAGCAATGTGCTCTGAGTGTTTTTCTTTTGGTCGAGGTCGACCTTAACAAAGTGTTGGACGTGGTCTACTGTTCTTCTGCGCAACAAGGGAACATATGCTTTCATCCTTTCTCAAAGATGATTATAGGGTCGGGGTTCAGTAGGATGACTAGTGGAGGGGTGGGTAAAGAGGAGACTGAGGAATACATTTTTCGTAGTCTCTTTCTTTGTCTACGATGATAAGAGAAAGATACGAATATTTCTTTTTGTTCTCGCATGGGAATTTTCTATTTAATCCAATTAACATCTCTACCATATAGTGAAAGGGTTTCTATGCTCATGATAATTTCACTTAAGCCAGAAAATTTTGACAGTCCCATCCAAAAGTCACTATCTGAAGGTGCTTTTTTTGTAGCGTAGCACGGTTTGATAAGGTAAATAACAGAAGCTTATGATATGAATGTAGGATGAAGAATAATATTGTGGGTATGGAGGCAAATATGGAGCAGCTTCTTGAAAAGGTTCTTGGATTCTACTTTATTATTGGCATTTTTATGGCGATATTTCCCTTTGTATGTTCCCTTCTTATTCTGTTACTGTTTCAGATTATATCCGTGCAGTCAAAAAGTGATGGAGTCGATACATCCCTTTTCGCAAAGCGAGAAAAGATTGAAAAGTTGCATCGAACACGAAATTTTCTCCGTAAAATTCAAGTATTACCTTGAAACTTACTACTTTATTTTTTAATCTTGCTACAGTTGCTTTCTTATATTTGTGGATTAGCCTTGGTATTACTATTGGTTTTCTATGCTCAAATAAAAGGATTCATCAAACAATGTTTAGAGCATGCAGGGCTGTACTTTTGGTGTTTTTCTTGCCACGGGCATCTAATTTGCTTGTCTTCTGGGGAATTTATACAGAAAGTTCGAAAGTACTAAACATATATATGTTCATTTCTATGAGGAACATTGCATGTTTGTTATTCTCGTATGGTTGTGATTAGTACAATTTTTTGGCTAGATATAATAAGATATAATATGCTACTATATTCCTGATCATCTGGACTTGTGTTTCTTAAAAAGTATGGAAATAAGCCTTGGGGAGAAAATGCTATGTAGAATGGTAAAGTACATTGGCCAAAATTGCGTTATTAAATCTAAGAATGAACAAGAATAAAAGAAAAAAACTCATGTTTTTGGAAAAATTAATGTAGTTTACTTGATAATTAGTGCAGTAGAGACGTATTTTTGTTTCTTTGTTAAAATTGTGAGACCATAGCACTGACTTTGAAGGATATCTGTGTCGCTTAACTCCAAAAAGAGAACCTATGCATATTCTACTAAATTATTAATTTCTTGTTTGTGGACGCATCTTTCTAATTCTTCTGGGCCTGGTATACTTTTATTTATACTATGATCTTCTTACGAATTCTTCTTACAAATGTGCAGTTCATCTATGATCTTCCGGGACGGCTTCAGAAGTGTATTGAATCAGAAGCATATGCTGATGCAGTACGATTTTTCATTGGAGCCAAGCCAATTTTCGAGGTTCATTTTTGTTTCTTTTATTATTGGTGTTGTTTTATAAGCTCTTCGACCTATCTAATCTCTTTATTCTCTATTTTAGGCTTATGGAGGTTCATCTTTCCAAGAGTGTAAAATATCATCTGAAGAGACAATGAAGTTGGTTATTGAAAACCTCAAAGTAACCTTCTTTTCCCTGATTATTTGTTTAAAATCTTCAAAACTCTCTCGTGTCTTCTAATTTGTTGCCCTTTCGTAACTTGTTATTTGTTGGTTTCCTTGTGCCATTTAGTGTATATACTCCGTTGACCAGTATCTTTGGTTTTAGTTGTTTTTAACATAGAAAATCAGTTGGACAGATGACAAAAAAAGATAACTAGGTGGTACCATGGTTATTCATGCTATCAGAAATCCCTGTTGCTGGATATTTTTTAGTTGAACTACTTCATCTGCATTCATGTTGTCTTACTGACGAAAGTTCCTTGTTTCATCTGCATAATTTGTACCCTTTTGCCTTATCTTCAAATATCCTGTTATTGGACTGCTTGCAAGTAAATGCTTTTCATTTTTACTACTTTTATCAGTTAGTCAAGCGCGATAATGAAGGAAAGTTATATGTTATCTAACACAATTCATTAAAAACCTTTCACCAAGTTGTTGTGCATGTACGGATGTTGAAAGAGATAAATAAATGGCAATGACCACAATGATCAGCTTTGAAAACGAATGGCTTTATTAACATTTTTTTCCCACAATTTTACCATAGTCCTCTAATGGATCAAATTGGACTTTTATTCTTTGATTATCGAATACATCACTAATTCCCTTCACATATTTTTATGTATTAGTTTAGAGTTTTGTCGTAGAGGTGTTGTGAACCTGATGGTTGATCTATTTCAGAATTATATGCTTGCTATGTTTCATTTTCCTCAGTATTGGATTTTTATAGTAATTGTATTCATCCAATTGTATCTCAATTTTTTCTGATTACATGTCTAAATCTGCTGGTTAATCATAGGTTCAGGTGCTTCTCTGTAAATTGACACTAACTGTAATATATAATGGTTTTTCTGAATTGTTCATTCTTTCCCGAATGTTTCTCAGGGGAAATTATACTCAGATACTGAACCTATCGAAGCAAGAGCAGAAGCTGTCGTGCTTCTTAAACAGTTGAACTTCCCTGTTGGTACTTCGCCCTTTTATTCTGTCTTTTATGGCGTATTTTGGTGTCAGAGAACTTTTAATGTTTCATTCCTTTCTAAGAACTGAGTTGTTAATGATGAATCACATGTACTGTCTTGTAAGAGAGATATCTCGTGTCTGCTGATTTATTCTACTGGCCCTTACCAGAAAAGACATGCATAATTGCATTTGCCTGTGGCAATGGCAAATTAGATATTTTGTATGAAATATCCTTGGGCATTTCTTTGTTGTCAGGGAAGATTCAAAGAAAAGAAAAGAAAATATCTAATCTTACTATGCGTAATACATGACAGAAAATGAAGGCTTCCGATTTCTAGTTATTTTCTTGCTAGCAAGCCTGGTGACAAAATGTGCGAATCTTTTTATGTTTTGAAGGTTGAAGATCTAAAAAACAAGATGCTTGATAAGCTAGAGGACTTCCTTCTTGATTTTCATAAAGAATCAAAAAGGATGGGTATCACCAATACAGAGTTAGATGAACCAAATGGTGTAGGTAATCATTCAGATTCAGCTCGAGCTATATCACATCTGACTGCATCCAGCCAGGTAAACTATCCATGGTTTTTACCAGAGTATGTTAACTATGCTTTCTCAAATCATATGAAGTGTTGACTTATTTTCTGCGTTCATCATACTGTCGTACTCTCGTTTCCAAAAAAATTACCAGATTCATTCTTGTTGATCGTTTAGAAATGTCTACATGGTTGATTTCCAAACTAAACTATCTGTCGAAATTTGAATGTATTTTCGTTGATATCTTTTATTGAGAGTGTGGGCTGATATTTCAAACTAAATTTTCTTTGGGTACTGGTAATATTTCAGTTAGTGTTGGTTGAAAAACAAAGCGTAGGAAAGAGGGTTTATCAGATTGAACTTGGGTCCAACTAACCTGAAAAACAAGTCTAATCAGTTCCTTTATAGGTTCTTTCAAAAATTTATATAAATAAGAACATAATAAATGGACTGGTAAGTTTTTCAGCTATGGCTGTATATCATCAAGATGAAGTCTCACCAAATGCCCTAATTATCCATAGAAAAATCTCCCATAACTACACTCTGCTGTTATTGCTCAAAAGAGATCTGCAACGGAGCAGTTCAGTGATACAAAAAAAATTCTTTCTTATCAGCATGGATGTCTTATTGCTCAAGCTTTTCAACTGTATACGATTGTTGGTTTTATCTGGAAATTAATAATTTTCTTCAATCGAACTCTTAAACTTCCTTCTACCAGATTTCTGATTGATTGACATTGCACTGTACCCCTGCCATTTTTTTGATTTTTTGTGGGCATCACTTTGTCTCTCAATATTTTGAGAAATCAATCCGACTTTTTCTTTTCTATGCTTCCCAAACGTAGGCATCAATCGCTGAATTTTCCAAGACCATCAATGCTTACCGGATAATATTTCCTGACTCAGAAAGGCGGCTCATAGAACTTGCACAAGACTTGTTTACAAAGTAACTAATCTCCTATGATTCATGTATTACTGAAGCTTCTCATATGCTAATCCTTCAATGCTAATATTGTTAATTTTTCTGTTTCAAGGCGCTATGAGACCATTCAACAGCGGATAACAGAACAACTATCTTCAGAAGCTCTAATGTTGGCCTTGCGTGAGAATTTTACTTCATCAAAATGTGTTTCTCATATTAATATCTTGTCATGTCATTTTGTTTTTGTGTGCTGACACTGTTATGGAGATTTAGTGGATTCGGAAAATTTAAACCATGTCACAAGGAATAAAAATATTGAAGGTCTTCTGCTTCCAGAATTTGTATTGAAGATATTAAGTATTGTTGTCCTTAGGGATAGTGGAAAAAAGTTGATGTGCATTTGCCTCACTAATTAGTGAAAAATTTCTTGTTAAATTAAGCTTCTCACCTTTGGTGCCTTTCTTTCATCTTTCAGTTAAAGTTGACATATTGCACATCATTTGGTCAGGATAATGACCTTGCCCATTTTTCATTCGATGATGATAGTAGCCACTTACAAACAAATTAAATAGGCCAAGATCACTTATCCTGAGAAGCGTGATACCTTTTGAAGCGACATAAATGGGAATGAGGAGTCTCCATATCAAGAAGTTCTATTTGTCAACCCTATTCAAGGAATGGGTCAAATAACTTATCTAAAAAATGAAAATTTTAATTAATGATGCAGGATGTCTAATAATGGATTGAACTTTGGGATTATTTTTTTTATCTTCTCTAGTTTTTAAGTTGCCACATGGGTAATATATAATTTATTTTATTAATGTAGTGCTGAGATTGAATAATCCTAGACGAGTTAATATTCCTAGGGCTTCCAAGTCCGATTGAACTCTGTTAGAGGTCAGTGGAATTAGTTTTCCATTAACACCATGTATCCATTAAGTATTTGCCAAAAGACCAGATACTTCTCCTCTGTCCTTTCTTCACTAGAATTACGTAGTTCAATATTTCTCTTCTGCTGTTTTCACGATTTTTCCCTCAAGATTCCTCTCTCTCTCCACACTGCGGCGTCAGAGAAAAAGTTCTTGGTTCTTTTGTTGGCTTTGTGGTGACGAGGTTGCAGAGAGAAGAAATCAAATGTAGACAATTTTTAAGGCTTTAAATTTTTCCTGCTGGCTGTGATGAAGTTGTATGGATCTGAGTAAAGAGTGATGTTTAGGAAAGAAGTTACAAATGAGGGTAATGAATAATTGACTGCCCATAATCTTGCTTCTTTTAACCCAGGAATCTGAGGTGGGATGGGCATAATCCATTCATTCAACTTAGAAGATGCTCAGCAATACGCTTTAATGGCAGGAAAAAGAGCTTGCTACTGTAAGCAAGGAAATTATATGACTCTGTCAGAGAAAACATATTTGCTATTTTGGGGGTTTTGAGTCTGATCAAATAGGCCATAGAGCTAAAAACGACCCTAGGGTTGTCGTAGATCTAATCAGGGTCGTAGCAATAGTTATTGAGGATAGGAAAGAACATGAGTTGAACCTCACAATGATCTTGGTGAGACGAGTATCAAAGAGGCCATACCATGGAAAACTCTTTTTCTTCATCTTCCCAGCAGTAAATTGGCTTTACACCCTGTGCAAGGAGAAAAGTACAATTAGAGAAGGCACAATATCTATCAAACCAGTGTGTTTTACATTGGTGAATGTAAACTGAAGCTGAAGGCAGAAAATGTAAGTTTTTGTGTTTTCATATATCCAGTTTATGTTTTCATATATACAGTTTACTGTGGATGATGATATAAAAAAGGTCAGTTGCAATATAGGGTCTGTGGACACTATCTTTTATTGGGAAAATATTGGTTAGATGCTAAAGTTAATACCTATACTTTTTGGAAGAATATTAAGAAGTTGATATTGCAGCCTCGCTAGGAAATATCCTCAAATAATTGAACGTCCTAGGTGAATGGTTTTCCATTTGGTTAAAAAAATTAAGATTTAAGCTAAAGAATCAGGGTGTGATTTATGTTTTGATTGGAAATGTGATACCCGAGCGTAATATGTAGTATCTAAGGACCATCTAATTGAAATATAATGTTTAATTAAACTTCCACGTTCTGTTTTAGCCTTGCTCACATGGAAGAAAAATAGAAGAATGATGTTTGATGGCAAGTGTACTGTCAAAAAAATAAAAAAAATACTCTAGTTTTTTATTCCTTGTTATTACATGCTTGACATGCTAGAGCAAATGTCATGCCATAATGTTGTTAATTGATCAGTGATCTTGTGAACTACAACTCTGTTGATAGTTCTCTTTTTCTTTTTTTGCAATGTATTTTGCATATCCAGAAAGAAGTTTCATGTTATATTTCATTATGTCTTCTGCCATGAGATATTTGGAGGTTTAACATAAGAAACCTCAAATGGTTGCAGGAGATATTTGGTCTGATGTATCACTGATGGATCAAGTTTTACCTGAGGCTGCACTTCCTGTTATTTCTTTGGAGGTTTTTCCTGTTAATTTTTACAGGCACCGTTGTTAAATTTTTTATATGCATTTACATTCTTATTCACCGGACTTTAATGAAAGCAATGATGTATTGTTTCTGTGTACCAATTCTCTCTTGTTATTGCGGTTCCTTGCCACTCTCTTCCTCCACATCTCTCTTTCATTTTTTAACTCCTGTCGGTTCAATATACTGTTCTCCTCCCTTTCGTGTGTTTCTCTATGTTCCTTTGACTCACTTCCCTCTAGATCCTCTGTTGATCTTCAGTCCCTTTCTGATGGCAGCTCAAATTCACAACAGTTCCAGTCGGAGTAACAGCAGCAGGTTTGATGGGTGTGGGGTTTCAGTAAATTCACAAACTGTCGTATAGCTTGGAGGCGAATTCATGGGCTATGGTGTAAAATACTGTTTTTGTGGCCCCAAATTTTAACATGAATAGCGGTGGATTTTTTTTTTGTACCGAACTGCAGAATATATCTTTTACCACCAATGCCACAGAAATTGATAATACCACCAGCCGACTCCTAGACAAAAAAAATTAATCAATAAAATTATTTTTGGTAATTTTAAGTACAAAAATACAAAAGCAGGGTCGGACTGATATTTAGAGTTTGGTTATTTGAATTTGAGAGGCCTCTCATTCGAAGTTTATTCTTGATCTTTTCGGAATAAAGTTGTAGGAAAATTAATTTTTTCATGTGACGATTATTGCCAGAGTTTGTCTATATCTGTAGGAAAAAAAAAGTCTGGAACGAATTTGCCCCCGACATGCTCGGGACATTCAAATGTGAAGAGATCACCGATGTTTATTGCCATATATCCTGTTGATAAATTATTCTTGAATTTCCAGTGTAGCATTATTTCACCCGCGTCGACACCAAGTTTAACTTTTTGTAATTTTTTTCTGAAAATTAAATCCATTGTCTGATGATTTTCTAGGCCTCCAGGGGCGTCATCAAGAAATATATCACCGGTGCATTCTCTGCTCTTCTGCGTTATGTTTCAGGTTATCTTCTGATTTCTCATTGATTGCCCATTTTACCTCTCTGCTACCTAGAAGTACTAGAGATATGTCTGTATAAATGATTGACCGATAATTAGAATCTTCTGTTACGAAGTGTCCTTAATTAAATAAATTGGAGATTAATTGATGAAATTTCGGCACAGGCAAGCTGCTTTCTGTCTTGCCATGGAGATTTCTGTAATAATGAATTTTTGCCATGTAATTAAAAGCATTGAGGCACTATCTCCAATGTGATGTTTGAATCTATTGTCCCACATCATTTCTCTTATTCATTACCAGCCCCTCCAGTTTGAAGGCAAGAAACAGAGTGCGAAAAAAGGATAAGGTCTCTGCAAAGCTCTTCATATTTCTTTGTCAATCCATCTGTAATGTAGTGAAAAAATTACCGGTGATATAGAAGCATATGACCTCATGTGGTTTACTGAAACCTTCTTATGTATTTTTTTTTAACATTTTTGAATATTAGAAGCATTGACTGGACCACAAACATCCCCGAAGGGGACAGAAGAACAGCGAACGCTGCAAACTGCCTTGGAAAGCAGTAAAAAGGCGGTAATTCAAGGAAGCATGGATTGCCTACTCGTAAGTTATATTGCTTAAATCGAGTCTTTTGGTAATTTTTGTCCATATCTCAAAGTTTGCCATTTAACACGTTATAATTGCGAAACTAAGAAATCCTTTTTAGTGTGCACATTTGCCAAGTAATCCTGTTGTCTAGTTCTCACTTGGGATCTGGGTTGCTTAAAGAGTTGCCAACATGTGAGTAAAATGTCTACAAGAAGCTACATCCCAATCATACTGTGCTAAAATCCTTTTGTTGAAATTTTCTTAATTTTATCTTCCCATCTGTCATATCTTCGCTTATGCTGCAAATCAGATTCTATTTTGACTACCTGCTGTGGTCAAGATACAGTTGGCTGCTTAGGGAGTTCCAGCACCTTAACATTTTGTTTGCATATGAATTAGTCTGTTCATTGGCATCGGTTCATACCATTTTGTATCTAATCATTCTATAACGATGACATTCATTTTTAAATAAATAAGATGAAAACTATTGGCCTTGCTCTTAAATTGCTGACCTCTATTTGGATCGATGAAATTTAAATCTGTGTACTCCAATCACTGTCTTATATTGGTAAAAACTCTGGAAAAGTTCTAACCTGCGAATAACATTTCTTATTTTTTCTTTAGACAATTTTCTGTTACATTTTGGTAGCACTTCTCTCGTATAATTTGTTCTCCTTTCAGGACTTTCGCCACCTTCTTGATGATACCTTTGAGCTCGTCACGAAGATGAGAGACTTGATCGTGGATTGGGTGCAAGAAGGATTTCAAGACTTCTTCAAGGCACTGAATCGCCATTTTCTCATGCTCTGTGGAAAAATTGATATTATAAAAAATCGTGTGAATGCCGCAGAAGGGTTTCGGGCAGAGAAGGTGCAAACTGGCCTTGTTCTTGTCCTGGCCCAGCTTTCGATTTTCATAGAGCAAAGTGCAATCCCTAGAATTACCGAGGCAAGTAGTTTATAGTGTGCTTGTTTCTTGTTTTTATGGTTCATCAACCACTTTGAAAGACTCTCATTAATAACTTTCATTGCAGGAGATTGCTGCTTCATTTTCTGGAGGTGGTCTCAGGAGCTATGAGTATGGTCCTGCTTTTGTACCTGGAGAGATCTGCCGTCTGTTTCGCTCTGCCAGCTCAAGCTTCTTGCAAATTGTAAGAGCAGACCTTTTTTAAAATATTTATTGTCAACATTAGTAGTGCAATGTTTAAGTTTAATGGCAATGCCTCTCTAGGGAAAAGCCTCTGACTGTGGGTGAAAATGTTAAAGTTGATAAAACTTTAAAGTGGAGAAACCTAAGTTGTATTGATGATAAAACAAATGATATCATCGGTCGGGGTACATGTGAATCATATAACCTTTCTAAAACCTTAAACAAATGACCAGAATAAACTCAATTTAGTACCTTATCAGGGGAAATTGCATCCAGAATGAAAGTTAACATTGAAATAAAACCAAAAGAATGCGATAGGACCAAGGATTAATAGCTAGAACTGGCTGTATCAAAACATTAGACTTTGAAGTTTCTAATTTATTAAGGTATTCTGCTGTCTTGCACACCATTGCTCAGTCTACTCTCAAGTTCTTTTTTGATGTCAGCCAGTTGTTCAATCTACTGTCCATTTTATCAATACTTATCGAGTATGCAGTTTACATGTTGAATTCATAAGTGCGAAACATACATCGCTGCATTTACTTAATTTTTAACCATTTTTTCTTGGATCAATTTCACTTTGGTTTACTAAGATCATAAGGGACATCTCCTTTAAATTATTATAGAACCTGCACACTGAGAAACAGAAATCCCTGATGGAAGCAGGAATCTTGCATATTGTTGAATTAGAGGTTGAGAGTGTATGCATGATAATTTGGGTGCTTGTACGAGGGGAGTCTTTGCCTAATCCTTTTGTTTGCGGTTTCTGGAAAAGAGTAGTTTGACTGTAGCATTGGTAATTTTCCAAAGTTACCTAACGATGTCCTCGTATGAAAAATACTGCTATGTGAAAATTACCACAAAGAATATATCCTAAATATCGTTCTATATGGCAGCATCCTCTAATGAGGGTCGATGTGTGTTCATGTAGACTGGTAGAGATGTATTCTGTGTGACATCTATTATATAGATCGAAACATTAATGGTTTTTCTCGGGTGCGCGTAGAAATTTCGATGTGAACACCGGAAATTTGTGGGAAAGAATTAGATGTAGAATGGATCTAAAGGGGGGACAAAATGCCATTGAATTGACTTTTCTGATTAGATTATGCAATTGGGCCTCATATTTTTATGGAAAAGAAGCGACCAAGTGCGCTGAAGATTACAAATTTAATGAACGGCAATGTAGTCCTGCGGGGAACGATTCAACGTTAATGAAACTTTGAAAATTTCTTATGTTGGTTGGGAAAGGAATTCTTTTGGTACTACTTACCATTCAGCGTTATTTTTTCTCCACGGACGATTTTTTGCCAAATTCTGACTTATTTGGTAGAGCAGAGTTAATCTTTTTGTCATCTTCAGCCAGTCGAAGACAATAGTTTCCCTTGGTGGTAAACTGAACTGTTCTGTCACTCTCGTTTTATTCTAATTATCATGTATCTTATTTTTCTCTTACTATTGGCAGTATATTACCATGAGAACTCAGAAAATTTCTACATTGCTGAAAAAGAGGTTCATGGCGCCTAACTGGATCAAGGTAAAGGCTTTCTAGCTGTATTTTGAACTACCTAAGACTGCCAGTTGTATTTCAATATCGTACATAACGATTTTCATGAATTTTCAACAGCATAAGGAACCAAGAGAAGTTCACATGTTTGTCGATTTACTTCTTCAAGAGGTGAGTACTTGTCGTTGACTTTTCATCTGTTGAAGTCCGTTGCACTGTCAACGAGGCTAATTACTCAGAATGAAGACAAAAAGTCAAATGCCTTATTCCTTCGATTGGGCTGTTCATCCCAGTGACGAAAAAAAAAAAAAAAACTAGTTTGCGTCTCTTTGCCTGTAATAGAGCGTTGGGACACTCCATCACTTGACATGAATTATGTTGAGACATAATTATATGCTTATACGCTCAGTCTTATCAACATCGTTCATGTTAGGCAAAAAAGATGAAAACTGTGTTGGACGGGGTAGAAATCACCCTGAAAACTGTTGGTTCTATCTATCTATTTAGGTGATTGTATTATTGCCTTTATTCTTCATCTCTGTCCACACCAAAAAATTTATCAAAGATCTGTAAAATACCTTTAATGGAAATAGGACGTCTGGGATTGTCTATTTATAGTATGACCCGAGTGCAAAATATGGAATATTATTGTATCTTGATGTTCTTCAAGATAATGTCTATCAGAACTGAGAAAATGTACCTAAAAAAAGAAAATTGCTTAAAAGAGAGCCTTTCTTGCGTTAGATGTCAGTGGCGATTGTGTTCCTTTAACGAATTCATGTTTTTTCTCTGACAGTTGCACGGAGTTGGAGCTGAAGTTAGACAGCTTTTGCCTTCTGGTCTCACTCAGAGACACCATCGAACTGAAAGCACTGGAAGCACCAATTCTTCTCGCAGCAATCCACTGCGTGAAGATAAAATCAGCCGCTCAAACACCCAACGTGCTAGAAGCCAACTTCTGGAGAGCCATCTCGCAAAGTTATTCGAGCAAAAAATGGAGATATTCACGAAGATTGAGCACACAGAGGTACAGATCCCTCATTGTTTCAGATTTTACTGAAAATATCCTAGCAGGCTCATGATGAAATAAAGTGGAAAACATTTTAACATTACTCAAGATGCTGTCTTTCTCTCTCTAGAAAAACTGTTTCTGGTGAACGCCAGCTCAGAAAATACTTCCTAAAATTTCGGAATCTAGTTTTTGGTACATTATTTCTCTCTCGAGGAAAACTGTTTCTGGTGAATGTCAGCTCAGGAAAGACTTCCCAAAACTTCGGAATCTAGTTTCTTGTACATTATTTCTCTCTCTAGAAAAATTGTTTCTGGTGAATTCCAGCTCAGGAAAGACTTCCTAAAACTTCAGAATCTAGTTTTTTGTACATTATCTTTCTAATGATTTCATTGAAATGGGCCGCTTGAATATTTCCGTTTTTCTTCTTATCGGATCGAGGGGAAATTTGGCATTTATTCCTGGATCTAGATTTTTCGATTTTTGTACATTATATTTCTATTTTCGCCTTTTGGATAAAGTTCATATGCCCAGGGGGCGCCATCTTCTCTTGATTTCTGCTGACTTGCAATCTGATAATTAGTCGGATAATTTCCAATTTGGTCAAATGACGAACATAATATAGATCAGAAGCTGACGCCAGCATTCGACATTTCAGGAATCAATCGTATCCACTATTGTGAAGCTATCCCTGAAGAGCATACAGGAGCTGGTTCAGCTGCAGACACTCAATCGAAGTGGGTACCAACAAATCCAGCTGGACATCGAATTCCTGAAGAACCCATTGAAAGAAATCGTCCACGATGAGGCTGTGATTGATTTCCTGCTAAAAGAGGTAAGAGACCTTTTCTTTTTTCTATAATATGTTAATTTATATTTCAATATAATTAATATGTCGATTAATTTCTGGATCTGCAGGTAACTAATGCTGCTCACGAACGGTGCCTCGATCCAATCCCTTTGGAGGCGCCGATCATCGACAAGCTCATCCAGGCAAAGTTGGTCAAGAACAAGGAGCCGAATTCCCGGTAAATAATAATTAAAAAAGAAAAAAAAGAAAAAGGAAGGCCAAGAACACCTGCCCATTTTTAGACACCCAGAGGTGCTCTTCAGATGGAGATCCAGAGAGTATTGGGCCTGCTTCGGGCCTCAAACAGGAGCTGAGGAACCCCCCTCAAGTTTGGGGGGAGGGGGGCAACATGAAGATGATGAATCCCCAGGTGGATGGTAAAGCAGAAAGAACATCAGAAATGAGGTTGTGGGGGGGGTGGAAGGCATTCATGATCTGATCGGGTTCATGGATCAATCGGAGCTTGCAACCCCAATCCACAGAGCTCTCGCTGAGTTCATCACTGTGTGCAGCATCGCTTATTTCTCCCTGTATTATCATAAGACTCTCTCTCTCTCTATCTATCTATCTCTCTCTTTCTCTCTCTCTCTCTCGCTATCTATCTATCTTGCTCTCTCTATGTCTTTCCCTCACTCTCTCTCCTCTCTATATATCTATCTATCTCTCTCTCTCTCTCGCTATCTATCTATCTAACTCTCTCTATCTCTTTCCCTCACTCTCTCTCCTCTCTATATATCTATCTATCTCTCTCTCTCCTTTCTATATATCTATCTCTCTATCTCTATTAATCGATCCCCAAACTTCATAAAAAAAAACCTTACAAAATCTCAACCACATACAGGGAAAGTTCATGCGTCATTTTAAATATATAAATGCATATATATATATATATATAGTGATAGTAATCGAAAATAACGGGTGAGTGGGGCACAACGATCTCCAAAGGATCAACCAATCAGCATAGAAAAAGCATCCCTCGCGAAATTAAAATCGGGCACCTGTTTGATCCTCATTATTTGTGTCAAGAGAAGAAGAGAGATAGTTCAAGATGAAGCCGTCGAGGTCACCTTCCAGGACGGCATCCGGATCGGACATCTCATAGTTTGTCCGAAGATCCTTGACCATCCGATACGGCTGCAGGGCGGGAAATAAAATAAATAAATATCATAAATTTCTGAAAAGGGTAAATCATGGGTTGACTTTGGTTCAGAGACACCCACATGCAGCACATAGGACCGGATCTGGTTGCCCCAGCTTATCTCCGTCAACGATTGTGTGTGCTCGGCATTCAGCTGCGCTCGGCGGGCCATCTCGAGCTGGTCCAATCTCGACTGAAGCACCGACATGGCAGAGGATTTGTTCATATGCTGTGATCTGTGACCAGGACATAACACCGTTCCCACAATCAGAATATCACAGAGAGTACAAAAATGGAACCCTTTTTTTTTTCTTTCATTTTTTTTTTCTGTGGACTCACAAGGAAATTGTGGGGATCATCAGAAAAAAGCTTGAGAGAATCAAATGGTTCATAGCCCAACAGCATGGCGTGTAAGATCAAGAATTCCACGGAGAAATACCCATTTCAGTATATATGGATAAAGTTTGAAATAAATAAAAGATTAAATTAAACTAAAGATTGTGAGCTATAAGCAAGTGATCTAGTACTGCAATATATTTGGATCAAACTTGCAGTCAGCTAACAACAAAAAAAATGAAAATTTTGAGCAAAATGATCAATAAGGTCATATACCCATCAAGTTTCTGAAAGCAGCAAATCCAATATATGCATATGCCTGGACCAGATTTTGCAGCTATTCAATTAAATGAAATAGAAAATTTGAGCAAAGTATTCCACAAAGCAATGAACATCGTCCAAAAACAGCACCTTCATATCAATCAGTTTCTAAAAGCGGGTGATTTGCCAGTGTGAATTGAATGGAGTTGAAGATTCTGAGCAAACCAGTATCTGAGGCTAAGTGCCAAAAAGCTGAGGATTGGCCAGAGCAGAGAGCATAGAACAAAACCCCCCTCCTGCGTACCTTTCATTCTGGCAGGTAGCCGTTACCCCTGTGGGGATGTGTGTGATCCTCACAGCGCTCTCTGTGCTGTTGACGTGCTGGCCACCGGCGCCCCCGGCGCGAAACCGCTCAATTCGGAGATCGGATTCGTTGATCTGAACGCGGAAGGAGACATCTCCGAGGATAGGAATCACGGCGACGGCCGCAAAGGAGGTATGACGCCGTTTTCCGCTGTCGAAAGGGGAAATTCTGACCAATCTGTGGACGCCAACCTCTGACTTTGTGTACCCGAATGCATATTTGCCCTCTACTTTAATCGTCGCCCGCTGAAGAGCAAAGAAATCTCAGATTCAAGGAAAAAAAACCAGCAATCTGCAAGGCAATAGTTTGAAGAAAACTGCTGCATTCATCACTGATTAGGAATCTATGTATATATATGGGTAATTATGCGAAAAAACACCGGGCACGCATCATGAGTGAATTTAAGTTCTTGATATCATAAAACAGGAGATTACCCACCCAAAAATTTCTACGTTAATGGGATCAAGAAACATCCTGTTGACGGAAGATTAGAAAACAGATGTAAATGTTTCTGCCAAGGTAGCAGGAACTAGGACTAGCTCTTGTCGGTTAAGGAATCTTTGATCTAGACTGAGATATTCAGTATAGAACAGAAGTAAGAAAATTGTGGTCAGGAGGAAAAACCCAATCGTAACAAAGTCAGGAAACAAAGAAAACATGGAAACATATGAACATGGCGCTGAGAAAAGGGATCGCTTCAGCTTCTACTGATTAGTTTTTTGCCATTCTCAGGACCAAGCCCTGAACCCTACTCTCAAAAATTTTAAAATATATACTTTACAAAACGATAATATTTTTTTTAAAAAAATAAATTCCTAAAGACAATCCATAAACAGTATATTCGGGTCTTGAAAATGTTGCTATGATTATCCAAATTTCAGAGAACTATAATGCACAGGACATCATTCCATGAATGTACTTCAGCATGCAGGAAAATTGAAGATCAAAAGGAACAAATATAGATAATTTTAAAAAAACATGAATGAAAGAGAGGCAGGCAGCTAATGACCTTGATTCCTGCAATCTCACCAGGCATTTCATCAACAATGCTAACGCTAAATCCACGACGATCTGCCCACATTTTGTACATGTTCAAAATCATGGCAGCCCAGTCCATGCTTTCTGTTCCTCCAGCACCTGCTTGAACCTGGATGAAAAATAGCATTCACTTTGAATGCAGCCGAATGAAATTATTGATTGGAGACAACTCAAATAACTGGGAAAAGATAAGCCATCTTGGTTTCATCCATCCCCTGAGATTTATGTGAAGACTGGCTAAGATTTAACAACCGGAAAATTTGGCAGCTTGCTAAAAAGGGCTAATTTTCTCGCCAACCTCGGATATAAAAATACTAACAAACTTGTAATAAAGCCAATACCAGCGTCGAATCCACCTAAAATCTCCCCCACGATGGTCCCCAATACTTACAGATTGATCTAAAGGCTCGCAAAAGGAAATAACACAGATAAACACGGGATCCTAAATCACCTGTTTATCATGGGAACCTATCAGCATTAATTGAGGGAATGAACCTAGATTTAGCCTAAAATAAAATAATATCACGAGATAATAATTTTATTTAGTACATATAAACAGTTCTAACTAAAAAGCATTTGTAGAACATTCCAATAAAAAAAAAATCTAGAAATCTAAGTTATGGTTAGCTTAGAAACATATACAAATAGTTCCAGAAAATAAACTTTCAGATTACGCTATCGATGCCATCCCCCACCCTGCCCTGATCCTGTAACTTCCTATAAAGAGACCACATAGGCACTAACAAGATGAAAGTGGACCAACAGAAAGGAGACGATGAGAGGGTTTTTTCACGAAGATAATCAATAAAAGAATACAGGTGTACCCCAAATAATAGGATACGACCATTCGAAAATAGAGAAGATTAAAATAAAGAAACTAGAGTTTCTAATTAGCGACAACAGTAAATCCCCCTTCTACCCCATATTACGTGGGTTGCTGCTCTATGTGCACAACATGCATGGTGGGGCACTTGGGTACCCCACCTTGGTCAACAGTGACCAGTGTAGCAGAGCATAGGACAGCAGAGAACTGTAATACCCCGAAGCTTTCACTTTCACTCTTCTTCTTCAATGAACTGAGATTAGCCAATTGCCATTTATTTTGTACAACTTTAAGTGGAGACGAAGTTCCCCCCGGAGATCAGACCAGACACGGATTGTTCTTGTTCAAAATTTGGCCAATCCATGCGAGAATCATCCGATCTTGCATGCTGTGGCTGGAAAAAGAATTATGGGCAATATTTTCACAGCGACTGATGTGATCTAGGTAGATATGGATGTGTTTCTGCCGGCTTCACATATGTTCCTTTCTCCCCTCATGCCAATAGACGACAACAAAAAGAACACATTCAATGTTCTCTGAAGAGAAAGTCAACACTTCATCAGCTCTCAAGAACAGATAAAAGTCAAGAGCTGCATTTTTTCTAGTCATCAAGTCAACAACCCAAGATTCCTCATCCAGTATGCTGACCTTTGAATATTATAGAAGGAGAAGATAAAATGGAATTAAATTTCAACAGGTGGTGCAAACTTTCATATGTGATGGTATGTGAGACAGCAGGTTAGCGTCATTTGAAGCAGGACAGGAATTTTTCATTTTGAGCGTGTTGGATAACTAACATATCCTACACGATGTAGACTACAACATATGACATGTGTAGCTTATACCTTCTGCTGTATAAGGAGAAAAATATACAGATAATCTAACAATCCATAACAGAGGCATCCTCATATATCTCTTTTAAGAATACGCCACAGTTTAACAGACCAAAGTGCAACATATCACGATAGATTAGGAACAGAAAGAAGAATAATTACTGATTGAAGACGTGTCACCATGATATTCAAGGAAAAAAATTAATAATTTGCAGAAAAAAGAGATAAGGTTAGAGCGCATCACCTCCATGAAGCAAGAACAATCATCGTGCTCCCCAGCCAACAGCGCTTCCAATTCCTTTTCCTTTGCGATTCTTCTCATTTTAAACAGTGCTGTAATGGATTCCTGCATGCAGATAAAAGAGTACGCCAAAGCATCTTAAAAGTAAATGAAAAGATAATTAATCCAAACATAACTACACCCATACCGAGAATCAAAAAGAAACTATAAAAAGATCAAATGCAAATATACATAGAGGGAAACAGAACTTGAGATGAAGATGATCCTTGAAAGAAATATAATTTTATGAATGACCTAATTGATGACTTATCTGCAAAATAGTCAGTCCTGGAATGCTTATCAAGGAGAAAGAGCTTACAAAATAAGTCAATGCTACATAAAGTCTTGATAGGTCTTCCACAGCATTGTTTCGCCAATATACCATGATTTCCAAAAAAATAATAATTTTATTTTATCAGACAAGAGATGCGTGAAACTGTTGGACATAAGAAGAATTTATTGAGAAAAATGGTTGCAAGAGATGTAAAGCATATTGCCATAGAAAGATTTGTAACTTATCAAATCAAGCACCTGAACTTCCCCATCGTTTTCGATCACCTCCACTTCCATTAGAGGGTGGAGCTTTCCTGTCAATACTACGGAGCTCAAAATATGTTGGGAGTTGCCCTCGGTTGGCAAGCAAAGACCAAGCCACCGAATCTGTGCCAATTCATGTTCGTGATGAATTGACAGGAGAGGAAGGACATAATTCTACAATAACTAAAAAGGCAAGTGAAATATAATATTCACTAGTCAACCCCAAAACTAGGGACCATAATCAATGAACAAAGCAACCACCTATGCTGTCACCTGCATATATAGATGGGGTGTTGATGATAGCTTTCTATCACCAATAACTTCCTGGTCCATGATTATCTTTAGACTACCTTCTGGAATAAAGAAGAAGCATATAAAAATATAACAACATAGGCTATTTCCTTGGACTCTTATCAAAGACTAAAAGGTGCTGCGGTATCTTCTAAGTGCCATAGTTTTATTGCCTTCCAAGTGGGCACAGGGGGGAATAGTACCTGTCCAAGCTTGGTATTTGGGGAGTTCTTCAGAGAACTTTGCCGTGTCATTGCATCTGGTGGATCAAGCCACCGCAAAACAATGGATGATGGCATCGATGCACATTCCAGAAAGATTGATGCTTCAGAAACGAAATTCAATCCTGGAATCACATGGATGAAACTACCAAAAAGCTAGTTCCCAAGATAACCACTGCATTAAAAGAAAATCTCACTTTTCAAAAGCAGATACATGATTTCTATTTCAACAACTGATTCTGAAGTTATTAATGACAAATAGATAGCTCCTAAAGTTTATTGCATCACCAATGGGTTTGCTTTGCGCAGCCATGATTAAGGAACTCTGTTTGGAATACTCATAAACTACAACATCAGCTACAAAACATTCCATTCAAAAAAACATCAAAACAAAATGTAACAATAAAAGAATGGATTGAAATTTTTTCAAATATGTGGTAAATTATAATCGTAACAAGGATTGAATAAAAGATATGGTTTCAAATAGATAAGATACATGCCATCAAAGAAAATGCTCACCAATGCCACATCATTATCATTTTCTTCACGCGCAAGCTTCAACATATCAATGTGCTCAAGTAGTTCGCGCTCAAATCCATTGATCTCTTTGATCTTGCCCATCAGTGCACCATGCTCTTTACTAACCTTTCCAGCATATACAGGATCATTCCAGAGATCTGACTTGTCCATCTCCATTGTGAGTTCTTCTGCCTTAACTAGTATCTTCCTCCACTGTCAGAACGGATTCACAGAGGAAGGCAAAAAATAAATGTGGTCATACAAACTGAATTGATCCTAATAGTGAACTATTGAGCTAGTATATCATGAACAACACTAAATAATCAAGTTTGGAAAAAAAAAAAAAAAACAAGCCTGACCAGAAAATCGATATTAAACTTTGTCCGCCTGTTTTTGGAAATAATCTTGAAATTATAACGGTAATTAATTATAAATATACTACGACATGGATCATTTTTCAAAAGAAAGGAATATATAAATGTATACTTCATCAATTTTATACAAGTCATACTGAAAAAAGAAGTATGGTTGTGGTATTGTAAGAGATAAAAGATGCAAGTGGAAAAGGAGGGTCTTCTAATTTTTCACACAAAATTAACGTTTTTGTAATGCTGAAAGTATTCGATTGGATAGAAACTGGTTTATAATGGAAGATTCACCAGAGTCCACCACAATTGTAGCTTGCGTCAATATCCTGTTCAACAATAATCATTTCCAAATCCTAGTGCACAAAACATAGCATTTTTACCAGTGCAGACAGGTACGTTTACCACAACCGATGCCAAGGATGAGAATGGCATACTCATCAGTTTAAGAGGGTACACCCTCTAACGTAAATCATGAAAGAATAAGAGAACTAAATGAGATCGTCTTCTATGTTTACGACCATCCCACTGCATTGATCACCTCGAAACTTGTTTCTTCATGGAGCATTATGGATCATTCTCTTTCTAGTAAGGGCTGTACAGTAATTCCATTACGTATGCAACTCCATTGTTGGCACGAAATGAATACTTTTATTCACCGAGGAATCTTGAACTTTGGTTGCAATGACGAACAGAGAAAGTTCAGATTGCTCTCAGGGTAAGGAGCTTCAGGGAAGATATATACATATATATATATATATATATATATATATATATATATATATATACGTGTAGAAACATATAACAGTCATTTTTATGATTCTAAAACGTAAACAGAGGGCCTTTCCTAAAAACTTCAATCACCAGAGATCTATGGTACTTTGAAATCTCTAAAACTGACGTCGATTTCACTGCATAAGCAGGAGGACAGCGTAGCAGCCAACCAAGAAGGGTAAAGTGAGATAAGGTAGCCACACCCTCCTGGGTCTCGACAGATAAAACACTCGTGATTAGAAATTTTGGTATAAATCTTCCACGGCAGGCAAGGGAAGCCGAACACCTTTTATCACCCAAAGAATCCATTTTTTCAGAACGCACAAAACATGGGTCATTCCGAGAATCGAAGTTGAAAAGAAGGTAACAGCGGATACCTGCAACCGCCTCTTGATCAAATGGATGGACTGGGCTATGGCTGCCGCGTGGCTCCTCCAGTCCCCCTCGGCCTCATCCAGTATAGGCCAACCCTTCCCGACGATGTCGTCCACCGTCATCCCGTCTGAGCTTTTCGGTTCTGAAACAGCCGCCTCCGTCGCCCCAGAGGAGAAGCCCCGGTTACCCGTAAGAACGCCGAGTCCCAGCTCCTGCAGGGCGATTGTACGCCATCTGAACCAACCATGGCCGAGACCATAGATCTTGGTAGGGCTAACGAAGGTCCGGCAGGCGAGAGAACGAGAGTGGACTCCCTCCACGCGAAGCTGAGCGACCGCGAAGAAGAGCGAGAGTGAGCGAGTCTGTGGAGAGGCCAGCAGCCGGCATGATGCCCTCGGGAAACCCATGAGTAGGCAGTGGCAACCGGAGCTGGAGCATATTGTAGGCGGTTCTTGTTCATAGGAACCCGACTACCACCGACGAGCGGAACTCCATGGTATTAGATAGCAGACGGTGTCCGCAGTAGCAGGGTCTGGCATTAGTGAACAGAACGGGAGATCTGCGAAACTGCGGACTACATACATATTTTGCACTACATACAAATCTTTGCAGCCTAAAGCAATGATTTTCATTAAAAAGTGAAAAAAAAATGGAAACAACGGAATTGAATCACCGCTCGACATGGCCAAGAAGGCGTGCTACTTCAGAGGACCTGAATGCCCATCATTTTCTTTTGTCTGATTTTCAGGATGAATTCCATCGGTAAGCCAAATCAGACCGAAACCTCTTACTTTCTCTCTCTCTCTCTCTCTCTCGCTAAATCGTATAGTAAAGTTCAAACCACTACCCATTGACACCTTTAAGATCGATGGTTCAGATATAATTTTAAAATTATGCGTCAAGTTATTACCCAGTTTAACGATAAGCACAAAACTCTCTTTTGACGATTGCACCCACAAATAAAACGAGACGGGCTTTACATCCCTGCAACTACCCACATTTTCTTTTTTCTTTGTCATTTTTTCTTGTTTAAACCCGCATAGAAAATGTGCATTTCTTTCTTCTTTGGGCAGTTTTAATCCAAACCCAGATATATATAATATATATATATCAAAATATATATATGTAGGTTTGTGCTTGGAAGTAAGCCTCAAGAAGTCCGGTCCAGGAAAACCATCAAGTACCTACCACTGCGGTAGTTTCTAATGGAGATCCTGGGCTTCAGTGATTGAAATAATTTATGGCATCATCTGCAGATCCTGCATATCTAAACGTCACAAACTCATCCAGATGATGAACTAACTGATCATCCCTTTCACAGGGTTGGGAATGATTTCATTTTTCAGCTGTCCGGATCATCCTCTTGATCTTATGAAGGGATCTTGCTTCTCTTTAATGACGAATCCAGGAACCCATTTATTACTGTTTTTCATTAGAAACTGTTTCCGAGAGTAATTCATTGCAGTAGACAGATCATTCCACAGGCAGGATTTCATGCTTCAGCTCTCTTACGATCCGTCCTCTTAGACCAAACTAATGAAGGGTTCTTGCTTCTTTCCAATGGTGAATCTAGGAACTCATAAATTAATGCTTCATCAGAAACTGTTTTAGAGAGTAATTCAATCATTAGCTACGAGGAATTATTCATCAACTAGTCTTCGAAAATCGTCTGAATCATTTCCATAGATCTTCTTGCCTTCTATCCCTTCCCGATGGCAAGGTCAAGCAAGTGAATCAAAACGTCTGGCCTTGTGGGTTGATCAGAAGAAATTATGAAAGAAAACACAAATCAACTATTAATTGGAAGTCAAAACCTGAACCAGAAATCATGCGGGGACTCTCACTGACCCAGGTGCAAGTAATCATCTCACACAATAAATGCAAACTGGTCTGGAAAATTGGAGTTTCTTGAAGCACAAAGCAAAAAAAAACACTAATTTTTAGTTTAAAATCTACTCTATCAACATAACCCAGTCGCAGATAATCACATACGCGAATACCCATAGTCCCCATGGCCCAGAGTACTAGCAGACGCATCTCAGCGTCTCCTCCTGTGCCTCCGGCTCTTCCTCTGATTGTAGCTGTCATCTGAATCACTTTCCGAGGCTGATTCCGAATCAGAGGAGTCAGAGGAAGAGTCACGTCTCCTGTGAGTCCTTTTCTGCTTCCTCGTCCTCCGTCTCCTCCTCTTCTGCTCCTCAGAATCAGAGGAACTGTAGCTGGAGCTGGTGCCCGTTGAAGAACCAGATTCTGTAACCGAAGAATCACTGTCTGACTCGAAGACAGATGCCTCACTGCTTTCACTTTCAGAGTCCGATCCAGAACGGTGCTTTCTCTTGCTTCTCTTCGCGCGCTTCGAATGGCTCTTCGCCTTGCTCTTCTCAGGCTTTTCTCGTTTGTTTCCGTTCTCGACACCGGGGTTTTCCAGTCCCAAAGGGGAAGTAGGCCGCATCCTCAGCTTAGGGTTCTTGAGCTGCTGTGTTCTTGACGGACGGGAAATATAGACGGCTTCGTTTTTGCACTCGTATGTCCAATGGCCTGGCTGGAGACACCTCTGGCACTGGGCTGCGACCCCGCCAGAGGAAGACGAAGGAGCTTTCAGATCCTTCCTTTCTCCCAAGGTCACCGCCTTCTCCGTGCTCATCAGGTACATCTGGCGCTTGGCCTCTTTTCGTTCTTGCCATCTGCTGGGTCCTTCTTCCTTCTGCCCGTAGGCGTTCACATTGCGAGCAGCAGCAGCCGCCGCCCGCTCGGCCTGAGCCCTGCTGAGGCCCTTGGCCTGCGACAGTGCCTGCGCCTTGATCCGCTCAGCTGCGGCCTGAGCTTTCTCATCCTTGCTCGACATCCCGCGTCCCCACCAGAAAAAACCCTAAACTCTGCGATCAATATGAAAGAAGGTAAATAAATACGGCCTCACCAGTCGAAGAACTCCGCAGGAAATCGAAAATTCGCACAACAGAGCACAAGCACAGGCCAGAGATCAGACGTTTTGCGCGTTTCCAGGGAATCAACTCCCCGAGAGAGCCCTAATTTCCGCCGCGTTCGAAGACCTCAAACCAGTAGACACCGCGCCAGAATAATAACCTCAGCCAAGCCCTCGACCGGGGGGTAGCATTGACGGCAGAGAAGCAGACCCTTCAGGGGGTGAAAATTCAAAGGATACCCACACCACAAAGCAGAGAAAGGATCGCGCGGCGGAAACCAGGGGAAAGAAAGAAGCAAGGAGGTGGGAAGAAGCAGCAGGAGAAGAAGATCGGGGGCTGGGAAAGGGCGGACCTTTGCCCTATATCCTCTATGCGTTCCCACACTAACGCTGACCCTTATATCTTTGTCTCAGTGACACGCACCTCTCTTTACACACACACTGAAACGTACCTGGACTGGGTCAAAGTCCGACCCCCCCCCCCTCCCGCCCTCAGCGACGGACCAGTATAACCTCTGTAAGTCATTCCGTTCCGTATTTTTTTGCGTTTCCTAAAGTTCCATGTCATCAGTTGACGATATAATGGGTAGATGTGCCAACTTAGAACTTGCTTGCTGCGTGCATATATATATGTGTACTATCTAACAAAGTGGCTCAATAGTGTAGAAACATTGATTCATTCGAATACTTCACATGTATCAATCAAAGTGTTATTAAGATTGCTTCCATATGTTAGATTTCATCTCTTGATATGAAAACAATAGAGAAGACCCCCATTGCATGGATAATATCAGATCAATACATGTTGCATAAGGTATACGACAGTTATCATCATATTATTTCATATAGTAAATATGTAAGAATGAAAATCAAATTGATAAAATTGAATCAACATAATCATAGAATTTTTAGTTCATGGAATAGATTACGAAATATTTTTTTAAAAGTTATTGGGATATGGATTTAGATGTAGCTCAATAATTATTTGAAATTAATTTTTCATATGCGAGTTGTTCATCTGATTGTTGCTTCACTCTTTAGATTGGGTGATTGCCACTTGAAAAATAAGAACTGAGAAAGTTTTCATTTAACATGTGCAATTGCCATAGAGAACTTAAGATTTCAAAATCTTGACAAGATTAATCGGTAACATTTATGAGTTGGATATCAAATTTGGTATAAATGAAGATTTGCATCAGATTTAATATTTTCTATTAGTAAATTCAATATTTGTAAAATATAAATTTACAAACCTTTTAGGAACCCATCAAATGTATGGATTTTGAATATTATCAAGATTGCAAGTTTGCATTGATGACCTACGTAGGCATGCATATGATGGCTCAATGAAATTACGAAATAAGTTTATAACACAAATCAATTATACTGAATAGCCAAGTATTGTTGCATAACCAACAACGTTGATGGCCTACATATGCATGCACATGATGGCTCAAGGAGATTATATAACAAGTTTATAATACATATCAATTATGTTGAATGGCCAAATGTTGTTGCATAACCAACAATGTAATCAAATCATTCAATATATCGACTAGAAATTCAGTATATTTACTAATTGTAGTAGTTATTGAAAATATATTTATAGAAAAACATATTGAAAGTTTATTTGAGATATGAAAAATTAATGAGATAGATAAAAAGTTTTATTCTCAAACATTAACGTGTATACATGGAGTACAATATGTATCTTATTTTTTTGGTGATCAAATAGCATAGCATATCATAAAAAAATAAATGAAAAAGATATGCAATGATCATCAATTATATAAGAAATTTAAATCGTGGGAATTTAGAATTTTGTGAAATGGTTGATTCCAAATTGAGATTTACTTTTTGATATAGATACAATATAGAAGTCTTTACTCATTAAAATTTATATTGTAAAAATAAAAAAGTTTATAAAATGATTGATTATAGATGACTATTGTATTTAGGAAATGAAGTTGACGTATTGTACATCATTTTCCTTTCCAAAACGTATTGTATCATTTGTTTATTGAGGAATTTAAAGACCAAGTAATTTAGAACTTTGTTCCCAAGTACATATTTGAAATATATAATATATTTATTGAGAAACATGTTTCAAGGAAATTGATCATTTTGGAATGCCAAATATTATGTCTATTATTCAATAAAATTATGTTTTACTTAGAGTGCGGTATTAACTATAATTAAAGCCCTACTATGTCATGCTAAGTCATTGTTTAATGGTTTTTAGTGTAATTAGTATTTACCATTAGCTTTTCATCTAATAGATTTTCTTGAATCATCAAAATGATAATTGATAAAATGGTTAAACAAACTTCCCAATCATGAAGTTTCTAAACTAATAATGTTCACTATTAACTAGTTTATTTTGGGGAGCTTTAATTGGTCAATTATATTCAGTATAAATCAATATTAGATATATTAGATATATTGGTTAGTTTTAATTATATTAGATAAATCAATATTTTGTGGAGCCATACATGTAAATGCATAAAGAAGATAAATGGTTAGCTTGATTTGCAAAATAACTTGGATAAAACACCCTCAAAGGATTAAAAATATACTGAGATACTGTTAAAGGTTTGTTTTATTACAGATAAACTCACGACGCAGTTGCAGGAGATGCAGACGCGAACACCCGACACGGAGAGGGTTTGCATGGCCGACATCGGCACAAAAAGACGAAGCCTTCCCCGCTCTCCGGAACCCTAGAATATTCCGGCGAGGAGGTTCGCGGCCGAGGAGAGCGCTGCCCCGGTGATGGCGAACTGCACTACCTGCTCGTGCGACGTATCCTCCGAGGTCAGCGCCAGCGCCGCCCCCGTGAGAGCCCCCGCCACCGCGCTGTTCTTCTGTAACCAGCAACACAGGAGGTGAGACCCATAGAATCCCTCCAAGATCGTCGGAGATGACTCCCCGGTTTGACCTTCAGTGTCATTTTGGGGATCATACTTGAAGAAACTCACCCAATCGTGCTCTCCTCGAGCTTCCTTCAGGCCGTAGGTGAGGCCCGAGTAGACGCCGGCGGCGAGCCCTGAACCGCCGTAGGAAAAAAAACGTCGTCTGTTAGCCGGAGAAGGAGGAACTTGCGGCATGGACTGGTAAGTGAACGCGATTGAGAGTCTGGGCGATCTTACCCCACTGGAACGACTCCTTTCCCGTGCTCTTAACCTGTTCATTCATGAAGAGAGAGAGAGAGAGAAACGCATTGATGCTTAATAGTAAAGAGAAGATGATGAGATTATCGGAGTGTTCTCCTGTACCATGGCTTCCAGCGACTTCCTGTAGTTCTCCCCTGCAAAATCCCCACCACGGTTTTAGAGAGAGAGAGATAGAGAGAGAGACGGGGCCGTCAAACAGACGAGGGATGTTCCTTGGTCAAAGTGGTGTACCTTTGAATTCAGGCAGACGGTGCTTGCGGCCGCCGGGGAGCTCGGGGAGACCTCCCGATTCAATGCCCGCACCTGAAAATGGTTCAGAGATGTCAAGAAAGCTAACCAGAGCGGTACAATGGTATTGTTGGGCTTACTCTCCGCTGCCGTGAAATACGCCTCGCGGGTTACAGCCTGAATGGCCCCGATCTGCAAACCGGACAGCTTAGAGATAGAGAGAGAGAGAGAGGTACAGAGAGAGACATACAGACATACGGATATATAGATAGAAGCATAGAGGGAGAGACGTACAGACATACGGATATATAGATAGAAACATAGAGGTAGAGACATACAGAGATTGAAAGATAGATAGAGATAGAGACATACAGATAGATAGATAGATGCAGAGATAGAGAGAGGTATATAGAAGGATAAAAAGAAAGAGAGAGAGAGAGAGAGAGAGCGGAGGACCCCAGCGGCCTTGACGAAGCTCTCAGCAACGCGGTTGAGGAGTGGGTGACCGAGGTCGAAGAAGCCGCCCTTGTCGAAGCTCTTCAGTTCGTCCAGGATAGACCTCGTCTGCGGGTTGTTGCCGCCACTCATGGTTCCAACTCTTCGTTTCTCTGTTTCCGGTGACGGAGACGACGATGGAGAAGGAGGAAGAGGACGGTGGGTGAGAGGAGAGAAGATGAAGAGACTAGCCCGTCCATGAGAAGAAGCAGAGGAGGTGAGGGGATACGGCGACGGGTGTCACACAGTCCGCCACGTGGCACCTTGGGGATGCCACATGTCACCAGGATAGTTTGGTGTTGACCCCTTATTAGACTGCAATCAAGCCCACTTGCGCAACCCCTAATTCCTCATTTGACTTTCAGTGGAACTCCCATTGATCTTCTCTTGCCCGTGTTTTTCCTCGTCCTCCACTGCTGCTAGCAGATAGAAGATGGGATATCAACATTCATGTGGTTCAGTGTAAGGACACGAAGCTATCACTCAACACATTCAAGAGAGTTGACTAAGTGAAGCTGGCCGTAACATTTAAAGGAAGGATCTTGTCCGCCATATTAAGTGGAGAGCATCTTTAGGCAGATCTAATCTTACTCTGACTTTGGATCTTGTGAAGAGTTGGCCAACACTTTCAAGAAAGTCAAGCCACTAGACTTCTACGGCTGCCACAGGATGCAAGGCAAAAGAGTTCATACTGGAAATAGTAAGAGATCATCGTTGACTAATGGGTTGGAGCCGTCTAAACTAATTATAATGACTAATAGTGCCTTTAGAGAAAACTATGTACTGGGCTAGATGATATGATATTTGACTACTTGTAAGCAATTTGACTACTATTTCCAACTATCTGATGGAAGGTTTATGAGTTCCCTAGTGATATGATATTTGAGGAAATTAGTGGAAACTTAGTCAGTGAAGAAGAGCTCTTGAGATTGTGAACACAGGCTTGAGGATAAACCACTACATATGAATTAAATTACCTTTTTTATATATACTTGTAAATGTTTCTATTACACTAAATTATAGTAAAATAGAGTAGCTAATTATTGTTACTTGATTGCATTATCTTTTGTATCTATATCCTCAATGATCTATAGTGGTATGGTTATTTATTTACGTTAAAATTATATTTCAATGATTATGAAATATTTATAATATATGTACTCAAAAAAGCTAATGCATAGCAGATTTCATAAATTAATTTATCTTAATTGTTACAATGGTTAGAAAAAAATTATGTCACATAAATGTAGAATTGAATATGATTAGTAAAAAATTATGTACTCAATGCATGGAATTAGCTTTGGATTACAAAAATTAATTTTTTTTTTGAGAGATAGGCTATCATCTAAGCTAAAAATGGAAGACTTCCAGGTAATTTTCCTATATTACTGAAATTTTTGATTGTATATATCTCCACGCCATTTATAATCATTTGTAATTATTCTGAATTATATAGATACACCTTTGACTTTCTTTTAATGGAACATTATTCCTAAAATTTCACATAACTACAGTAATACTAATTATGCTAATTTTACTATTTTATACTTAGGAATATTAGGTTGGTGCAGATATTTTGGTGACGAAATGGCAGGATGAGAATGATCATATTTAATATGAGTTTATCACCCTAGTGTTGTCAACGTGGTGACGGTGCTCAAGAGCGGTATTTCTCAGCCGCTGGTTTCGGTCTTCGGCGGTATTCTCTGCCGAGGTCCGTGACGGGGAGGGGTTTTAATCATTAGAACCGGGCAGAAACCGCTGCCGCCGGCGGCAAAAGGATACCGGGTGCTCGCTCTTCGGAGGAAACGGGAACAGGAAACCGCCGGCGGCGGCGATGGCGCCGCCGGCGTGGTTGCTATAATACGAGGAGCGGTCTCTCTGGGACGAGCGAGCTTCCTGGGGCCCGAATCTGAGAGAAGAAGCAAGAGGTTCGAATTCTTCGTCCGATCGCCTCTGTTGCAGTTGATTTGCGGATTGTTCGTGTTTGTCCTGGTGGTGATGGCGGAGGAGTCGGAAGCGAGCGCGTCCGAGGCGGCTGCGCTGGCGCCGGAGTGGAGGATCGCCGTGGCGGTGGACGAGAGCGAGGAGAGCATGTACGCCCTAGAATGGTGCCTCCGCAACGTCGTATCGGAGAAAGCTCAGAGAACCATTATCCTCATCTACGCGCGGCCTCCTCCCCCCGTCTATACCTCCCTCGACGGTACCGGTGAGTCCTCTGTCTCCCTCTCTCGATCTCTGTAAAAGTATGTCTTGTCTTCCCGATCTGATCCGCATTTGCCTCTCTTCGGCGCAGGGGTTATGTTCGGTGACGATGTGATCACGATCATGGAGAAGTACAGCAGGGAACTGGCTGAATCGGTGAAGGAGAGATCGAAGAAAGTTTACGAGGATTATCCCAATGTAGTTTCCTTCTTCCTTCCCGATCTCATCTGTGATGTTCAGATTGATCGATCAAAGTATTCTGATATCTCTCTCTTCTTCGGATTGGGATTAGGTTAAAGTGGAGATGAAGGTGGGGACAGGGGACGCCAGGGATGTGATCTGCGAGCTGTTGGAAAAGGTAGGAGCCGATCTGCTGGTGATAGGCAGCCATGGCTATGGCTTCGTCAAGAGGTACACCCACTCCTCCCCTCCGATCTCCTCCATCTTCTGAAAATCCGAAGCTCCGATTCAGATCGTCCCCCGGATTGTTCTTCGTCCTTCGCAGGACTCTTCTGGGGAGCGTCAGCGACTACTGCGCCCGCAACGCCAAGTGCCCGGTGCTGATCGTGAAGCGGCCGGCGAGCTGATCTCCGGACTTCCGCCGGCGATCTGCCGCTGCACTGGAAGAGGAGCTCCAAGATAGATGGTGTTCTCGAGTTTACCAGGCTTTGCTCTGGAAGAGGAGCTCCATGATAGATGATGTTCTTGAGTGTACCAGATTGTGTGGTTTTCTTTCTAGCGACGTCCCGGCATTGCCACCAGGCTCTTCCATCTCCACCTCACGGATTAGGTGCGCACCAGGCTCTGTAAGATAAATCTTTAATCATGCAATCATGCAATACTATTTAGGGTATGGATGGTGGGAGCTGTTCTATACCATTTTGGGTCAAATGGGTTGACATTGATCACGACCAAAGTTGACTTGTATATATGAAGAACTAATTTGACCGATGGGGAGATCGTCCCAATTTTTATGGTAAATACAAGCTAACGCTGATTTAAATGTACACATTTTTTGAAATAAAAAAGTGAGAAAAATAGGAGAGATCAAGAACACAACTTACATTATTAAATTGGAAGTGTGAAATACTAAATGGGAAGTATAATCACGCAATCATACAGTATCAATTCTTGAGGGTGTGGACGGTGGGAGCTGCTCGATACCATTCTGGGTCAAAAGGGTTGACGTTGATCAGAAGCTAAGTTGACTAGTTTGCACGCAGAACTGATTGGCATTCGTAAACTGAGCACAATTCCCAATTTTTCTGGTAAATAGAAGCTAACACTTATTTAAATGAACATATTTTTTTGTAAGAAAAAGTTGGAAAAGTAGGAGATATCAAGAACACAACCAAAATTATTAAATGCGAATTATAAGTAGCTAAATGGTTGTATAATCACACAATCATGCAACATTATCGAGGGTGTGGATCGTAGGAGCCATTCAATACCATTTTGGGTAAAGTGCGTTGACATTGGTTAGAACCTAGGTTGACTAGTTTGCATGTAGAAGTAATTGTGCATTGGTCAAAAGGGTACAATGCTAAATTTTCATGGTATAGACCAGCTAACACTAGTTTAAACTGAATAAAATGTTTGTAAAAAAAAAGTGAGAAAACTAGAAGATATCAAGAGGAAAACAATATTAACTAGGAAATAAAATCATTAAAATATAAGTATTTGGGAGTATTAAGACAAATGTATTTATAATATTCATGGTAAATATGAGCAAACACTAATTTAAATATACATTAGATTTTGTCAAAAAGTGAGAAGAGTAGGAAAGATCAAGGACACATACGTTATTATTAAATGGGAAATGTCAAAAAGTGAGAAGAGTAGGAGAGATCAAGGACATATACGTCATTATTAAATGGGAAATGTCAAAAAGTGAAAAGAGTAGGAGAGATCAAGGACATATACGTCATTATTAAATAGGAAATGTCAAAAAGTGAAAAGAGTAGGAGAGATCAAGGACACATACGTTATTATTAAATGGGAAATGTCAAAAAGTGAGAAGAGTAGGAGAGATCAAGGACACATACGTCATTATTAAATGGGAAATATAAGTAGCATAAGTAATGCAAATATAAATAGCGGAGAGTATCAAGATAAATATATCTATAATAAGGTTCAAATGGAATATGGCAGGAAGGTAGAACGAGGTACCCACCAAAATAGTTTTCCAAATAGGTTTAGAGAGAGAGAGAGAGAGATGAAAGTAGAAAAGTAAATAACTCTCTAGTAGGTCCAGAATCCATTTTTTCATGAGGAAGAAGAATTACAGAAAACCCCCTCTTTTACTCACGAGTAACAATACAAGTTTTCTCCTATACCTGCGTAATAACCGAGATATTTTTGTAACCAGACTCTGCTTGAAGGGTAGAACTCAGAGAGTGTTAAAACAATTATAGATATAAGAAGGTTAACTGTAATGAGAACTGTCGCCAGGTGACGACACTGGGTGACTGGCAACGGGCGGTTTCTCAAGCGGCCGCCTCACTGGGGAGTTGGACCCGTGAAGGGCTGGGCGCTGGGTGGCAGGTGTGGAGTCGCACAGATTCCGTTACCGGCTCAGCCGGTAAATGGAGAGCTGAGCTTTGAGCATCTTCCGCCGTATAAAAGCGGTGAGAAGGAGAGGGGAAGAGAAAGAAAGCCACGTAAACCTATTTTCTCTCTCCCCTTCCTCCTCTTTCCTGATTCCTGCAGTCCAGCCCCATCTTCCGTCCCCCCTTCGTCTCTCTCTCTCTCTCTCCCATATATATACATCTCTAGGGTTTTCTCCCTCTCGCTCTGCGCGCCCGTCCCGTTTCATCGCCGGATCTGTCAGGGGAGCAGATCGGAGGGCGGGCGTCAGACGGATCGGGCGTTTCCAGGCCGAGAGCTTCGGCTGTCGGCGATCCACCCTGGTCTGAGGTGAATTCCCGCCGGGTATCATGTTTCTCCTGGACTGGTTTTACGGTGTCCTCGCTTCGCTGGGTCTGTGGCAGAAAGAGGCGAAGATTTTGTTTCTAGGGCTCGATAATGCGGGGAAGACCACGCTGCTTCACATGTTGAAGGATGAGGTCGGACATCGGTTCTTTGTTGCACTTCCTCCACCTCGAATATTTTTCATCTTTTTTTATAATTTCTGGTAATTTCCATCCGCGGGTGGATTTATTTGCTTCTCCCTTGTGTTAAATTTTGGCATCGTTTTTCTTGAAATTAGATGTTTCTTACTTGTGTTCATGAAAACAGTCTCGCTAATTTCTCTTTATGACCCTCGAATGCAGAGATTGGTCCAACATCAGCCCACGCAGTATCCGACATCAGAAGAATTGAGTATTGGGAAGATCAAGTTCAAGGCTTTTGATTTGGGCGGTCATCAGATCGCACGCCGAGTCTGGAAGGACTACTATGCCAAAGTATGCCTGCCTTCTTTCATCTTTATCACTTGTTTTGCCGCATTCTATTTGGTGATCTATGGATCCGGATATGATTTACGCCAATGAGCTTGTATGCTTTTACCAGAATATCGCTTGCCAAGTATTCTTGATGCATCAGACGTTAATGATATCCAACTGGGCAGCAGGTTTTCGTCACATCTGTTGTTTGTTATTTTCTGATTCGCTCTTTCTATTGCTTGTATGCTTCCTACGAATCATCTGTGATATACGATTGGGTTTCCAGGAGTAGTGTTTTATTTCTCTACCCTAAATGTACATGGAAATTCTTGACGTATTTTACGATTTTTTATTTGTTCACAACTTCGCATCACTGAAACTGCTTCTAGTCCTCATTCCCTTTCTGTTAACGAGGACTAGAATTCCTAATTTTTTAGTAGAGCGTCAGATGTTGTTGTTCGTGTTATGCTTTTTGAGGTGTTTCTATTTTGCTGCACTTCGCATTATTCATTTAGTTCAGTACTATCTTAGTACTTCTCTTTTCTCTGAATTTTTCCTTTTATTTTATAATGCTTGCCCAATTTTGTTAATACAAATTGGATGATGTTCTTTTTGTGCTTTGATGATGGTTAATATCTTGACTGTGTTGTCACGGTAATCCTTTAAAGGTACTTTTTGAGATAAATTTTAAAATGAGAATAAATTCTCGTTCCCTCGTTTGCATTGTATTTTATTCATGTGCATTTAGTTCAGTACCCACCCATGCTCGTATGTTTGTTTTGGTGTGTTGCTGCATTTTTTGCTGGGTATTTATTTCATTGCTGTCACTTTACCACTGTTTGACTCTAATGGTTAGTTTGATTTGTTTATGAACTTCAAACATGTTCAACTCTCTAAATGGTCATTATTTCATTTTTTTCAATTACTAAAAAGGCACATGTGGGATATCTTACTTTGTACTGATGCCTGTTCCTACTTTACCATATGATGATACTTTGTTTAACTGAGCTGCCTAGCGTTTTGTCTCGCTTGTATTTGCTTGTTATTCTTAAGTCAGTGTTCATTGCGGTTTTTTTTCTACTTCAATTATTGCTTTATTACTGGGATTTTGTTTCTGGATCAGCTCTGAAATTTTTGGTGTCTTGTTCTCCTTCTTACCCATTACTGTTCAGATTTGTCAGTAGCACTTGTTTCATATTCCCATAAAGGCATGGGAACAAGACCTCTGTGCTGTTTTGAGTCTAGTGCAATCATCTCTTCGTCTAGTGAGAGGACTTCTGGTGGCCGTCCTCGCGGTTACTTGTATGCAATCCCTTTCAATAATCTCTCTCAACAGAATCCATCATCTGAAAATAATTACTATGTGACATAATACATTCTCCTTCATTCTCCCGACCAAAGTATCTTAGTATCAAAGAAGTTTCCAGTTTGTTCCAGTGCTTATTGTTTTTCTTTTCCCCTTTCAGGTGGATGCAGTCGTTTATCTTGTGGACGCCTTCGACAAGGAGAGGTTTGCCGAGTCAAAGAAAGAGTTGGACGCCCTCCTCTCTGATGATTCCTTGGCCAGCGTCCCCTTCCTCATCCTCGGGAACAAGATCGATATCCCTTATGCGGCCTCTGAGGACGAGCTCCGCTATCACCTGGGCCTGAGCAACTTCACTACTGGAAAGGGCAAGGTGAACCTCGTGGACTCCAACGTCCGCCCACTGGAGGTCTTCATGTGCAGCATCGTTCGCAAGATGGGCTACGGCGACGGCTTCAAATGGCTCTCTCAGTACATCAAGTAGCCCGCCCTTGTGAAGATCCCATGGGCAAGGAACCAATCTGTCGGAAACTGCTCCGTATGATTGTGGAACAAGTCCTCTCTATCTTCTTCTTCTTCCTTTCTCTTTCAGTTGGGTTTGACTTGATATATGGTTGTAAACTGGAATATGTTATGTGTCTGGTAAGCCTGGTCTCATGTGCATCTGGTGGCTGTGGGAGAGGGAAGGGAAGGGGTAAGGGGGGGGAGGGGGAGGGGCAGGCGAGTTCATGTCAGCAACCTCCTCTCCCTACTCTGCCTCTGTTTTCTGGGTTTACCAGACTCGCTCTTGCAGCAATTTCATATAAGGAAGATCATCCGTAGCCATGCTTTTTCTGGGGATTACCTTATTATATCTATTCAAGGGAAATCTTTGCCATTAAATTCTTCGAGTATACTGCAATCGAAGGCATTGCACCATAGTTCCAGATAATGCAATTATGATGTTAATCGAACCTATCTAACCATGTGAAAAGATCAATTAACCCCACTCGATGTATGCTCATAGTGACACACATGACGCTTACAAACCATTGTTTTCTAGCTTAGAGTGAGATTGTCACTTCAAATAATCTAAAGACTGAATGGATATCTATTTTGACTGAAGTAAGTCAATGTTGACATTTTTACTCTTCCAAGGATACTTCCTAAATAGGCTTCCATACTCTAAACTGAATGAACCCTCAAAGCTCGCACATCTCCACAAGGAGAGGTGAGAATGGAGAGAAAAAACCCAAAGTCTCCCTCATAGTGAACTCAACGAAGTTGTAATCTTGGAGAGCATGATACATATGCTAGTTTGCATTAAAGATGGGAGTTTCATGCATTGGCCACTCAATGGGCTAGAGATGGCAAGGCAAGCATAATTGGAGCCTAGTTGACGAAAAATATTTACATATGTATATACATATAGTGTTTATATATATGACGGTCATTATTTTGGAATAGGGTAGTAATGGATTATTTGACTTTGGGCTTATTTTTAATGGAATAGCTTTCTAATTCTCCTAACACAAACATGATAATATAATTCAACACTAATATGTTGGTGGCTGTTCTTCTTAGGTAGACATGAGTTTATGAGCTCATAAGGAATCTTCTATAAGCTATGGGTAATCATTAGGAGGTTACATCATTAAGCAAAAACCAAAAAAAATGAACATTAACACTATGGATGTTCAAAACAATGTTGAAATAGTTTATATAACAAACATTTATAGCAGTTATTTCACCACTATTATAGTGGTTTATGCTTTGTTAATGTTGAATTGTAGTCCTAGCCTTACTACATCGCTCATACTCTCTACATCTAAAATTTTCCATTTGATAAACTCTATGTATTTGTGAATTCTTTAGATACTAAATGAGCCCTATGACTCTCAATTGTACTGTCACTAGTGTAATTGGATCTTCAACACCTATGTGCACTTCTTGGCTTTTATTCCTTCAGAATGACAAATAAGATCCTAGGGTTACTTTTTTCAATTGCTTGAAAAAGTTTCTCAACCACAACCTTTCCACAAGCTTGGTCTACACTTACTCTAGGAATGTATTAGGCTCATTGTAAATGGTTCAAGAAAGGGAACCATGCAATGGACTAATATTAGTATTAATTAATCAAATTTAGCTAGAAATAAGACCCACCTTGCTGCAATGATAATTGTGAGGCCTTTTGCTAATGTCCTTAGAAGGACTTGGATCCCTACCAAAACCATATTTATTTTGTCTCTCCTGAAAGGGGGGAAGATATATATTTTTTTATCTAGTAAGGCCTAACTCGTATGTTCATACTATGCCTTTCAACCATCCAATAATTAGAAGATCACACCCTTATTTTCTCTTCGTGAAATAATATTCAGATTTATTTTGAGAGGTTAATGGAAAATCAGTTTTCCTGCATACTTTTAATTCTTGATATTTTAGTCCATTGGAAGCTAAACCATCCAAAAACATTATTTTCATGGGATATAAGTCTTTTGCCGAGTCTTATAGATATTTTATTGTATCAAAAAAGGCAAATACTTGAGAAACCATACATAACTTCATGATCATGAGATTGTCGCTCTTCTTCTTATTGGGGATCATGAGATTGGGTATTCAGGCTATCTGGGTATCATCGATGTATCCTGAATGTAATCATATATTTAAAAAAAATAATGATATTCCTCGTGATCAACGTATATGACTGACGTGAGTCACATGGTCAAGATACTGATATCAGCCATATGAAATAAATAAATAAATAAATAAATAAATACATACATACATAAATACATAAATACATAAATACATAAATAAATCAGCCTTCTTTTTGTTAAAATGAAATACCATAGAGATTCCACTGATGCCTCCGTTCTATCTAGTTCATGAATGAATTCACCACTGCATCAACCCTCTCACATAATTCTAGACTATTGGATGGAGCTGTCAGTGGGCCTGGCAAAGACGAGCATTAATAGGGCAAACACGAGCCTTTAACGCATTAATGAGGACGTCATGGTTTGGTCGGTAGGCAAAGGGATTTTCTACTCGTGAAGAGGATGCAGCGTATGAAAGTATGCGTGAGAGACGACGCAGACACGGGAGAATACAAGTGAGGGAACCATATATCTATCTAGGAGTAGCTGAGGGAACTGCTGGGAAGAACCACCGCCAAGAAAGGGACGAGGGACCACCGAGGAGAACCACACCTTGGAAGAGAACATGGTCTGTAGCAGGTGCTAGCGGTGTAGTTCCTGTCGGCCAAGAGGAGGGAGGGCCTCCAAGGAGAACCTTCCCCCCTCTAGTAACACATAGAAGCACGGTGGAAAAGGGTACAGACTGTAAAAGCGCTGATTTTTGGACAAAAATCTCTCTCTCTCTCTCTCTCTCTCTCTCTCTCTCTCTATGGGTGTGTAAGTGAGGAGAGAGAGAGAGAGAGAGAGAGAGAGAGAGAGAGTGGTTGATGAGTCAGTGGATTGGAAGCTACTATACACTGGCCCCACGTTGCAACACCATTTGTTGCCCTTGTCAACCATAGCTGCCCAGACAAGGATCTTTGAGGCGGACTTGGCGAGCATCTTCAGCGTCGTAGAATGTGGCTCTTCTCTGCGTGGCCGATCCTCGTCTCCTGGAGGTCGCCGTCATCGACAGAGAGTCGTAGTGGGAGAGACGAGAAGAGGGTGAAGGCATTCGGGATTCTACCAGACGAGGTTTCAAGCTTTGGGGGATTAGGGTTTCCATGGAAGTGAGAGAGGGGAGTTAGGACGAAGGAGAGGGGAGATTTCCCATCTAAAATGCCGGAGGGGATTTCAACTCCGAGACTACGAAGACGAGGTAACTTCAGGAAAGCTCCCGTTGCTCACTGCTCCGAAGATATGGGACAGCTGGTTGGTTGGCCCCTAGGTCAGGGTAGATTCTGCATTAATTATATTTATGAGCCATTTTAGCTATGAATCAATCCACAACATGAGATGCAAGTTCAGATATCAACTGATGCATTCGCCGACAAATCATTTGGTCTTTCTTAGCAAGTGCAGCTGCCCACCTCCTAGAACCTGCAGATGGCCAATGCCTACAACGGCCATGGTGGGCTAGGGTTTGAGCGAAGCACAAGAGGAGTGAGAGAGAGTGAGTTCTTGGTTGATTCCTCGGAAGAGTGTGTGTGCGGGCCGGTTCTGACTTTCTCTCTCAAATGATGAGAAAATGGGAGGTTTTCCGACCTCCACCTTCGTAATGGGCCGGACCAATTAGATGGGAAATCTCATGAGGAAGACCTTGCTGGTGATGATGGGAGCAACCGGGAGCATAATAATGGGAACAGTGTGCCCGACCCATACCGAGGCGAATACGGGGACTTTGTCGGAGAGTTCTGCAGTGAGAGCTCTCTCTCTCTCTCTCTCCCCATCTCTTCCTCTCCCTCTCCCTCTCCCTCTCTGTCAAATATGAGCGACCACGCGATTATAATAGTTAACCTTCCGCAAGAAGGACAGGTTTCACGTCTCAGTCTTTCCTTTTTCTGGGCCAATCCTGACTTTCATTCTCCTGTCTCTCTCTCACTGTGGATCAAGGTCCAAATTACTATTAGGTTAGGTCAGAAAACGCGGCACCTGTATTGATATCTTCTGTGGTGGCCCATGGGGTAACCCGTCCCTCCTACTCTCTCTCTCCCTCTCTCTCTCTCTCTCTCTCTCTCTCTCTCTCTCTCTCTCTCTCTCTCTCTCTCTCTCTCTCTCTCTCTCTCTCTCCCCCCTCGCTTGGGCTGTGGGCAACTTATCACACATATTTGAATTTCGTTGAAAAGGGAACGTAAGCAAGCGCGTGGCGCAGATATCTTCTCATTTGTGTGTCGTAGTAGCCGCGGCTTCCGATTGATCCTCAGCGTTGACATCGAACTCCAAATCGGGTTGACTTGGAGCTTCCAATGAAGATTATCGCGTACCCAACGAAGCTTAGATAACATGCATTAACCTGGCATCATCCCTCTTTTATTAACAACTGTTGTGGGCGGAGAATATTCTCATTTACTACGTCCGCCTCAATCCTAAATGCCTTAAAAGTCAACGCACGGGAACCGGACAAGAACAGGAAGAAACCGGGCCGGCCAAGTCCGAAAAGCCCGAGGCCCGGTCTCCTCCAGTAGAAAAACCCTTAAAAAGTCCTGGGGCCCGAAGCCCGGCTCGGTTGTTTGACGTTGACCCAGCTGTCCCTCCATCATCTTCCGACGGTTGGGAGGAGGAAAGAGGTAAGAGTCCCTCCTCCCGAGTCTCAACTCGGCCGGCTAACGGGTCAACACGGAAGCCCGGGGGGGTGGTAAATAGAGCTCACAAGACCCTCGATTTATGTATAAAAACCAACCTCCACCCTTCTCCTTCCCAACTGACGGCTTTTAAAGGAGGAACCGGGAAACCTAGAAAAGATCAGAACCAGCTCTCGAGTTCTTCAGAGTCACCCCCCAACACCCCCACCCCCAACCCAGAAAAAAAAACCCATCTTTCTCCGTCGCCTCCTTCCATGGGGAACTCTCTCCCGCGGCGGGCAACCGGCGGCGCCGCCACCTGTAGGGTGATACTGGCGGATTGCACCGTCGTGGCCATGGAGGAGGGCGCGACGGTGGCGGAGCTGATGCTGGAGCACCCGCAGCAGTTCGTGGTGGAGCTCCGCTCCTTCCTCGCCGGCAACCGCGCGGCGCCGCTGCCGGCGGACCAGCAGCTGGAGGTCGGCAAGGTCTACCTGATGCTGCCCATGAAGTCCGGCAAGGCTCCGGTGAGCTCCGCCGGTGAAGCCCGCCGCATCCTGTCGAAGAAACGCTCCGGCCGGCGGTCCCACGGCACCCCTGCCGGGGCGCCGCCCGAGGAGGAGAAGAAGGCCGCGGCCGGCCCGCCGGAGCTCCCCTTCTCGGAGTTGGGCGACTCGCCGGCGCTGACGGGGAGGCAGCACCACTCGGCCAGGTTCACCAGAGCGTGGAGACCCAGCCTCCACACAATAGAGGAGCGGGCGGCGGGGAGGAAGCTCCCCCATTGGCTCTTCTAACCTCCTCAACCTCCACTGCAGAAGATGAAGATCCCCCCATAGAATTTCCTTTTTCTGTACATCTTCTTCAAAGCAATCTCAGCCCCCTGATTTCATTTCTCTGCATCTCTGAAGCACCAAAATCGGGGACGACGAGTGCTCACATTCTCTCGTGAGGAAAAACCCGCTGACCTCTGCAGAACTCCCCGAACAGGCAAAAGGGAAGCTTCGTCCAAGTGAAAAAGATATGCCTTACCGGCTTCCTTGCCGTGAATGGGGCCTCGGCGGCGGGGGTCAACAACCCAGTTGAACTTCCTCCCCCCACCCCTCCCCTCTCCCATTTCTCCTCAGATCGGCATAATTTCGGGTCTACTCTTCACGTCGTTGTCTAAGAAAGCCCCCGCCGTCCGGACATCCCCCATGCATCGTCGTGAGGGAATTAAACGGCGGCTCCGCCACGCGTGGGCGAATTCAACTCCCCGCCGCCACCGCCCGCTGGCTTCAGAAAAAGACTGAATCATACTCATCCGCGATTGTCCATGAACAAGAATATTAATTAATTAATGGGAAAGTATCATTTTTTAAGAACCTATTGATCTGGGTGATTCACAAGAAAGTTACTGATCATGGGCTTTAAGATATAATGTTCGACACGAGAATTATCCGGGGATAATTCGGGATTCAAAAAGCCATGGAGCAATGGTTCGTTCAGAGGAAGAGAGCATGTCACATCGGATCCACCACCGTTGATAAATAGTTTTTTTTTTAATTTTCCGTGGAGTGTCACCGTCTCTCTCTCATGGTTCTCCAAGTTGTAATTTATTCACGATATTCAGTGTTGGGTCTAAAGTTTTTGATATTCTGGGAAACATGAAGCATGCCCAGAATGCCGCCAAGTAGTTTCATGGGTGGGAGACGTACGACCGGTCCAAATCGTCTTGAAGTACTGATGGCGACTCGGGCCCCTTGCCTGCATTCTATAAGTACGGGGGGCGACCGCTCTGAGCTGACCAGTTCAGACTGGGGCCCACCCGATGGTATCTCCTCCTGACATTGGTCGTTCCCCTTATTGGGTTGGGATGAATAATGGGCCCAATATAGGCTTGGCCATTGGGCCCACTTAATTAAAAGCGGGGATGGGTAGGAAGAGGGAGAGGAAAGTCCCCTTATTGGGCCAGCTTCTACGTCACGGGTTGGTTCAACCATCAAGACTTCGCGCCACACCGCAAACGTCCCCATCTAGAATTTAGTGACTAATTACTTAATTATGAGGGGGTTCTATAGAAAATACCTTGGTGGCGCCGCGTGTCCGGCGTAGGCAGACGAGCGCGATATTCCAACCGACGCCGCGGCTCACCCGGCCTGCTCCCGCTCCCTCTTCTTGTGCGCCTCTCCCTTCTCTTCAACCCCCCAACCTGTTCTCCTCTGATTCATCTTCTCTCGCTCTCTCTTTCTCTCTCTTTCGGACTTCAGCTTCTCCTCCTCCGGGACATGGAGAGAAGAGTGGAAGATTTGGCAGGCAGCGGCAGAGAGGGCATGGCTTCACGAGGTGTAGAGGTACAATCCTGCAGAGGGCAATCTCTCTCTCTCTCTCTGCATCTATCTATGTATGTATCTATCTTGGTCATAGTAGCTGATGGTCGATGGCAGGCAACCTTGGAGAAGAAGTACGGAGGGATTAGGCCCAAGAAGAAGCCTCTGATCTCGAAGGTTCGTGGGTGGGGTGGCATTCAGGGAGGGTACTGAGGAAAAGATCTAGTGAATGGTGTAGAAAGACCAAGCTGAATACTAACCGTTTCATCTGTGGTGCAAGGGGCTGCAGGGTAGCGGGAGGGTCTTCTTTGATTCCGCTGACTGGGCTCTTTGCCAGGTAAGCCTACTTGGTCGTTCCATGGGCAGGCTCTGGCCGAGGTTTCTAACAGGGAACTCATCGTCCACTGTGTTTTGGGGGCAAGAGCAGGGAGAGGACACGCGAGCCGCGGTGGAGACATTGCGGCCCAAATTGCAGGTACTCATTCTGGTCCTGAAACCTTCACGGCCCAAATTGTGATGGCACTGATGGGCCTTTCATGTGGACGCTGGCTTCCAGCCCACGCCTCACCAGCGGCTGCCCCCGCGGAGGCCCGCATGCAGGTCCGTCAGGGATGATAAGGTGATGAAGTAGGGTGAGCTACTCACATTCAGAAATACCAGGGATCAATTGTACTAATCGAACTGCCGCTGGGCGGGCTGAATAGGTAGGCTGTCTTGGAGCCCACACAGACATGAAGATTCATCTGGAAGGTGGTGGTTGGTGGTCCTACAGAAACATTGCCAGAACAAGCACACACTGTTCATTGATATGAAACCACCCCCCCCTCTCTCTCTCTCTCTCTCTCTCTCTCTCTCTCTCTCTCTCTCTCTCTCTCTCTACATGCACATTTTGATACTATTTTTGGGCTGTTTAGACATCGGATAGTAAACTTTAGTTTCTATATGGACGTTGTCAACACGAGGACTCCAATAAAACAGTTCTATATGCCATGATGATAGTAATAAAAACAGATATAACATTGACAAATGACAAGAATGGCGAGAGGAAATGGGTCTGCCGACAAGCTGGAAACGTTCAAATAATTTCAAATTAATCAACTGGAGAGAGTTTGTAGGTTACCTAATCCTTCTGCCTTCGACTGGGCCTTGCTAGGTCCGCTCTGAGTTGCACAGTGGGTGGAACCTGTCCCCCTCTGGAACAGCATCTGGTTGCTGTTCAAAACTGCCAATGAATAAATGAGTCATATATAACTAAATAAGTGATTTACATTTTTCCCTTAATGTGAAAACTTTCTGACAGGTTTGACGGCGACTAATAATCCAAGCGAAGAAGAGTGGTTGAAAGCCAACCGTTATGTCCGTATCATCATCAAATGGGCATCTGAAATTCGGCATAGAGAGGTGGCAGTTATTAGTCATTGGGTTCCCGTAGACATCCTGTGCTCTGTGGATAATTTATCTGATAAAAAATGCTATACCAACATCATTTGATCTTGAGTTCACGATCTAATGCTGCAATTTACTCCTTGTAATAGTTAGCTGCTCCCATGGTGATGCTTTTTAGTCGGTAGATTTCTTGCCTTCCTCCATGGAGTGTAGTGAATTCTTCTTTGGAGATTGCAGCAGCCATCGCATGCCCCTTATCGCTATCTTTGCCTTCTCCGGTCGGAATTTTAGTTCTACTGAATGCAAAGATTGATCGAACAGCTGACAGCCTCCTCCATGATTAGATTTTTTAATGAAGATGAATTATGGTAGATGATAGCATCAGCTGACAGATGCCATAGCTTCCCACTCCCTAGCTCTGTCATCTGAAAAAAATGGGGGAAAAAAATAAATCTGACCTGGAACTTTATCTATGAACTACTGGATGAAAGAAGATGAAATTGACAACGCGGACTGTTTCCTATCAAAAAACAAGTGAAATCACAGCACGAAACAGCTTCTCTACCAAAGAAAAGAAACAGAAGAAATCAAATTACTCCGTCTGATGATTCTCATAATCGCAGACCCAGAGTAAAAATATTGAACCATCCCAGGAACCAAGGAGTGGTATCCAGGTCGTGGACATTTATGTAAGTAGCTTGACCACTTAAAGGCATACGATAGGAGTATGTTTAGGGGAAGAGTCTCTTGACATTCTTTAGACCTGGCCGATTCCAGAGAGATGGGAATTTTTTTCATGGGTACCGAAAGCCTCCTTTGCGTTCGTGGTAATTTCACTAAAGTTTGTGCCATTCTAGCACGTACGACCAAATTCGCATGTGATATTGAATTATTTTCGATCACATACAAATCAACCGCGCAGCATATAAATTTTTTAGTTTAATTGCTTCGTTCATAAAACTCAGTACTGGAAATCTTTTAATGAAAAATTAGCTTTAGGTTCGTCGACAAATTCATTTACACATTGACCAATAGACAACTAACCTAGGACAACACTTTATGCTCGAAATGGAAGAAAAAAATGTTGATGTTGAGAACGTTTACCTAAATGTTTCATTTCTTCGTACATGCGTGATGCTTCTTCGATCCATGGATGCTGTACTTCGTTTGTTTTAGTCATTCTATGCCCCATCCAACCAGTGAACGCTTCCGATGGTTTCCCAACTAAACTACGAAGCACAGCATTTAACCATATTTAAATAACACGAAAACCTGATACTCCAAAAGATGGGGAGAAGAGGAAGTGGGAGGATGGGAAAGCGAGATAGATAGCAGGTTTGCAGACAAAAACTCGGCCAGAGACAACCACACTAACACAACCTGGGGACTAGCGAACAGCTTCAACTCTCCCTCTCCTTCTCCGAGGAGCAAGGTTCAATGCAGGGAAAACCAATAAAAAAAATAAAATTAGGAATAACATATGACAAACCTCTGGAAGGAATTTCATGAGAGGTTAATCGCGGACAAAGTAATCGAGATCATTCGAACTAAATCAAATCGAAATAATAAACAAGTACAGTACCTGGACGTCTCAGAGGCCGAATCAAATCGGAAGACAGGAAAAACGGATGCCGGAGAACGATCTCGTCGATCGAACCGAGAACCTGCTCTTCCGGATTTTCGGACGACATCACTTCGCCTAATCTAATAGTTTTGGGCGGGAAAATTCGTTACCAGTCGCCTGTTTTCACACGTAGGAGGAAAGTCGATATCATTTGAAATTATGGGCCGAGTCTGAGTCGAATTATTTATTATACGGGCCCTTGTTGGGCTATTTCTTAAATGTCTTCTGGATATAATTTTGATTTTGAAATCTACCGAGGGGAAAAAGCAAGATGACCTTAGTCAACCGGCCCATTACTGGACAGCTGTCAGAGAGCTTTCCAGAGACAACTGGGCGGAAAACACAACCCGAGAGGAGTGAAAGCCGGGGAAGAGGAAGATCAAGCTGCGTTTGTGCTTCTCCGGCTACCATGGCTTGGATCACCCGGTTCCTCACCGCCATATCCTTCCTTGTTGTGGGGATCGTCTTCGTCCCAGACGTCTTCGGGTCGCGATCGGATGGCTTTGCCCTCACCGTGTCCCTCGTCAAGCTCGGCCACCTCCTCAGCTTCGCTACTGCCTGGGGAGCCGCTCTCTGGGTCACCTTCATCGGCGGCATCATTATGTTCAAGTAATTGTTCTATAAATCCTTGCCCCGATGATTCTAATTATGTGCCGGTGTCGTATTGTTCCCTAGTTTTTTTGGTCTTACTTTTGGAATTGAATGAAATAAAAAAAACTGTTCAGGAATCTGCCGAGGCACCAGTTTGGGAACCTTCAGGGCAAGATGTTCCCTGCATATTTCTCAACTCTCTCAGTGTGCGTGGCTATCACTGTGGCCGCGTTTGCATACTTACATCCTTGGAAATCAGCGTCAACAATGGAGAGGTATCAGCTAGGATTCCTGCTTTCATCGTTTGGTTTCAACCTCTCAAACCTGCTGGTGTTCACTCCCATGACCATCGAGGTGAATACTTAATCCCTTTCTGGTGTCCTGCTCTTAATCTCTTTCTTGTGTCCTGCCCTTTAATTTCTTAGGGAATGCGGTCCTGCTTTTGAATATTTATGTTGTATGGAATAAAAGCTTATGGCCATCATTTTAGACGAAATGCCGTAATTTACTTCAGCCGACTGTAATTTTCTTGCCGAGCGATTTTGGTCCCTTGTTGAACCGAACTCTTTCCCAATTTGGCCCACGCCATTGAGGATGTCACTTGCGTGAAACGGGGTTACAAAGGAATATTTTATTAAATTTCTTAAAGATTAGAGAGAGGCCTTTAACGTTTGTAAAGTTTTTGTCTTTTACGCATATCTTTTGATCTCATATCTTATTTCGGCATCTTTATGAATTCTAAATTCTACTCGCTGCAATATCATGCTTTCGTTTTGCGAAATGAATTCGGATGAAAAAGAGAGATAGCTTATATGGAATCTCTTGTGTCTATGATTGTAAAGGAGGTTTGGAGAAGAGGAAAACACAAAATATAGCTACCAAAGCATGCACAGTATGAGTAATTTGACACAAAATCTCATATACGGGGAGATATCTTCAAATACAACTAATTTCGGTTTTGGTGTGTTTGTAATCCCACAATATGGAATCAACTCCGCTCATGATGCCTCTATTCAGAAGAAAATATTATGAACCGTCATTTATGGATTCCTCTGCAACATGAATTGCTAAGCAAATGCAAGATCATCTGGAAACGCATCTAAAAGTTTAGATATTATTCTATGCCCCTGTTAAGTAGTATACTCAATTCCTCAGTATCATCTAATCCAACTTCACCCCAGTGGTTATGCCTAGTATGTTGTACAGAATATATTTTCATGGAACTCTTCAAAGCACAGGTGTGATTATATGCTGACCATACATACTGAAGAAAGATCCTTATATCAGCCATTTCCGCTATCCAGAATCAAGTTCATATGCTATTATGCATCACCACCTTTTGATCAGGAGAACAGTAGTGTATTTTTTTTTAACGAGTTGTTATCCCTCATCATTTCATATGGTATTCCTGTGAAATATCGTGTGCAGATATTTACCCTACTGCCTTGTTTCTGGTATAGCCTTTCTTAGTCGATTGACTGGAAGAAGGGGATTGATTAACAGCGGAAAAAAAATTATCTATTGATGTCCTGAGGAATGAAATGCCATTTATTCCTATTCTTTCCACGAAGAGATAAAAAATAATCATAAAATAACGAGTATGTTTACTCAAAGTATAGAATAGCATGCACGATTACTCATGGAGAGCAGGTAAAGTTGGACCTGGCCATTTTCCAATGTAAAGTATCCCTAGCCTGAGTGCCGGCAACCAATCTTAACCTTTTCAACCTCATGCTGTTTAGCGCATAACCTTTTTGAAGTGAGGTAGGCTTCATGGCCAATTCTGACGCGACTTGTAATATCTTATTTAGACTATTGGCAGGATATCTATTTCATACCCAAATCAATTGATTATACACTGTTGGATGCTTACATTGTTAGTCAGCACGCATCAAACAAAAGGATTGTATCTAGCTTGCATCCTTCCCTTTCACCAAGTCCAAGTAAGCAGTCGAGTGTTTCTTCCTTTCCGTACAAACAACTTGTTGTTTTCCTAGGATTCTGATAAACCCTCTCCTTGCGAACTTGGGCTCTCCCCAAACCTTCCACCATTTTGGATAGCAAACACTAATTAGGACATGGTCGCCTACAATGATAGACGAGGATGATTGATGATGATTGGACGAGGAGTTGTGTGAAATTTGTCCGAATAAAGAATAGATGCTTCGCTCATTTCACAACCATTAATAAATGCTCATGCAATATTGGAAATAAACAAATTTTCTTTAGCATGATTCTCTTTGACTTGCAGTTATTAAACCTTGTCCTTGTAGAGAAATGAACAGCAGGGGAAAATGGATACTAGATGACTAGGTTTCAAGAAACTTGTTTGAAATTGATCAAGAGAATATTAAACGAAAACAAAGGTAGGCGCATCATATTTGGTTACTTGCTAGAGAGAGAAATGAGCCACCACCTGGAAATAGTCACACAAGAAAACCAGTTATGATGCTGTGATGGGCTCAGTTGAACGAGAGGGAGGGGGGCTTCTGAAACCATGGAACACAGAACCAGCAAGTAAAGACTGGAAATGGCTGAACCGGATCTGAGATGATCCAAACAGAACCTGAAGAACCAGATCATACCAGGTCTCAGCTGAACCACGCAGAACCAGCTGGTTATCAACTCAGAGCCGAAATTGTGACCAGGAGTAATCGACTTGTTACTTGCAGAGCCATTTTCAACGGATCCAAGTAGCTTTCTTTCCTTGAGAGAAGCCCTGCTAGGCCGGAGGCAACGGACCCACCTTTCTTGAGCCCCGAATATGTCTTGCCCAATGAAGTTATAATTGTTCTATAAATAGGAATTGAAATGTATATGCTCATACTTTATCCATTTGGGCTGACGTGAAGAGACTCTCTCTCTTGAACAGATGATGAAGAAACGGCACAAGCTAGAGAGAGAATTAAACATGGGCGACGAGGTCGGATGGTCGAAGAACGTCCCTGGTGCCAAGGTCAACCCGAAGCTTGCGGCGATGAACAAGAAGTTTGGGATGATCCACGGGCTGTCATCTCTGGCCAACATCATGTCCTTTGGGAGCTTGGCTATGCACTCCTGGTACTTGACCAGCAAACTCCAGCTCTAGGCGAGGTGAGATGATACTGGCCAACTCTCAGGTCAATTGATCGGTTATAATCTCTGCCAACGTGTTTCAAAATGAAAACCCTTCATGTGACGTCGGCCTTGAGATTCTTTGCTACTCTTAAACTTCTGAATCATCAGTTGGCAATAATTTTTCATTTCTCTCTCTCTCTCTCTCTCTCTCTCTCTCTCTCTCTCTCTCTCTCTCTATCTATCTATCTATCTATCTATCTATCTATCTATCTATCTATCTCTGAGAAAAATAATCATCTGCTCTCTTCATGTGGATATATGTTCTTGGTCTCTCCCCCAAAGTCGACAATTTTCGTTCCTTTGTGATGCTGATCATGGGGTCGGAGTGACTGTGACAGGCGAGGGTCCATCGGACGGCTGGCGGTGGACTGGGAAGAAGACGTCTCTCCACTTCGTGCACGTGAAGCAAGAAGTGAATGCGACCGAGGGAGGGTTGTTGAGCACATGAATGGTTAGTTCATGTGCTCTTGAGATATATAATTATCTATTCATTTGATGGAGATCGCTTATCACACTGCAAAACTTAGAAAAAGACGTTGGAAGATATCGCTGAACCAAACCCATCTCTCTCTATCTCTCTCTATCTCTCTCTCCTCCCTCCCTCCCTCAAACCCATTACTTTCTCTATCTCTCTCTCTCTCGCCCGAAATTTTAAGTTTATCGAAGATTGGCTTGGACCCCGTTGAAGTGAACTTATTTATTCATTAAGCGAGAGCGAGAGAGAGAGAGAGAGAGAGAGAGGGAGAGAGAGAGTTGGCCATCTAAACCCACCTACCTACTGGAGCAAAAAAAGAAATTTATTGAAATAAGTTTCTTTGCCCCCAGCGTTGAAGGGGAGAGAGCGAATGATTATTGACAGATCAAGGAACAAGAATATGAACCCAGTTCAACTGAAGCTAAGTAGATCCGCCCATGAACAGGATCTTCGCAGGGAGGAGGAACACGAGGAGGAGGTTCAGATGCCTTGAGATAACCAGCTGCCCCAGCCTCCTCAGCGACTCCCTTCCGCCCTCCACCACGACGGAGACGCTGAGCTGGAGCCTGCCGTCGATCCCCCCCAGACCCACGAGGGGCCACCATGTCCGCCGCCGCCGCCGCCGCTCGCTCCTGGCTTTCCGGACGGAATCGAGCTCTCGGCGGATGACGGCGCGGATGGACCGCACGTAGGCGTGGACGTCGTGGTCCCTATAGATGGTTCCTTCGAAGCCGTAGGCGGCGCGGTCGCTGAGGATCTCCAGAGGATGGGGAGAGTTGAGGAACAGGGATTGGGCGGCGGCGAGAAGCGTCCTCTGGTGGTCGCCGGCGAGGGAGTAGAGGCCGCTGTCGGGAGGAAGAAGGTGGTGGTGTGGAGAATACCTCTCCTCTGGCTGGAGGATCAGAAGCTCTCCCATGGGAGCGTATAGAAATTTCTGTTTGAGAACAGAATCAGAACGAACAGATAATCTAATCTTTTTTTGAATTATTCCGGAAAAATTTGAACGACAGAAATGATTTTTTTTAATTTTGCAGCAGAAAAAGTAACTAATTCATAATCATCATGAAGAAGAGCAGAAACCAGATCATGATGTAGATGATGACCCAGATGAATTGATCGCATGCAAAACAAAATAAACCAATTACCCTTTTCATATTTTCAGAATATCCTATCAAGATGAGGATGACCCAGATAATTATTTTGCAGAAAAAACATAATAAGTTCATTTATCAGCATGGAGAAGAGCAGAAACCAATCACCCGGTTCATATCCTATGAAGATCCAAGAAAGAAAATTTTCACCTTGTTCTTGAGGCACGGATGATCTCGGAACTTCCCATTGAGGGCCTTGAGAATCTCGGCCACATAATCTGGATAACTACAGGAGAAAGCTCTCGGCACGATGTCCCTGTGCATTGCTATGGCTTGGACATGATTCAGAGGCAAGCCCAACTTCTGAAGCAAGTAGTCCCCTCCGCACATGATATATGGGGACCCGAATGTTACAACAGGGAGCAAGCATGAGGGCGGCACCTCTCCCCTTACCAGTAACATGAGACTCACAAGCAGAGAAAGACTGCCCCCAAGAGAGTGACCGGTGAAGCGGAGAGTGGCGGAGGTTCCACGGGCATTCAAGTGGTTCCGGACTTCTGTCAGCAGTTGCTGATAAATCCCTTTAGCCGCCTCGTAGATACCTCTGTGCACAAGCACATCTAATCCCTAGACAGCAAAGATCAAGGGTGTAGTTACTATAAAAGGGCAATTTTTTTCTTGCTGGTTCATGTGGGCAGAGGTTTTTTGTTTCATATTTAATCGGCAGGATTAGGATGATGCTAAGTTTTTCATAAGTTGAGCATGGCTTCGAAGTAGTCCCACATCGATTTGACCCAAATTAAAGAGAAATTGTTAAGGATTAAAGACAGGCATGGAAAACATTACCTCAAATCGAACAGGCTCAAAGAGGAGATTTGCTTTCCAAGAAGCTATAGAATCAGATCCCTGAAATCTCAGAGCCCAGATTAGCAATCATATGGATTGTCGGCTAGGACAGGATGCTGAGGAGAGAGTAGCACCTGAATGATGAAGAATCTGGTTCCAATGCTATTATCATCACAGATATACCATTCACAAGGCGAGGACGCTGAGGAATTCAGATCATTGGCAATTACTAGCTTTGTTTCCTCCTTTGCAGCGACGACTGCGGTGACAGAGCTTGTGGTCGCCACAAAGGAAGCCACTGAAGAGCTAGTGGGTTCCATTTCATCCTCTTCTCTAGTACTTCCTGTGGATGAACTCGTGACCATCTCTGTTCTTGCTGGCTTGAATGGCAGGATGGTCCTTGTTTGAGATTGGAGATACGAGGCAGCAGAGGCAGCAATCCGATATGCAGAAGATGGGCTTAAGAGGAGCCCGCTCATCAATTGGCTCTCAACCTTCTCGCCCTCTTCTTTCTCTTCTTCTTCTTCTTCTTCTTCTTCTTCTGCTTCTTCTTCTTCTGCTTTTTCCTCTTCTTCTTCTGCTTCTTTCTCCTCCTCTGGCTTCTGGATTTCTTGATCTTTGAAACTTGAATTCACATCCTCGGGGGTAGGGATTTCTGGTTTATTTTCCAAGGATGAGGTGACAAAGCTCAATCTGTGGCATTTTAGAAGATCCTCAGACTGGAAAAGAGGCACAATTATGCACAAATTTGTCAATTTTCATGAAACGATACCAAATTTGTCTCAGTACATCATTAAAGCCGTAAAATTGAACATTCCCACGGATGTACAAGCTTCAGATTTCAGTCCCCTCACAAATAATAATAATAATAATAATAATAATAATAATAATAATAATAATAATAATAACAGAAGCCAGGATTTGACTCCTTGTAGCTCCACAGAACTAAGGGGAACTCAGGCCAAAGGTCTATATTTTTCCTTCCTTTTTTTTGGCACGCTTGAACGAATGATGATCAGAGATGGTATCATAATCAGAGATCATTTTTCCCCATTTGGATGCATAAAGTGAAGGAATCATCGCAGAATCCACCTAAAGCTTACTCGGACAGAACGAAGAAGAAGAGATTTCGAAGTTGCAGGAGAGTGGGAAATGATGAAACAGATGAACAACGCGGAGTTCTGGTTTAACGGGTCACCTTGATTCTTGGGATATTATACGCGAGCCTGCCGAGATATGATAGCCGACCGAATAACCTGGCCTCCGGCAGAGAAACCCGCCGGAGCATCCTCCTGAAGGAGTCCCTTTCAAGCTTCACTTCGCCCTCCCCACCGCCGACCTGGCAGCTCGAGCAACGTTCCCCATCATCAAAAATCTGATCGTCATTCACCCCACCGCCGCTTCTTCTTCCTCGCTTCCGGTCCTCCGCCGCCGAAATCGATCCTACGCGCAATATCTTGAAGACCCAGTTTCCCCTACGGTGCCGTGAGGAGGATGCCGCCTCTCTCTCATGTTCCCTCCTCCCTCTCTCCTCTTGTAGACCAGCGAGCTCTTTATTTCCTCTCTCAACTGATCCGCCTCCTCGGGGTCGCATCATCTTCGGCTGTCTTGGCTGCATGTAACTGCGTCGAGAAGCAGCCAGCGTCTCCCCCACGCCGGCGGCGGCTGATGCCTGGAATGGCATCCCCACGAGGCCTGGAGAAGTCCGAAAGCAGAGACTGTCCATGGGCTCGCAGGAGATCTGCGGCCCCGTTTGATGGGTCGGGTGCCGAGCTTGGCTTCCTCGACCTGTTTCCAACTTCCAAACACCTGGGTGGTGAGCAGGAAGGAGCAGAGAAGAGGAGAGGAAGACGAAACTGATTCCCGCGATGCACAAAATTACTAGAAGCTGTAAAGGAGAGAGAGAGAGAGAGAGAAAGGCTGCTTCCTCGCATGTCGCAGTCTCTGGGTCCTACCCATTTCGTCTGGAGACGCTACTATTGCGTAACTCCTCCCTCTTCCTCAGGTTTCTACGGGGGGGTCTGCTACCGAGACGGACAATCTTCACAAATCTCTCACGCCGTCTGCCCCTGGAACTGTCCGGAAAACGGGCTTCAGAGTTCTACGAGACGTGCCATCCCTGCAACAGGACACGAGGGACTTCTTCCACGGTGGGAAGATGTCTTGCGTTGTCAACGACGAATGAGTATTTTGAGAGAGAGGAGCGAGAGAGAGAGAGAGAGAGAGCATCTGTTTTAATCCATATCTCAAATTTTCAATTAAATATATTTTATAGGAAGTAATTCCAAAGTCTTAAGTAAAGTGATAATGATGAGACCGAAGAATCACGAGTCAAATTTATAACTTAATATATATATTTTTATTAATAGTCTAATCACTTATAATTAATTGCTGATGTCCTAGAAGGTCCATTTGGCCAACTTTTGGTCACCCTATTTGATAAAGTTTCAAAACTAATAACAAAATTAATAATTTCGTGTCATTTTTTAAGATAAAATTATGCAATTCAACCAAAAGCTATAAAACAAAATTTCCAACATAAATGCTTCTTTCCTTAATTTCATTAGGAAACGACACATCACAATTTTCAGTTAAATTAATAAATAAATGTCAAAAAAGATGGATATTGAATATTTAAATCGGATGCGCAAAAAACCTGCAACAAAAATAAAATTGAAGGACAATCATCTTCAAAAATTTCCATCCTTTGATACATTGTGAAATAGACAGCCCTTCAAAACACTTTCATGCAAATAATTTTTGTGAACATGGACCTTTTGACGAACATGAAATCCCTCAATAAATGTCATATTTTGACATAGGAATATTCCTAATATGAATATTTACGTAAATATCATGCTTTCATAATCAAATGCATTCACATTTAAATATTTTCAATGCGTTGATGCAATGTCCTCAGTGCATCATTGCTAAATGATGCGCTCAAAATGAAGGTCAGATAATATCCTGATGGGAGTTCCACATTTAGATTAATATCAAGATACATTGCTCCAAACGTCAAATTTGTAAGATATGATTCGTGTAAATGCCTTTTCCATCACCACATCACCCGTTTCAAAAGTTGACCTAGTTCCTCCCACTAAGCCGCCATTCAAGTGGCGATTTTCAACGCGTCGATTGGCACGTGGCGTGCAGCCTGTCAATCCCACGCCTGGTATTCTCCCTCGTAATTTTTTAGGTGAATTTTTCTCTAAAAGCTTTCGTGAGTTGACACGGAAATCAGAAATCGCTCCACAGGAAGTACCAGCTCGAGACGACCTTTCGGCCTGCGGGCTAACCCGTTGACGTTGTTCTCCTTCCTCTTTTCCTCACGTCTGCTCTGTCACCAGCTTCCCCACCCCCACCCGGTCTACGATGCGGGGGCATATACGCCGGATAAACGGGATGAAGAGACGGTCGCTCAGCGGCTACAGTGGAACGATGAACCAGGTGAGACCAAGTGGGACCAGGTGATGAACCCAGAAAGAGAGAGAGAGCCGGGCGATGAATAGGCGAGACGAGGAAGCAAGTTTAGATATGAGTTGGATGACGTTGTACTTACTACACTCCACATGAAAACGTATCCCATCAACAGTGGCCTTCTACCTTGGGAGTGTATAAATATGCAAGAAACGATGTTGCTACCAACGAAGGAGCAATAATTCGGCGGTGGGAAACGATCATCTAAGATGGCTCCCTCAGTCACCCTCGCGCGCTTCGGCTTCGCCCTCCTGCTCGTCGCCGTATTTTCTCCCTCCCGCTGTGAAGGTTAGTGCAACATCCTCACCATTCTCTTTCTCCGGGGTTCTCTCTGTACAGCTTCTTCTAGGGATAACTAAGTATCAATCCTTCACTCTCAACCTGCAGCACAGAACCCATCCTCAATCGTAGACAACGCCATTCTCTGCTTCAACAACACATCCGTAAGCCGATTACTCCTCTCTCTCTCTCTCTTTCTGTGGTACCTTTTATCATGATCTGACGGTCCGAAGGGGTTAAACAGATCTACAGGAACTGCCAGGAGCAGTATAGGTTGACGGCGAACGGGACGCTGAATGTGTCTGGAAACGCCGTCGACGCCTTCTGCAGCGGGCCCTGTTTGGCCGAAACTCAGCTCGTTCTTAAGTGCATCGACGGGATATTGTCTAACTTCAATTTCTACAATGGAGCGACGATAAGGGCTGTCAACGCTACGATCCTCATTGCTTGTGGAAGCGGCATTGGAAGAGGTAATTAGAGAAATACCTTCGGACAGGTTACTCAGGCAGTTATAATGAAGTAACATATTAGTCCAATAAATAACTTTTTATTAGACCCCGGGCCTGAAAAAGCTTGAAAAAGGCACGGAGACCCAAATATAGAACTTTTGAGAACTGTATTCTATAAATCGGATGGCATTATGAATCTCAAATAAGAGCTCTTGATTCGTTTAACTTCTCTAATTTTCAAAACATTGCAAATCAACACGATTGTGGCTAACAACTATCTTATGAGATATATTTCGCACTCCAGTACTCGAGCTGAGGACATTTTAGAATCCCTTCCAATGACCCTAGTCCAAAACCGTACCATCGTTTCAGAATCGATTCAAAGATGCACACATACATATAAATGTATATACACATATACTCTTATCTAGGCGGAACGTAATAATATTTCCTGTTTTTCTAGGAAACTTCAATATCACAGGTAATGCAACTCCACCAGCGAGTCCGCCGACCATTTCACCAGCGAGTCCGCCGACCATTTCACCAGCGAGTCCACCGACCATTTCACCAGCTCGTCCGCCGACCATTTCACCAGCTCGTGGGCCAGGTCTTGAATAACCCAGACATGGAGGCAGCCTTCTCGCAGCTCACTTTCTTTGTTCTTGGTAGTCTTACCATATTTTTCTTTTTTTGGGAATTTTCAGGGCCTGCAACTGCACCAGTTCCGAAACCAGCTCCTCCACCAGCCAGTAATGGAGGAAGCCTTCTGAGGCCTCACATTCGAGCTCTTGGCCTGTGGGCCATCGGTACGTTGATGTTCGTGGTGCTGGCCTAAGAACATCGTGGATAGTGAATGATCCTCCCTCATCAATTGTCTACCGCAATGCTGTCTGCTTGAGGGTTCCACTTTGGTGCAATGCCTACTTGGGCTTGTTGTTCAATCATGAGAATCATTTGGTATTAGTTGTGTCCAAATTTCTTTAAAATGGAAATAAATTGAGTTCTTATTGAGATCATTAAAAACTAATGTTATATGTTCGTGAAACCTGTCTCTGATACTTATCAGCCGCAATCTTGTTGATTTGATAAAGAATCTAACAGAGACAAAAATAAATTTTTAATCCAAATCGATTCACCAAATATAAGTAACTACCCATATATCGGCCAAAACAAAATTAGTACCAAATGGGAGGGCTGATGATGGCGAATCCACAAACTTAAGTGAACACTTGAAACCCCTTTAAGCATGGTGAAAGGCTAGTGCAAAAACATAATAGACGATTCAAAGAATAATGATAACAAAGGATGTACTAAAAATAGCATTATCTTTAGGGAAATTCGTTGCTCTAGAGCATTAACTAGTAAGAAGCAAGAATTTGCCAGGATAAGGGGTCATTGTAGCTAAGCAACCAGTGTAGTGATTCCATTAAAGTCCATCAATTCAGTAATAAGTGGTATAAGGTCGTTAATTAAAGTAGTTATTTTTCAAACTTGTAAGAGAAAACTAGCCTAGTTAATATGGATATATATACATACATACATACAGAGAGAGAGAGAGAGAGAGAGAGAGAGAGAGAGAGAGAGAGAGTTGGACAATGAGCAGTACATGGCAAGGAGAAATTACCTCAAGCCCAAAAAGAAAAAGCTCATGCCAATTTGTAGGTCTACCCAACTCACTTAGACACCCATATATTGTATTAGTAGGTCATACTTTCCTGGCAGGTACACAAACTACAAGCCCATCATTTGATACATTATGTTTCTACATAGAAATATAGAGATATAGGAGAAAATATTTCTTAATAACAAAAGTAAACATATGAAATCCTATTTCTTAATGTTATGTATATTCTCTACTTTCATATTTTAATTCTTGTTTTACATCATTCAATCTGTTAACAACCTCTCTCTATCTGCTAGCTGGTCATGCAGTCGGATCATTAACCCATATAATCTATGCTACAGCCATTGATTAGGGATTGACAATATACCAAGATCACCAATCCCCAATAATCATAAAAAATGGGTGATGATCTGGAGTGAATGCAGTGTTAGAATTTCACAAGAATGACATGTAGTGACTTGTTTATCAGCATAACTTGAACATTTAATGATTTTTGATTAAACAAAAGATACAAAAGAAATAAATAATCTTGCTCGGGGAGGATATCTAATTCAGTTGGGAAATAAGCATAAAAGAATATGATAAGGTAAATTAGATCCCATATAGAAGTCAATCTTACATCATTTTACGTTTGAAGAGAAGAAATATCCCTCAAACCATTAGAAATTATCGGCCTCAAAGGCAGGGGGAGAGATACTATATATATATAGTCTCAACAACTACCATCAAATCATGAACCTAGTGATGAACTTGGGATGGGAAGAAAAAGCATAGAGATAGGGTGACTACTCAAAGAAGCAATTCCATGTATCAATGCCTCAATCTTTAGTGCCAACTCCAAGGCTAGTTTTTTTGCCATATGCTATCTCTCCATCATCTTTACTTCCACTTGGTGTCCAACTAAACCTCTAATATGCCAACTCCAAGACTAAAAGAAGAATTATGTTGTCCACTAAACCTCTAATATTGATTGTATCTTAAATCGTTTGTGATGTAAGGCAGGTGTTTAATGGAATGAACTCTAAACAAGCATCCTAAATTGAGTCTCATGATTGGTTTAGGAGTCTCAAGGAAGTAAAGTAGGACATATTTGAGTGGTTTCTCACATGATTTGAAACCCACCTGTTTCTTTCCTCATGATGTAGAGATCACATTGAAGAGCTAGTGTTTTTTCAAGGACATGATCCTAGTCTCCATATTCAATGTCATACATAAATGATAGGGCATGACCTATTAGACATGTGTGTGTGTGTGTGTGAGAGAGAGAGAGAGAGAGAGACAGACAGACATACAGACAAAGAAAGAGAGAACAAACATAGGCATAGTCTACTCTTCTTCACCTACTAATAAGTCTTTATTATCATGATGTAATAATTAATAAATAATATAGTTTTAGTATTAACTCATGATAAATAGACTTATAATTATGTTAATTTGTGAAAAATAGTTTTTATTTGGTTAATGTGATTTTTGGCTAATTATGTAATTTTATATGAATTTATATGATTTTACAATCATATTTTTGAGATAAATAAAAGAAAAAAAAAAGGAGACCAACTGGGCAGCCAGGCCTGCAAGTAGGTCGGAAGCGCTGTCGGCGTAGAGCCATGAGTAGGGGCATGAGCGACTATTGACTGATGGGGGCACATGTGCACCACTCCCCTTCCACGTCATTGGTGATCAGTTGGCTATGGGGCAAGGAGTGGTCGTACACACACGAGAAAGGGACTCATTGATTCCCAAATCTCGCGTTACCATATATGCGTCTCCACATTCAACGTATAGTTGATGTGGGACTAAACTAGCGGTCATACTTTCCTTGGAATGTTTTCAAAGATTTTAATACCTAAAATACCCCTTTTTTATAATAGTGTTACACTATGATGACATCACTATATAAGGATATTCGAGAACTTATTCTCTCTCTCTCATGTAAGCGGATGACTGACGTGGGTTCAAATCCTACTAGAGCTAAAATCTATATTTTTATCTGATTAAATCGTCACTTTCTTGCAGATCACTACTGAAGGATTAAGCCACTAGAATCACTTGATCATTGGTGAAAATCTCGTCAATGCAATTCACAGAATATTGTTACTAAAATTATTGAATGATTCACGATAAAAGGATCACGAATTCATCAAAAGATGAGTTGCCACTAGAATTATAATTGTTGAATGATTGACGAACAAGTCATCGTCGGGAAAAGGACGACCCACCGAGAAATGAGTTGCCACCTCCTGAGAGCATATTAGATGCGATGAAGAGCCTTCTCTTGCTGCACAGACTTGAGGATGAAGCTCTCTAACATGCACCTCACCCTCCATCTACTTGCTCTTTGTCAAGTGATAGCTGCCAGAGAGCCACAATGTTGTCATTTTTTTGCTCCACTAGGTGACAATTGCTGGAGACAATTTGACGACCCATTTCATTGATCTCTAGATTTTGCAAGAAGATTTAGAGATTGCCCACGTCGTCCTTGTCTAAAGAGGGCTTTTGAGGTCATGGACACTACACGACAATCCTCTCGAATGCTCAGAATTTTGGTGCATCATCGATGCATCACTGTCACGATGTCGGAACTCTATTTTATCATTTTTTAATTAGTTTAACTTCCATCATTATTTTCTAAACTACAAAAGGAGATTCAATAAATGTCCAGGTCGTCCACGTCTAAGGAGCTTTTGAGGTCATGAACATCATTTGATGACCCTCTCGAACACATAGAATTATGACGATCATTGTTGCGAAGTTGAAACTTTACCTTTTCTGCTTTCAACTTAATTTTCACTTCACTAAGTAATAATTTCTGTGATTTAAATTTACCAAACTATTCTTCATTCAATTACAATTCTTCTCGATTTTACAAATCTTAATTTGATCAATTAAATCATTTGTAATCACTTACATAAGAATCACTAGATAGAACTCTATTTCTACTCGATTTACGTTTTGTCGGGTGTTGACGTCATCTTGACGTCCACACCTTTATTTTCCTTTTTTGTGAATTTTAAAAAATATTTTATTTCTATTTATTAGTATAAAATTTTAGAAAAATATATATTCTTTGAGAAAAATTCTGAAAAATTATTTTATATTATATTATATTCATGTGATCAACTAAAATTTTTTTGTTATTTTTGAAACTTTTATTGAATTATAATTGATATATTTGTTCATAAATACTTCTAAATATCTAAAAATTAGTATTTTCTAGTTTTATAAATTTTAAATTTACGTGATTTATTATACAACAACTAAGTAACGTCACCTGCCTTATCAAAGCCTAGACTAGGCAACACATAAAGACTATAGGGTGGAGAACTTGGTCCACAGTCGCCAAGGGATATACCCTACACTTTGGTGATGACCTAAAAGGGATACCTGATCATTGTTTGATAGGCA